TTGTCTGTTACGTGATTCATTGTATCACATTGTTGAGTGGGTGGTCTGCTACGTGATTCATTGTATCACATTGTTGAGTGGGTGGTCTGTTACGTGATTCAGGGGGTCGGGTAACCTAGTGGTTAAAGCATTCGCTCGTCACGCCGAAGACCCGGGTTCGATTCCCGACATGGGTACAATGTGTGAAGCCCATTTCTGGCGTCCCCCGCCGTGATATTGCTAGAATATTGCTAAAAGCGGCTTAAAAACATACTCACTCACTCACTCACTGTTAGTGATTCATTGTATCACATTTTTGAGTGGGTGGTCTGTTACGTGATTCATTGTATCACATTGTTGAGTGGGTGGTCTGTTACGTGATTCATTGTATCACATTGTTAAATGTGGGTGGTCTGTTACATGATACATTGTTTCACTTGTTTGATTGGGTGGTCTGTTATGTGATTCTATATGTGATTCATTGTTTCACATTGTTTGAGTGGGTGGCCTGTTACGTGATTCATTGTATCACATTGTTGAGTGGGTGGTCTGTTATGTGATTCATTGTATCACATTGTTGAGTGGGTGGTCTGTTACGTGATTCATCATATTCTTTCCAGCATGTACAGTGAATGTTGCCTAACCATTAACTCCAGTATGTCAAGAATATAATGTCGTTTTTTAATGCAAGCAAGGCAACTCACATTTTTCGCATCAATTTCATCATTTGTTTGAGAATAACACCATATGTTGCAATAGGTCTTTGTGATAAAACTACAAAGATATGTGACTGCGATATTGATGATTATGTGTGGTTCACACAATTCGTTATTGAGTAATAAACCAATTGGACTTGCTTTTTCTAAGGCCATTAAAAGCAACAAATACTGGTTTGAATTAGGAGATAAACATACTGTGTTTTCAATGTAGAGCTAGGTTACCTGTAGATTTAACCGCGCTAAATTGAATTTGGAACCGAACACGCAGTGTGACGAACTCCCACGAATTGTCGAATGTTTGGGAATCAAATAAGATTCATTTTAGAACTTCAAGTCATTTGGTTTGGTGGATCAGAAACCAAGTAATAAATACAATGTCTAAGAACATCCCATATACTCAGATCAAGTTTATGTGTTTTTTATGTATTTAACTGGTCCATGTGGTATTTGTACATATCATCATATACTATTAAACCTCCATGTTCAAGATGGATATGCACAATCCCAAACTACTTATAGATCCCTTTGCCAAAACATGTATAATACTGTACCTTTTTAAAACAAGGCAAGCCTAGGGCCAAGATTATCCAGTTATCTGGAGCACCATAACCTGTAAACCATTACAGCGGTACAACAGGGCAAATATCCTTGGGATTGGAGTCATGATGCGAGACTTAGATGTAATGAGACTGAACACGAAACCTCTTTCAGAACTTTTCAGTCTAAATTAAAGGCTCATTTAATAACCGGAAATATATCTTCCAATGTGTTGTCATAGCGACATGTTGATGATAACCTTTGTCAGAATGAATGTTTAAGTCCAAGGTTAATTACCATGTAGCCATGACATGTATATGTCTAGAATCGCTCAGCTGACATTACTTGTAAGATGCTAATCACAATTGTTAATCCTCATCCCGATTGTATTGTACATTTACTGTCAGCCAACATGAACAAGCTGTGCAACTTTGACTCCTCGATTACTGTTGTTGATTTTTATGACTTAATGCATGCTAGGTGACCATGGCTATAGAAACCTTGGTCCATATACATATGAAGAAAGATGCTCTCACTCTTAGCCTAGCTACCAGTAGTGTTGTGTTACATGCTTCAGGCCACATTCCACAAAGTGATCGTAGCGCCAAGGTGATCGTAACTCCCATACTTTAACACAGGCTTACGACTATCGTAGTAGTAGGATCACTTTGTGAAATGGGACTCTGTGGCACCACGACCTTCTTGTAAATGTGTACCTATATCAAGTGAACTTCTATATACAGCAAGCTATCAAGTTGATATCATCACTTTCAAGAACCCTGCGCCAATCCCTTGCATATAGGAATTTGCACAGTATCATAATCAACTTCACAAGTGTGTTATGCCAGTGCCAATCCATTGCTCTACATTACGCCTTAACTTACATGGCATTGATCTGATGGCAATGTGAGGAGAACCTGAATTCCTGTACCAGGAATGTTCTACAATATGTAACTCAATAGAACTGAGAACAGCTATGTTCCTAGATCAATCTGACAACCCTCCAGAAGGTGATTTCTAGAGCTATTTACAATGTGGGATGACCTTATTAAGTGCTTTGCCTGGAAATGGCACACATCACAACAGGGCTTCTCCTTGATGATGAATTGTAACGAGGCAGCTTCTTGATGCCAGGGACTGTCAGTGTGGTGATCGGAGGACTGACAATTATGTTAATAAATTGTAGTTTTTTCCCTGTGCAAAGAAAGGACTGATGACTTGATGTGAAATACTAATGTGTGGTCTAAATAGGAGGGAACGTTTCTAGTTCTGCCTTGAATTGCAAACAAAGGTCATTCATTTTGCTATATGAGATATGATACATTGTATATGATCTATTGATTGAAATAAAATCAGTTCTTTGATTATTGGAAAATAATGTTCATTTAATAAATGAAACTTACATTTTTGTTTACTGAGAATTGAACTATGGTGAACTATGAGAATAGGTGACAACCATTTTACTGATGTCCTTGATGTAGGTGACGACCATTTTACTGATGTCCGTGTAGGTGACGACCATTTTACTGATGGCCGTGTAGGTGACGACCATTTTACTGATGTCTTTGATGTAGGTGACGGCCATTTTACAGATGTCCGTGACGTAGGTTATGACCATTTTACAGATGTCCATGATGTAGGTGACGGCCATTTTACTGATGTCCGTGATGTAGGTGACGGCCATTTTACTGATGTCCGTGATGTAGGTGACGGCCATTTTACTGATGTCCGTGATGTAGGTGACGGCCATTTTACTGATGTCCGTGTAGGTGACGACCATTTGACTGATGTCCGTGATGTAGGTGACGGCCATTTTACTGATGTCCATGTAGGTGACGGCCATTTTACTGATATCCGTGATGTAGGTGACTACCATTTTACTGATGTCCGTGTAGGTGACAACCATTTTACTGATGTCTGTGTAGGTGACGACCATTTTACTGATGTCCGTGTAGGTGATGGCCATTTTACTGATGTCCATGTAGGTGACGACCATTTTACTGATGTCTTTGATGTAGGTGACGGCCATTTTACTGATGTCCGTGATGTAGGTGACGACCATTTTACAGATGTCCGTGAAGGTGACGACCATTTTACTGATGTCCATGTAGGTGACGACCATTTTACTGATGTCTTTGATGTAGGTGACGGCCATTTTACAGATGTCCATGATGTAGGTGACGGCCATTTTACTGATGTCCGTGATGTAGGTGACGGCCATTTTACTGATGTCCGTGATGTAGGTGACGGCCATTTTACTGATGTCCGTGATGTAGGTGACGGCCATTTTACTGATGTCCGTGTAGGTGACGACCATTTGACTGATGTCCGTGATGTAGGTGACGGCCATTTTACTGATGTCCATGTAGGTGACGGCCATTTTACTGATATCCGTGATGTAGGTGACTACCATTTTACTGATGTCCGTGTAGGTGACAACCATTTTACTGATGTCTGTGTAGGTGACGACCATTTTACTGATGTCCGTGTAGGTGATGGCCATTTTACTGATGTCCATGTAGGTGACGACCATTTTACTGATGTCTTTGATGTAGGTGACGGCCATTTTACTGATGTCCGTGATGTAGGTGACGACCATTTTACAGATGTCCGTGAAGGTGACGACCATTTTACTGATGTCCATGTAGGTGACGACCATTTTACTGATGTCTTTGATGTAGGTGACGGCCATTTTACAGATGTCCATGATGTAGGTGATGACCATTTTACTGATGTCCATGTAGGTGACGACCATTTTACTGATGTCTTTGATGTAGGTGACGGCCATTTTACTGATGTCCATGATGTAGGTGATGACCATTTTACTGATGTCCATGTAGGTGACGACCATTTTACTGATGTCTTTGATGTAGGTGACGGCCATTTTACTGATGTCCATGATGTAGGTGATGACCATTTTACAGATGTCCGTGAAGGTGACGACCATTTTACTGATGTCCATGTAGGTGACAACCATTTTACTGATGTCTTTGATGTAGGTGACGGCCATTTTACTGATGTCCATGATGTAGGTGACGACCATTTTACTGATGTCCATGTAGGTGACGACCATTTTACTGATGTCCATGTAGGTGACGACCATTTTACTGATGTCCGTGATGTAGGTGACGACCATTTTACTGATGTCCATGTAGGTGACGGCCATTTTACTGATGTCTTTGATGTAGGTGACGGCCATTTTACTGATGTCCTTGATGTAGGTGACGACCATTTTACTGATGTCCATGTAGGTGACGACCATTTTACTGATGTCCATGTAGGTGACGGCCATTTTACTGATGTCCATGTAGGTGACGGCCATTTTACTGATGTCCATGTAGGTGACGACCATTTTACTGATGTCCATGATGTAGGTGACGACCATTTTACTGATGTCCGTGTAGGTGACGACCATTTTACAGATGTCCATGATGTAGGTGACGACCATTTTACTGATATCCATGTAGGTGACGACCATTTTACTGATGTCCGTGTAGGTGACGGCCATTTTATTGATATCCGTGATGTAGGTGACAACCATTTTACAGATGTCCATGATGTAGGTGACGGCCATTTTACTGATATCCGTGATGTAGGTGATGACCATTTTACTGATATCCGTGATGTAGGTGACGACCATTTTACAGATGTCCATGATGTAGGTGACAGCCATTTTACTGATGTCCGTGATGTAGGTAACTTCTATTTTACTGATGTCTGTCGGTGACTATCATTTTATTGATGTCCATGTTCTTTCTGTTGCAGTTTGTGGCCGCCAACGACAAGCTATGGTTCTGGCTGGAGTTGTTCTCATTTGTAGACTACTTCACAATCCCCCCTTCCTTCGTGGCCATCTACCTGGACAGGAACTGGCTAGGTGAGAATTTCCCAAGGGTCATCCTGGTATTTTTGTGATTACCGTATTCGAGGTAATAAGCGCCCAGGACGCTCTCAAAGTTAGAAATAAGGGGCTCTTATTAGAACATTGTTTTGGTGAAAAAATCAGAGTTGAAAGATTGTAAATTTCGTGGTTTATGCTGACAGCCTGAAATGTTTATATACAACAGATACATTTTTCCAGAATTTTATTTCCCATAATTAGGAGTGCATATAACTCACGAGTGAATAACACACAAATAAATAAGTCTTGTGTACATTGATCCATCGGAAGGGTAGACATGATGGATATTCTGACAAGTACACGTGTAAATAACCAAACATAATTTGGCAATTTCTTCTTGAAGCAGTGACAGAAACAAAGTTCTGTCTCTTAACAAACATTCCAGGACAACCCAGAGTCCTCTAAATAATAAATGGCCAGGTTCTTACGTTAATTGACGAAATTTGGCTTTTTTTCTGTCTATTATGAATTTATTAATCTCAAGATTGTGTTATGGGACACAGTCCATACAGCAATAGTTATGTTTTACATTTTGTATATTTCACTTGAAATCTAGAGACTCATTTAGCTGAAACTTTGCATGGATAATGCCAGTAATATACTACTCAAAGAAGTTACAGAACACCCGATTCTTTCATATTACTAAACAAAACCATTAGGGATCATGAATATTTTTGGTGATATTATTTTGTAGTGAAAACTTAGCACACAATTTCATAAAAAAATATTTCATGATGCCTGAATGTTATTTTTTAGTGTACATTGTATATACATCTAGACCTTGTGGAGAGAATTTTGATTTCAAACATGACTTCTGCTGCAGCCATATTGGAAATGTCAGATGGGTTTTAATTCCACAGTTTACTCCACAGTTTATTTATGTATTTTTTTTAAATATGACATACTGTATGTTCTATGTGTGATAGCTTTTTTACATGTTCGTGGTGTTTTTCTCACTGATCCACTTCTGACCTTCATGGCCCTTATAATTCTATTATGATTGTGAGTTCGAATCCCGGTTCAGCCCGATTATGTTTCTAGGTTTGTCAGCACCATACCCGTGCTCGTGGGTTTCACCGAAGTGGTAAACATCTGAGACCTGCATCACTTCGGGCTTTCCTCCCACATTAAGCTGACATGCCATGATATAACTGGAATACTGTTAAAAGCTGCGTCAAACCAAACTCACACACTCATAAATCTGTTGATCCATGCACTACAAGTACAACAATTCTTCTGAAAACTCTTTGTTTGTTTTGTGATACAACCGAAACTCTGTCCTGAAGCACATTTAACCCCACCCACACTCTGTTCATTATTGATGCTGATATTTTAGGTGTCATATTTCAGCTGTGGTATCTTTAGAAGGCTCTAGATTCACCTATATCAGTACTATCAAAAAGGTATATATATGTATCAAAACATTTGATATCATTTAAGTTCTTCGTAAGTGCAATGAAAAAGGAAATGAAACCTCTGTGGTCTTTCTATGGTGTAGAATTATGTCCATAAATCTGGTTACCGTGCATTGTCAATACAGTAAACGCATTTTTAACAAACTCAAAGGGACCACTAATTTAATTCGTTATAACCATAGTTCGTTATAGGCATATATATAGCATATGGACGGAAACAGTTCGTTATATCCGTCAATTCGTATTCAGTGAGTGAGTATGGTTTTACACCGCTTTTAGCAATATTCCAGCAATATCACGGTGGGGTACAACAGAAATGGGCTTCACACATTGTACCCATGTCAGGAATCGAACCTGGCTCTTTGGCGTGACGAGCAAACGCTTTAACCACTAGGCTTCCGCACCGACCCTTGTTATTAGTGTGTTCGTTACAAACATAGTTTACTGAATATGAAACCAAAATAAATATTAATTATATCTTTATAAAATTTGGATTTTTTATGGTTTGCTCAGAGAATACCACTGACATTTTAAACAGCTTGTCATGACAGCCCTGTAAAGCTATCATGTAGTGTATGACTCACTGGTGTGTCCAGGTGGCAGTGTGTGGGTGTGGAAACTGTCAGGGGCAAAAATAGGTATACCCAGTTTGTTTTTTATGTAAATGAATAATGAAAGAACTATTGTTGAATATGAGTATGTTATCTAACCATCACTCATTCCTGCAACAGTTTGTAAAAAGTGATCTGTTGCTGGGTAATTGTGTGTAAAAATAAATTGGTGGGGGCAGAAATGAATTTGCAACCACATGATCCTTGTTTTAAATGTTTTTGATGTATGCCCCCCAAAGTCAATTTATGGATTTTCAAAGATACTCATCAGCAGTTGTGTATTATGAATTTCTTTTTTAATATATAAAAGCTTTAAATTAAATTTTAATTTTTTAAAATATAACTATGTAGAGGTATATTTCAGTGCTGAGTAAGTGTTTGTTTGTTTGTTTGTTTCTGTTTAACGCCGAACTCAGCAATATTCCAGCTATATAACGGCAGTCTGTAAATAATCAAATCTGGACCAGACAATCCAGTGATTGACATCATGAGAATCGATCCACGCAATTGGGATCGATGACATGTATCAACCAAGTCAGCGAGCCTGACCACCGGATCCCCTTAGTCGCCTTTTACGACAAGCATAGTCGCCTTTTACGGCAAGCATGTGTTGCTGAAGACCTATTCTACCCCGGATCTTCACGGGTCGCTGAGTGAGTGGGTGAGTGAATGAGTTGAGTTTAATGCTTCTTTGAACAGTATTCCAGTTATATCACAGTGTGTCCTTAATGTTGGAGGAAAGATGGATGCAGGTCTTAGACGTTAACCACTTTGGTGAAACCTTTGAATGCTGACTAAACACCAGTATAGTTCATATTTATTATATAATATCTCTAACTTAGATATTTTCAATCAAACCTACAAAATCAACTGAGAGGTGCAGTTTCTTTTACCAGCAAGGGTGCTCAGAAACAACAGCTTTGCTGTTCCTGCATGTTTGTCCTGTTTTATCTTTTTTTACATACTATGTAACGAATATTTTTTTAAATCTACAGAGCTTCACTGATCTATTTTAATGTTTTTCCCAAAACATTTATTGATTGAAATAGTTATACATTATAAACTAAGGTCAACAAATGTGCAACAAAGGAGAATATTTTGTTATTCTAAATACCTGTTACTGACATGGACATTTTGAAGAATATATAAATTTTGAATTCAAGAATTTTTTCAAGTGTCTAACTCCCTAATATCAAGTGTCTCAAACTACAGCAGTAGCTTGAATAGATGCATGGTAAAATCGATACAAATGTACTCTGTAATATTTTCATGGGGTGGCCATGAATATTTATTAAAAAATTTATATGTTGGCTTGCTATACAGTTTGATCTAAACATGACACTACTTTGTAAGTAACATCCTGCTTGGTTTTTTATTATTTTGTCGTCAGTTACAAGTTTCACCTCGAGCTAAAGGTCTGTTAAGTGTATTCAAATAGGACACACATTGCTAATGTTATTTAGATGTGTTATTTCAAACCCAGACTGAACTGAATGATAGTTGCATTGTTAAATGGTTAATGTATTTGAGTGTGAATCATATTTCACAGTCAAATGGTCCTACATTGTAACAATTCAGATTTTTATATTTATATAGGGCATTGATGACTGTGAGCAGTCACAGCTTGCTTTGCAGTTGTCTCCCTTTGTCATGCAAGAATCATGAGTCCAAATTCTTATTTGTGTTTATGATGATCCCTGTTCTGTCAGCACTCAAATGGTAAATGACCTGCATTACTTTGGGTTCTCCAATATGATGACAAGGCTGTAATATTACTGAAGCTCTGGTCTTCGAACTCAACTACCTCACTCACTCATATGCCCCAAGAAGATCTGGGCTAGAATAAGTCTCCAGCAAGCCATGCTTGCCATAAGAAGCGACTGACAAGATTGGGTGATCAGACTCATAGACTTGGTTGATGCATGGATACTTTCAATTGCATACATCGATGCTCATGATGTCAATCACTGGGTTGTCTGGCCCTGACTCAGTTATTAACAGACCGCCGTCATATAGCTGAAATATTGCTGAGCACAGTGTTTAACAACAAACCAACAAACGCTCACTCACATTATTAAAAAAAAAAAAAACAGAATTAACTGGCCTTGCCTTGCCTCAACTGAAGTCAGTGAATCAATCAATTGTGGAAACCACAATTTTAAGCTTTTCATTCTTTATGTAACACAGGCCTTATGTTGTTTTTCTCGTGACTTGAATGGGAACGTTTGGAGATTGGTTCATGTATTCTGCCATGAAAATTATGAAAATAATATTTTGCTAAATTATAAAAATAACGTTTTGCCAGGATTCCCCCCTGAATTCATCCTTAGTGTTGCCTTATCATTTAAACAGTGATTTATTCCAGATGCTGATGTTATCCTTTTGTGTGTGTATTGGAAAGCTGCACATATTGTTGACAGAATAAATCATGAGAGCACCTTGTGAGATGAGAGTGATTGTCTGGTAGATATCCAGGGCAGGAATCTATGTGATAAGATGTTAATCCACCCACGGGAAACATACCGTGTTCTGTGTAAGGAGAACACACAGATCATGTCCTCGGGGACTGAGAATCTGGAATGCAAATTGATTGCTGGGAAAGAATCATTTGATCTCTGTTCACTTCCTTTCATGACAATTTCCCCATCTGGAGTCTTATGAAACATTCAGTATTTTCGTGTATGAGTTACATGTTATAGCTTAGTTTTTACACGGGCAGAAATGGTTAGAATAGGTCCCCAGAAACCGTCTTAAGAAGAATGCAAATGGATTGGGCTGTCTGGCTCAGTCACATGGTTGATTTCATGGATCGTTGCTTGCAATATATCAATAACTTGATTGTCTGATCAAGACTCAATTATTTACATGGCGTTGCCATATAGCTGGAATATTTGCTGAGTGACATTAAAAATAAAGAAACAAACATGGGAAGAACTTTACCTGTACATCATTGAGTGATTTGCTTTACACCGCATTAGCAGTCTTGCAGCTTTTGGTGGCGAATTATTAGTCTGTTGTATTGGTTGTCTTGGGTGAGTGGGTGAAAATATTCTTACACCTTGTGGTTGGGGCCACCAGAAATAGGCTTTACACATCGTTTCTATGTGAGGAACAACATGTCTAATTGAGGACACCTTGTGTTTATTTCTTAAGATATCAACATTATGTACAGCCTCTTTAAGGATGTTGATAAAATGTGCAAGCTTTAAAATAGTTACCTTAATTTTAATAATGATGACTCCCTGAATGGCAATGTTGGATAAGTTCATTTTATGAACAGGTGGGTTGGTTAAGTTTGGTATTTCCTGCATATTCTCACAATTACGTCGATCATCTGTATCTTTTATCCTAATACCAATTAATAACTCTTCTGAATGTTTGTCATCTATATTCAAAATGTTTGACCTCATGTGCCAGCAAGCCATCAATATGTTTAATCGAATGAAAGATTTATACATGAGTTGGATTTGAAGCTGGAAATCCTGTTTCCTGGGGATCAACATCGGGAGACTGAAGCCATATTACTGTCAGACATTCCAGTTGTATTGAATCCTTCACAAGGTCACTCAAGTCCTGGCAATAAAAGTGCTTGTTCCAACTGCTAAAGAGACTGCTGTTTTTGTGATTCGGTGACTAGCTCAAGGATTGTTTCCTTCGAACAGGACTCAAAATGAAGTTAGGGTGGTTTTTATCATAATATAATGGAGGTATGATACCCTAGATAATCAAGGATGGCTCCCAGTTATCCTGTATGCAGTTAATATTTGCATGCCCATTCCTCTAAACATGTCTGACCAAGTTCGACAGGACGTCGGTTTTGGGTAATTGGATGCTCAGTTGGGAATTGAAATTCCTCACACGTCTAATGAAGTGTCGCATCTTTTATGTCGCTCTGACACTGAGAATTGTTCGGGCTATCCCATGATGCCATCTTGCTGTAGTTACGGCAACAGGATGACCCAGCCTGTCTTTGAACTCCCAAAGGAACATGGCTTGCAATAGGCACAATGGAAATTTCTGTGGGTCGACTTCATTGGAACAATGCCCTTACAGAATCTTACATGTTATGATCAGAATATGCTGAGTATTAATCTGTATTTGAGTCCCTGGAGGAAAGGGCCTCAGAATATCATCGCATTAACCTAAGCTGATTACCGGCTGTTTGTATGACCTGGAGGAATTAACAGTAATTTCTGCTAGTGAATCATATCACTTATGATTCTGCCTTATAAAAACGTCCACAATATAAAATATTTTCTAATTACATCAATCACGAATTTATTCAGAACTCTTTAATAATAATAATAATAATAATAATAATAATAAAAATGGGCACAAAAGCAGATGTTAACTAACAAATTGTTATGTTTATTGAATGAGGATAATATTAAGCAGTTTAGCTCAGATTTGTTATCCCTATTTGTCTTATCAATCACTAATCGGTCTGTAAGGCCATACCTATCCCCAAGGCTCACTCACCCACACACCACGCCACTCACTCACCCACACACCACACCACTCACCCACACACCACACCACTCACTCACCCACACACCACACCACTCACCCACACACCACACCACTCACTCACCCACACACCACACCACTCACCAACACACCACACCACTCACTCACCCACACACCACACCACACCACACCACACCACACCACACTACACCACACCACACCACTCAACCACACACCACACCACTCACTCACCAACACACCACTCACTCACCCACACACCACACCACACCACACCACACCACACCACACCACACCACACCACACCACACCACTCACCCACACACCACACCACTCACTCACCCACACACCACACCACTCATTCACTCACTCATTCACTCAATCACTCACTAAATCACTCACTAACACACCCAACCACCCACTAATTCACTCACTCAACCACACACCACTTCACTCACTCACCCACACACCCAATAACTTACTCACCCAATTACTCACTCATTCATCAACACACTCACTCACTTACTCACTCACCCAACAACTTATATTACCCAACAAATCACACACCCAAACACTTGTTCACTCACTCACTCACTCACTCACTCACTCCAACAGCTCCCACTTGAGCGATGCTGTGGTATCATTGCCATATTAAGTTAAAGTAAGCAAGCCAGTAGAGACTGGGTAATCGGACATACACCAAACACTTATTCACTCATCAATCGTGTCAACTCTGCTGAGACAAAATGAAAAAGAAAACTCACACCCTTGTGATGGCTCTGAGGTGCCCAAGTGGTTTAAGTATCATGCCAAAGACCTGGGTTTGATTCCTTGCATTGATTATATGTCTGAAGCTTTTTTTTGCTTTTTTTGTTGTTGGTTGTTTAACGCCGCAGTCAGCAATATTCCAGCTATATGACGGCGGTCTGTAAATAATCAAGTCTGGACAATACAATCCTATGATTGACATCATGAACATCGCTCCACGCAATTGGGATACGATAACATGCATCAACCAAGTCAGCAAGCCTGACCACCCAATCCTGTTAGTTGCCTCTTATGACAAGCATAGTCACATTTTAAGGCAAGCATGGGTTGCTGAAGACTATTCTATCCCCGAACTTCACGGGTCTGATATGTTTGAAGCCAAATCTCAGTGATACTGCTGAAAGCAATGTAAAGCCATACTCACTGATCTATTGTGTGTTTAATAGGTGGTTTGGAGGGGTCCGCTTAGTAAGGCAGCACAATGGTTAAGGCATGGTTGTCATGCCAATCAATGCTTCCACAGGTTGGCAGAATGTGTGAAGCCCAAAGGTGGTGTCCCCCACTGTGATATTGCTGGAATATTGCTACAAGGGACATTAAACCATGCTCTCTCAATGGGAGGCTCCATGTTCTTGAATACTATGGCCGACCTCAATCAAGCTCAATGCTCATGCAATGCATTGCCTAATGAGTGATTTGTCATTAAAACAGTACTTGGCAGCATTTGTGAGTGTTGGTCAAGTGGAAGAGTGTGCGCTTATTTATTAACCTTATCGTTGAAGGATGATTGTTGTGCCACACACACTTTGTTTACCCCCATAAAGGTTGCAACAGTTAAGGTTACAACAGTTGGTTGTAACAAGGTCACTATGTAATATATACTTGTTGTGATTTTATAGTTGACATGTCAAGCTCATGAGGGGCAGTCGGGTAGCCCAGTGGTTAACACGTTTGTTCATCACGCTGCAGACCTGGGTTTGATTCCCGACATGGGTACAATGTGTGAAGCCCATTTCTGGTGTCCCCCGCCGTGATATTGCTGGAATATTGCTAAAAGCGGGTAAAACCATACTCACTCACTCACCCTATTTTATAATTAAAAAGGGACCCTGAAAACATCAGTATAGCATTGAAATAGTTCTTGTTCGAAGCTCAAAAGCAAGATGGAACGGCATGTTTACTTCACTACAATCAGCTATCCGAGCAAAAAGTTCCCACATAAAATATTATTTAGAAAGAGTTTGAAGACAGTCGACTATGTTTTGACGCGGTCATGAGGAAATGTTCTGCCGAGGGTTTGAGGCATCGTGTAGACATGTCAAGCTCAAGAAATATATTATGGTTGTGCTGTCCATAAGGAGATCATGCATTTAATAGCTGATAGATTAGCCCACAAGATACACCAAGCCTGGCCTCATGGCCTGAAGGAATCCAGCTCACTCTGCATGGGAGTTGTGTCCCTTAGCTGTGCGAAGCTTTTCGTTTGTTCAATCACTGACTTTCAATGATCTGCATTATGAGTTGTGTCCCTTTGGGGATTAATAATTAAATATTTGTGAGTGAGTATAATTTTATGCCACTTTTAGGACTGTCCCAGTCATATTATGGCCGGGCAGATCAAAAATGGTCTTTGCACATTTGAGAATCAAATGCAGATCTTAGTTTTTATAAAAGTCTGACAGGTTTAAGATTACTTGTTTGATAGGCATTACTTAGAAGTTGGCGGATGAAAAGATAGACACAATTTTATGGATAACAACTTCTTGAATACTGTAAAAAGCGACGTTTCGGTATAGATCCTTATACCGTTGTCAACTTGACAACGGTATAAGGATCTATACCGAAACGTCGCTTTTTACAGTATTAAAGAAGTTGTTATCCATAAAATTGTGTCTATCTTGTCAGGTTTAAGATTCCTGAAAGTGTTTGTCTGTTGTCACTATCTGGAACTGTCTTCCTGCAGTAACTGTCTGTCTGCCTTGCCTCTAATGTCTGCTGCTGTCTGTCTTGTGTCTGGTTTAGGCTTATGATGTAACTATGTCTGTCTGCCTTGCCTCTAATGTCTGCTGCTGTCTGTCTTGTGTCTGGTTTAGGCTTATGATGTAACTATGTCTGTCTGTCTTGCCTCTAATGTCTGCTGCTGTCTGTCTTGCGTCTGGTTTAAGGTTCTTGAGAGTGATGCAGATGATGTAGCTATGTTTGTCTGTCTTGTGTCTGACAGGATTGAGGTTCCTGAGAGCGTTGCGGCTGATGTCCATCCCCGACATCTTGACGTACCTCAACATCCTCAAGACCAGCACCATGATCCGACTCGTCCAGCTGGTGGCATACTTTGTCAGTCTCTGGCTCGCTGCAGCCGGCTTCCTCCACCTGGTGAGAGAATCACACACTACTACATTGACCCAGGACTAAAACCATTAAAACTATAGATTCCATCACATTTTTTGTACCAATGCTACTTTCATCACAAGTGTCTCAAACTCAAGCCACCTAATAGACATTATCTTGACCATTACAAATAATTTAAGTGTTTGCTATTATAATGTTCCCTAGTTATGTATTGTTCTGGGATTTATTTTTGTTATCAGCAGAGATTGCTATGTTCAGCTACTTTGTGCCGAACCCTGGTTTGCACACAATCTGAGGACTGTTGCTGACCAGGGGAGATAACTCACATGTTCACTTCTCAAACATGAAAACAAATGAAAGATAGGTTTATTTTGTGGCATATTACTGTAGCTACTGTTACCCAAGTCCAATATTTTTCTTCCTGTCAGAGCTGTAACGTTTATATTGTGGCGATGTTGGGGTTATAGGTACATAGCATATAAGCTATAGTATTCTTGATCAGTCAGAATTCTGTTCAAGATGAAGACGTTATGGCTACACTTGGCTCTGCAGATTAGGATCCACTGCTCATTGGCTCAAATTCCAGATTTACCTGATGATGATCGTTGGTTTATCAGCACCATTTCTGTTTTCATTGCTTTTTCCAAACTGGTATAAGTCTAAGCGTTCAGGCTTTCCTGATCTACACATCAATTTGAAACACGATTGTATGTCTGAAATACTGTTCGAAGCAGTTTTAAACCCAACTCACTCACTAAACCCATTAAGACTTGAAATTTTCAAACTAAAATATTTACAATATATCGTTATTTTATAGACAAAAAAAGTCATTGTGTGGCCTTGTGATTTTGTCCCATCTAAGTTCTATCAAGTCCATGCTTTAAGACAGCTTTATCAATCGTATCAGGTCATTACAGTCCATTTTTACATTTATGGAAGAAAGGAGGATGAAGTAAGACCGATCAATGAAGCCAAGGATTGTCAAAGCAAAACATTTTTCTTAAGAATCCTTCTTAGCTGTAAAGGAGGTCATTTAGTTTGTTGCTGCTTGACTATGCAGCTCAAAGTTTCATGTGTCAATGTGCCCTGGCAACATTTCGATCCATCTTCTGGTGTTGCTGATGTGAAGGGTCGCAGTTGGCGAGCATCATACAAAAAGTCAAATTAGCAAAATATTATTTCATAAATGTCAAATACTTTAATCCCAATTTTATGATTGCAATTGTCTTACGTTTGAATTATTCTATCTTGTTATACCTCTATTTAGAATCTTGCAATTCCATTGGTTGATCCATACCACATGATGAAACAAAACATTTTAATGTAGACCCCCAAATCGTATGACTGACACTGACCACGAATATTGACTCGTCACATGATCAGTATTGACCTGTCACGTGATAAATATTGACCTTTTAAGCCTTTTTTTAATGTTTTTGTTATTTCCTATTGTTATTGTAACCCTTTTGCCATTTCAGATTGAGAATTCAGGGGACTTTTTCTTCGACTTCTCAAACCCGCAAAAGTTGACATACTGGGAGTGCCTCTACTTCCTGTTGGTAACCATGTCAACCGTGGGGTATGGAGACATCTATGCAACAACTGTTCTCGGGCGCACTTTTATCGTCGTCTTTATCCTCATAAGCATTGTAAGTCTTGTCTTTTTGTGAGGATGGTTGAGTGGCTGAGTAGTTAAAGTGTTTGCTAGTCACACCAACTTGGGTTTGAATCCCATTTGGACTATGTGTGGACCCTATTCTTGGTCCCCCCTCCATGATATTGCTGGACCACTGCAAAGGTTGCATAACAAAAATGTTTCTCGTCTGCATATGACACAGAAAATTTGAAAAATATTTTTTAGTGGCATTGTAAAATGACTGATTTAAGACAAATTTCCTTTTCTTTCTTTTAGCCTAAAGCATCATAAATCTAAACTCATATCCCTCTTATTCAGGCCTTCACCATTGTAAATTTGTTGTGGTGACTTCATTTGTCAGAGTTCGTAAGGGCGGTTGAGTAGCCTAGTGGTTAAAGCGTTCGCCCGTCACGCTGAAGACCCGGGTTCGATTCCCGACATGGGTACAATGTGTGGAGCCCATTTCTGGTGTCTCCCACCGTGATATTGCTGGAATATTGCTAAAAGCGGCGTAAAACCATACTCACTCACTCACTCACTCTCAGAGTTCATATCCACCTATCAAAAAGACTATCACACTAGCACTATTTCATAGTGATTCATAACAACAGGCTTATGATAAAGTCGGAATTGTACAGTGGACTCTTGATTTCTTATGATTATGGAAAGGTCTTTTTGTTTATTTATTAATATATATTATATTGTTCAAATATTTACTTAATGTATTCTGTTTTTAACGAAGATCTTTTCCACCACTCTTGTTCAATATTTTAATTGAACCAATCCCAGTAATTCAAAATTATCATCAACTATTACTCAGGCAACTCAAAATTATCATCAAATATTACTCAGGTAACTCAAAATTATCACCGCATATTGCTCTGGCAACTCAAATTATCATCACATATTGCTCCAGCAACTTTCGTCTGCAATCCCAGTCTGTGAATAGTTATATGTAATGTGAACAGACAGTTGAGGTATAAATTAGTTTGTCATGTTCTTTTGTACAGTGGAACTACATTAATTCTGTCAATAACTTTGTCATCTAGAAAATAGAATTGGTAACATACCGGTACATGTTTGTATTGCTTCACTACAAATTTGTTTTGAAAATCAACATAAATGGATTTGGTTCATGTAAAGAAAGAATGGAAACCAACAAGGTTATTGCGTGTTTGGAATTAAAAAAAAATATTTGAAAAAGAGGAAAACTTTTTGCCATGCATCAAAGCATTTCCCTAACATCAATGTAGTCATGTTAACAATGAAATGTCCGATTGGATCTACGATTCATCAATAAAATATTGACAAGTCAAGCATTGATAGAGAACAGACAGGACTTATTTATGGATAGATAAGAGTTGTTTTAGAATCAAATAAAGGACAGAGTCTGATTCTACTGATTTTTATAATTCTACTGTTTTACTGATGTTTCTGATTCTACTTATTCTACTGATTTTTTTCTGATTTGTGGATTGAAGAATACTGTGTAAGGTTAGTTCCAACTCACCCGAGATTGGATCAGACTGGTTGAGATTATATCAGGGATATTGGCCATTCAATGATTCTGTGTCCTGCATATAAATCAATTGCTAGTTCTGTATGTAAATGACAAGAATGTCAATATAAATCAATACCAAATGCTTCATCTGAATAACAATTATGTATGATAGAGAGATTAATTGATTGCTAGATTGTGATACGGTATCTTGTTAGTGTTACTCCCGCAGCAACATGAAAATTTACTCTGTAAAGCAATTTGACTTTTACATTGATCTGGTTTATCATGAGAAGAATATTGCCATAAGTATCAAAGAAATTGCTTTTTCAAATTGTATATGAGATTTTTCAAAATGGCTGTCGCTCTTCAGAAATCTGTTGAACATGTTGAATACAATATTGATCGAATACATTGGATGTGAGTCAGTTTCATAACTCTTATATATGATTGACATACTGTACAGATGTCTAGACCAAAATCAATTCAGTGAATAATTTATCTGTTGAGGGAAAATGTATAGAATGGCAAATAGGTACAAAAGTATGCAAAAATATAAGAAGTCCATGTGTGTCTCTGTGTGGCGCCATAGTAGCACTGTGTGACTCAGACGTTGATGTATATGTGTTGTGGAATATGTTTTGAAGTGTGTTAAGAGATGAATAATTCATCAATGACTAGGACATAAAGGAAGAAAATGAAATGCAGAGAGATCTCATTAATTTACTCATTTACTTGCTAATTGGTAAGATAAGGGTCCCAACAGAATCATTCATGTATCATTAATTGAGCCTTCGTGAAGTAGGGTGAGTTCGTATCATGAACAACATAATATGTGACCCCTTTCCTGATTCTTGACTCAGTGGAGTTGACCTCATTAGACCATATTATCTTTTTTTTAAATCAGTCAGGTTTCACTTTGGCAGGGTTCTATTTTTACAAAATATCGTACCAGTAAAATTAATATTTCTTCAAGGTGTCTATGTGTCTATGTGTCTCTTTATTGTTACACAACTGCTTACAGGAGGATAAGACCCTTCATATTATGAAGTATAAGTTTGCCCTTGATGGCAGTTTAATTTGTGACCAATAGATACACGGATACGTTCCATACTAAAGTGGAACATTGATTGTGAAATGTATATTTTATTTATTACTTTCCTGTCTCTTGTAGGGTTTGTTTGCAAGCTTTATCCCAGAAATAGCAGAAATTCTTGGTCGCAGACAGAAATATGGAGGCACATACAAGAAGGAAAGAGGAAAGAGGTGATATAAATTCAGTTATTTCATGATTGTATCTACTATCTTTTTTGTTTCTTTTCCGTACATTTTTTTATCATTATTAATAAATAAAGTTATCATTTCAACATAATTCCAGACATTTTTTAATAAAAGAATTAAAAATTATTTTAACTGTATTTTTAACATTATGATTTTTGAAAAGATTATCTTCCAAATGTCAGAATTGTTTAAGCTCTCAATTCTAATTTCCTGAAATATGTCAGTTATTCTTGTTTTGAATTTTATTTCAGACATATTGTTGTGTGTGGTCACATCACCTTCGAATCGGTGTCCAATTTCTTAAAGGATTTCTTGCACAAAGACCGAGAAGATGTGGATGTGGAGATTGTCTTCATACACAAGTATGCATTGTCTTCAAAATACCAATTTTATTTCAAATTAAGAGTTAACCATTCCTTCCATTAGAGGAAAAATGGAGGATTTTCCTAATCAGATAATGCCTTTCGACTAGTGGCAATGCCTGGTACTGAACTTATTCCAGTGATTAATCAGGTAAATTATCTTGGGATAACTGGCTTGGGCAGTTACCTTTGTATCAGTGTTGTAGCGATTTCTGGAACTGAATTTATGGCTGACAGGACCAAGCAAAATCAATATTTATACCATTTACAATTTACTGTATTAAAAAGGGAGCCATTTTGTACAGGGATAAACAGAGGCGCTGCCCTAAGAAAGCTTGCTGGTATGAGTCTGCAGGCGAGAATCATAGACTTAAGTCAAATTGTCATATATAGAGAGTTATATAACAAACAAAAAGTGAATCATTTCACAATTACGACACGTTATGTATTGCTTCTGCAAAACTGAATGAGGGTAGTATCTAAACATTCTTTGAACAATGATACCGCTGCATCGTGACATCATACAGTAGACATACTGTAGCACATCATTGGTGTGTCACTGCATTGTAACCCTGTCTCCAGACATCATACAGTAGACATACTGTAGCACATCATTGGAGTGTCACTGCATTGTAACCCTGTCTCCAGACATCATACAATAGACATACTGTAGCACATCATTGGAGTGTCACTGCATTGTAACCCTGTCTCCAGACATCATACAGTAGACATACTGTAGCACATCATTGGAGTGTCACTGCATTGTAACCCTGTCTCCAGACATCATACAGTAGACATACTGTAGCACATCATTGGAGTGTCACTGCATTGTAACCCTGTCTCCAGACATCATACAGTAGACATACTGTAGCACATCATTGGAGTGTCACTGCATTGTAACCCTGTCTCCAGACATCATACAGTAGACATACTGTAGCACATCATTGGTGTGTCACTGCATTGTAACCCTGTCTCCAGACATCATACAGTAGACATACTGTAGCACATCATTGGAGTGTCACTGCATTGTAACCCTGTCTCCAGACATCATACAGTAGACATACTGTAGCACATCATTGGAATGTCACTGCACTTTAGAAATAGATGGAATATGTAAATGTGCACATTTGTTACTGGATGTATTTAATATAAAATTAGCAGACTAACAGATAGGAATTATTCTATTTGCTTTTAGATGAATGTTTTATCTATATGTGGCTAAATATTTTATGAAGTTAAATACTATTCTAGTAATTACACTACTGTAAACATACGTTTATGTAAAACTGTAGAGACAGTGTGTGGTTTCCCTATAGGCCTCCATTATTAAAAGTGTTTTTGGTGCAGTAGTTATTAAGTGAGCCAAGCTGCAAAGAATACACATGAACCTTTGTTTTAATTGGAGAGTCAGATGATGTCATCAAGATTTTAATAATACCTATCTAAAAACAAGTTAAAAACAAACCCGCAGACATCCTTAACAAGCCTTAACTATGAACCTTGTGTTTTCTCACTGTGGGCTCTTCTTCCCACTTCAGGATGACACACTTTGGTATGGCTGAAATTGTAAACTTCACCTTACTCCCTGCATGGAACCCACCACCTCAGTAGTTTCAGAAACAAAGGCATTTACAAGTTTGTCAGACATTAAACTGAACATATTCTTTTCCAGGATGTTGCCAGACCTGGAATTGGAAGGTCTTCTAAAACGTCACTTTACACAAGTAGAGTTTTTCCAGGGCACGGTCATGGATGCCAATGACTTGGAAAGAGTTAAGGTATGGAATGTTCAATATCATTTATTGCAAGGATTAATACTCAAAATAACAAAATAACAATTAGTTGGGACTTGATGGTTGACACTATTTGCCAACATTTTGAGCCGGTGATTATGATAGTCTCAAGTGTGTTTAGTCTTGTCCAAGCCTAAAAGTATGGTTGCCCCGATTACTTCACTCACTCTGTTTGCAGATTTGTCAAGGCGGCTGGCGCCTGTCTGGTCCTGCCCAGCACTGTTGCCATGACAACAAAATCACTCACCCCTTTCTGTGAGATACCTTTCTGCTTCTGGCCAACAAGCAAGCACTGTTGCCATGACTACAAATTCACTCAGCCACTCTGTTTGCAAATTCGTCAAGGTGATGCCTGTCTGGTCCTGGCCAACAAGCAAGCACTGTTGCCATGACTACAAATTCACTCAGCCACTCTGTTTGCAGATTCGTCAAGGTGACGCTTGTCTGGTCCTGGCCAACAAGTACTGTGAAGACCCTGACCAGGAGGATGCAGCCAACATCATGAGAGTCATATCAATAAAAAACTACCATTCCGAAATAAAAGTTATTGTGCAGCTCCTGCAATATCATAACAAGGTGAGTCTGACCTCTAATGATTTACAGCCGTTTGTGAGGTTAAATTCATGTATGGTTGTTACCCAGAAATGCCAACCATTACAATTTTGGCAAAATAGTTAAGATTTTGAGCTTAAAATTCCACTTTTATATTTGTCATACCCAAAATTACAATTTTTGTCATTTTTTTCACGAATTATTTACATGCATAAAACATCACGTAGAGCAGATTGGTAATGTACCAGTGACATCAAGCATTCTACAGCAAGCCTATACTGACCAATGAGAGCCATGCTTTCAATTCACATCGGTAATACACGGTCTCTGATTGGTTGTTGTGTAAAACACACTCAAGTCATCTTAATGTCAGTCATTACGGGTGCAGATAGGGAACTAATTGCATTTACACCAATATTTCTTCGGAACTCAAAACACCACATCTTTCTGACAAACAGTACATTAATGCCACATGATGAATTTCATGAATGTGGAGCTATTGACCACATGTTTCCCTAGGCCTAACGACTAGGCCTAACGAAAATGTTGAAGTGAAAACCCACATCAGAGATTCTCAATGGTGGCGACCATTCTGAAAAATTCTGAAAAATTTTCACATGAAATTACATTATTATTTTTCATCCTACTTATTACTTTTAGACTTCAATTAGGACTGCCATATCTATTGCCTAATCGTTTTACTGTGTCTGATTGGGGGCACGGGTGGCCCAGTCATCTGAGGCGCAGCGATTTGCTGTGCAGAGTTGCGTCTCTTAGGCACGCCAGAAACCTATGTGGGTTTGAATCCTAGTTCACCCCGATTATGTTTCTTGGTTTGTCAGCACCATACAGTGCTTGTGGGTTTCACCGAAGTGGTAAACGTCTAAGACCTGCATCACTTCGGGCTTTCCTCCCACATTAAGCTGACATGCCGTGATATAACTGGAATACTGTTAAAAAACAGTGTTAAACCCAACTCACTCACTCACTGTGTCTAATCCTGTCCTAGATTCAGAGATAAACTGATTACAGTATTAGGGAGCCCATAGTTATTATGATTTAAACATGTATTCCAAAGGGAGATTGTAAAATGAAATAACAGTGTGGGCACCAGATGTCTGCCACAGTCAGTCATCCCCTACCCTATTCTTGCCCCGGGGTCATTGTCATGTAGGTCTGTCTAGGGCTTCAGTCCTGCCCCACACTGAAGCACATGTCACACATGTGTCTCTGTAGGCTAGTCACATCGTTCGATATTTCGATATTGCTTCTGTTCACCCTCAATGAATAGGTACCTGGCAGGATTAGATTTTAGTGTGACTGTTCTACCACCCTACAGGCAGCTTGGGTTGTATACTCCCCAGGGAGCTGAGAATTAAATCTTGAAAAGGTTTTGCTTATTTGATCGTGTGTATATGCTATAGTCAATGTGTAAAATGACAAAAAGGTTCACTTAGGCAATTTATTAAATGCCTAAATATTCAGTTATACAAATTGACTGAAAAAGCTGTTAATCCTTTGAATAAAGTATGTTGTTTTTACATAGGCACTTCACAGCCAGATATTGGTCTATTCTGTCTGCTTTAGTGAATAACAGTGATTAATCAATCAATGCATTTTCAGTTAATCCTTTGATGGATGTTTTGTTTTGTAACTCAAATGGTCATTCCTCCCTTGCTGCATGGTCACGTGCATGTTACATGACATACGTTTCACCCCACTTCAAACCTGGATTCGGATTGAATAGTTACCCCTGACACAAGAAATGCCAAATGGGCACCTTTGTCAGGTAATCTGAGTGGCACTGCCACTAATTATAGTTGTAATAAATTCATGAAGTGAGCATCAAGTGAATGGCAACAAATACATAAGTGTAGGGTTATACCAGGAAGCATGGATGACAACAAGGGAGTCGTAATGGTATTATCCACACAATCCGAAATCCTAAATGCTTTCACTGGAGAGATACTTTTTTAATTAAACTATAACCACTTGGGGTATTTCCAAATTGATAACGACATCCAATGAGCTTCCATTATTCTTTTTGTCAGTTTGTTTAGGTTGAAGAAATTAATTAACATGCACTCTTTGTAATATTGAAATCTTCATAGATCAAGCCTCAAAGTTAGTCCTTAGAGAAAGTAGCCCATTCTTATGTCACGCTCAGTTGAGATAAGCGAGCAACTCGACTATAGTCTGGAAGGTAATTTAAGGTACCGATGTTTACTACAATATCTGAAAAACTCTTGGACCTACTCCAGTCAAAGTTGGTAAGAGATTATTAAACAGTCATACATAACTGGATATTACATTTGAAGACAATCGGTGCATGAATAGAAAATCTGTCTATTTAGCTATCACTATATTTCATCGACAACCAGACCTGTTCATCACAGGTGGAACGAGCATTCAGTGAAACAGCCATCTGCATAATGCTACCCCTGCATCACAGGGCCATATGACACAGTTGAACCAATCAACTCAACTTGAAAGGGTGCTCGGGAATCAAGAATACAGTGTTAGCGTTGGGCGTCTCAACGTCGGTACCCTAAATTACCTTCCAGACTATAAGCAAGCAACAGGACTAACAGCAGTTGGTGTGCCCAGTGGGCAGTGTTAGACAGCCGGGAAGAAGCTAGAGATGAGTGCCCCTTTAAACAGTATGGTTTAAAACGTCCTAAAAAAATGTAATCCAAATACACTAAAAGGTCATCTTTATTTAGGGCTCTGAAGTCATGCAGTGATATGTTTTAGATTTTTAACACTTGACATATAACCCCACATCACCCAGTAATGTCATTATGCTACTCAGAAGAAGTTCAATAACAACTGATTGACAGATTGACTATAGTCAATGACAAAAAGCGGTGTTCTTTAACCTCTTTTGAATAGTATATGGAATTATGTGTCAACATACATAATCCAATGTCTTTAATCAAACATGCACACAATAATGATGAAACAGATGTTACGTTAATATTAATTTTATTGCCAGAGCAGTTTATTCCAGCTCTGTTACAACAAATAATGAAAATTAATGATGACACTACTTGTATCCATTACAAGGAACATGGTTTCGAAGTTTTTAACCATATGAGACCTGTAGTCACCAAAGTACATGTGGCCATTTTCCCTTACAAGACACATCTAGACACCTGTCTGACCAGTAGTGTTGACCACAGGAATATTAGATGACACTAAGCAGATAAGCCTGGTAAAAGTGAAGCAGTTGTAGGATGATATTATTAGCATTGACCTCACAATTGGCAGTGTTTCATGGCGGCTTCAGATGTACTCAATAGGAAATAAATAATTGAAAATTATGGCCAATGTTTCTAGGTAGGCTTTTGATGTGTCTGTCATTATTACTCTATCATCACATTACCTTGTAAAGCAAGGTTCATGAACACTAATTATTCTGCTTCGCGTTTAGATTGTATTCTCCAAGGAATTGATGCTTGCTCCATGTGTTTGTATGAGACTATGACAACGTATCAGTTTGGTCATAGGCGTAGGGCTAACCTTGTGGTTAAAGCATTCATTTGTCATGTCAAAGGCCTGGGTTTGATTTCCCAATGGATGCAATTTGTGAAAATGATTTCTTGTGTTCCTGCAGTGATATATTGCTCACAGCCATGTGAAACCCGATCTCATTAAATCAGGTCTTAGTGCCATCAGGTTTTCATGCAACCTCAAAAAGGTTAACATGAGGCATCCGAACAACAGTTACAAGCTGTACAACTGATTCTGTTAAAATTGTTGTCTCTCTCTCGCTTCTATGGGATAAATATTTGAACAGAAGAGACTATCCATAGCCTGTGGAAAGAAAGTAATGCGATATAATCCTGGCCATCTATTAGACATAACACATTTTTCTTTTGTTCAGTTTTCAAATTTTGAAATGAGAACTTTGTTTAAAACTAGTCCTTGAAGTTGGAGAAAGCTGCTCTGATTGGTTAATGTCGACTTCCTGTTTGTCCTTTCCTTGGTCGGTCAAAGTTGAGAATGGTCGTTCTGACGTTATCTGAAATGGATGTCCTCAGATCTATGTGTAGCGATAGCAAGATCAGATTTTAATCATTCATTTTGGTCGTTATTGTATTTTGATGATAATGTAATTTATGTCTTTGTTTCAATATTCCACCTTTCTACTCACCTATTTGCAGATCAAAATGGCCCTAATCCTTTGAATTTGTTTTTAAGCATGTTGAGATAAAAATTAAAGGCACACCTCAAAATTTTCTTTCCTGTTGAAACAACTCTGATCAGAATTAAAAAGAATCCTATATATTTGTGCATTGTACAGAACACAAATTCTAGGATGGAAGTGAATTTAAATGTTTTATTTGCATGTCAGTTTACAACAGTAAGAATCTGGTTAATGTTCCTGTTGACCATCTGAGTGTTTGCAGGAGAGCGACCTACCAATCAGATTGTATGACAAGTAATGATGAATGATGAGATTCATCTTGTCTTAATTCCCATTCAGATGAGGACAGGGATGACAAAAACATTTGAGGTCTTTCAGAGAGACATCTTGATTGCTGCCTGTTGGGCTTGTTTTTGAATGTATGAATATGTATGTGATCAAGCGTTCATCATACTTGACCCCTTGCATTAGACGAACCCTATCGATTAGTATTAGAACACAACAAATCAGTCAACATGCATAGCTACAAGCATTTCATTCAAAATATGCCTCCTTGATATCTTTTGTTTTTATGCATGGTTTTTAAGGTGTTTTTTTTATCTAAACACAAGCAAGAATATTACGGTACTTAATTTTTCCAAGAATCTCAACTGGAAATTAATAGCAACTGTTTGAAGAAGATATCACTGTAAGATTATGCATCTCTTTTGAGAGTACGGTAGTTAAGCAGGCTGACTATAAAATTCTATATCTCCACTTGAGTGAAGATGGAACCCAGACAGTAATGTTGCCATAGACTCGGTACAAGTCTCCATCCAACTTGTCCCGGAATGACACAAGTGGTCACAAATGAATGTCAAGGTCATTTGCGACCCCGGCAGAAGACAAGGACACATGACTCCATCGCTCAGGCCAACTGTTGGTGTGTCACTCTAATCTTGAGGTTATTGATCGTGGGCTCCTTTCACAGTGGGATCTCAGCACTACAACTATCGGAAGTGTGTGTTAAAGCATGGGAGTTACGATGGACGTTCAACTCAAATCGGTTTGGTGAATGAGTGACCATGCACAATAGTACCTCTCAAATTATTTATAAGAGATTTCAAAAACTCAGTGCCAGAGAATAATCAGTCTCGAAAATGTGCTCAAACATATTCCTTAGGGCATAAAAGGCAAAATACTGATGAAAATTATGTAAATGGATCGTTGTAAATCAATGATGACACCAGGTGTTCATGACGAACATGTCTTGCTGTGCTAGTAACAACTGCCTTTCAAGCAATCTTCATGACAAAAGTGCTAGTGTGCAAGGAGGTTGTCGTTTACTTGTTTAAAAAACTGTCCTTTCAGTAGTTCACTGAACATGTTATATTTGAACATGTAACTGATGAGTTAAAACCAGTTATAGTTATTACCTAAGACAAACAGGTTTAAGTTAGTGTTGGAAAATAATGTATTAAACACAATTAATTTAAAAAAGAATGAGTGAGTGGACCCATGAAGATCCGGGGTGGAATAGGTCTTCAGCAACCCATGCTTGCCGTAAAAGGCGACTATGCTTGTCGTAAGAGGCGACTAACAGGATCGGGTGGTCAGACTCGCTGACTTGATTGATGCATGTAATTGTATCCCAATTGCGTGGATCCATGCTCATGATGTCAATAACTGGATTGTCTGGTCCAGACTCGATTGTTTGCACACCGCCGTCATATAGCTGGAATGTTGCTGAGTGCGGCGTTAAACAACAGACAAACAGTGAATGAGTGAGTGAGTGAGTGAGTATTTACTTTTAGCAATATCACAGTGATATGGGGACACCAGAAACAGGCTTCACACTTTGTACCCATGTGGGGAATCAAACCCGGGTTTTCGGTGTGGCTAGCGAACACTTTAACCACTAGGCTACCCCACTGCCCCTAATAAAGAATGACCAGTTTGGAATAATTTGTATGCATAAAAAAAATATAGTGTAAAAATATGTTCTTGTTTCGCATGATGAGCAGAGAAGGAAAATTTTGTTTTATTTCATTATTTCTTTGTAGTTTACATATCTATAAAAGGAAACTTGATTCATTTTTGGCTATGTCCTATTCAACTTGGTTCAAGTCATCCTTGATTATCCAGATATGATACCCTTGATAATTAAGTATGGGCTTGAAGTGACTGACATAAAAAGTGAAATTTTATTTGTAAAAGTCATTTCCTAACAGTGCTTAAAAATATAATACTAGGAGTGGGTCAGACAAAAAGACGTTTATTTTAAGAAGCCTATATACAGATGTGGAGTTTCCAGGGAAGAACAGATCCCTAGTACCATGCTGGTCCTGAGATCCTTCAAAAATATGGATCAGTTGGTCACAATGGATGACTTAGTTTTCTTGTGTCATTGTGCCACAATGGCCACCTGATTACCTTGTCAGTACTGGACTTCTCACAGGCAGCCATTACAGTATACTGTAACATTGCTGACTGTGGTATAAAACAACATCTATTCATTTATACTTCGTAGGTATGTCCAGTTGAGCCACGTAGCTGATGTTGTTAACTGGTGCCACCTTGGCACCTACAGTAAAGCTAATGTTGAAACTATCATGTTGTGCTCTCCAGGCATACCTGCTGAACATCCCGAGCTGGGACTGGAAACGAGGGGATGATGCTGTGTGTATTGCAGAACTTAAACTCGGATTCATCGCCCAGAGCTGTCTAGCACCTGGATTCTCAACCCTCATGGCCAACCTCTTTACCATGAGGTCCTACAAGCAGGTAGGTGTTTGTGATGGTGGGGCAGGTAGTTATGGTGGTGGGTTGGTAGTTGTAATGGTGATGATGGTGGGTGGGTGGTTGTGATGGTGGGTGGGTGGGTGTGATGGTGGGAGGGTAGGTGTTTGTGATGTTTGGGCAGGTAGTTATGGTGGTGGGTTGGGAGTTGTAATGGTGGTGATGGTGGGTGGGTGGGTGTGATTGTGTATGGGGAACTTGGTGAAGAGGGTGGGGCATAGGGTGGGTACTTCACTGAAAGGACAAGCTGTTCACTTCAACATATAGCCAAGTGGGTTGGCCATGGAGAAAGGGCTGAAGGTATTACGACATCTGTCCTCCAGGCCATATTGATCACTATGAGATCCTTCAAACAATGGCTGTGTCTGTGTGTGTACATGTTTGTGTGTGGGGATGTGCATGTCTGTGTCTCTGTGTGTGCATGTCTCTGTCTCTGTATCTCTGTCTGTGTGCATGCATGTCTTCATGTGTGTCTCTGACAACAAGTACTATCTTGGGATCCAGGGATTTGTGAAGAAATGAGTGGGTTGGAATGTACGGTAGTTATCTTTCTCTGAATGTCAAACTGTCTGTTAGGACATCCTACATGACTTTGAATGTGGAAGTGAGTGTAACAGCTAGTATAAAGGACAGGGTAGTCTAATAGCTGGAGACAGGAGAAGAGTTAGCTCCCCTCACCTTACAGCACTGTGAGAAACTCACAGCAGTTACCGTATTCAACGTAATAAGCGCCCACGGCTATATATTGGCTAGTGAACAATCCCAATTAATACCCTTTCCGATTGATCAATGTACACAAGACTTATTTATGCACCCTTAATTATGGGCATTTAAATTCTGGAGAAATACATTGGTCGTATATAAACATTTCAGTCTGTCAGCATAAAAGACGAAATTTATCTTTCAACTCTGTTTATTTTCACCAAAAGAATCTTCTAATAAGAGCCCCCTATTTGTAATTTTGAGAGCGCCCTGGGCGCTTATTACGTGGAATACAGTATTTGAGAAAGGCATGTGTTTCTTATAATGATTGATGTTTGCATGGCTCATGTGTGAGATACAGTGAGAACAACAAGGGCCACCTCACAGCAACTTGTTTTGCATGTAAATAGAAATCACTACCAGCATAATGAGTTACTATACATCAAAATACAATTGTTTCGTATAAATCCTAATTCTTTTAATTTCCTTCTGGTAATTAACCTGTATTCCTTCAATGCATGAGTGGGTTTGATTCCTGGTTTGCCCCGATTATGTTTCTAGGTTTGTTAGCACCATACACATGCTTGTGGGTTTTACCAAAGTGGTAAACGTCTGAGACCTGCACCACTTCGGGCTTTCCCCCCCACATCAAGCTGACACGCAGTGGCATAACTGAAATACTGTTCAAAACGGTGTTAAACCCAACTCACTCACTCACTCAACGCATGAGCTCTGATCAGTGTTTCAGTGAGACCAGGGTGAGTACTGCAGGGGACAAAATGCTCAGATTTTGATCTACAATAAAATTTGTCTTTTAGTGAAATATATTAACTTACAACGAAGGAATTAAAAAACAATGACAGTCTTCAAAATTTATAATTCCACATTTGTGAAATTTTGGTTTGGTGGATCAATAAAGAGCAAAATATGAAAAGTATTGCCTTACGATTGCATTGATACAGAAGGAACATTGTGTATGCTACATCACAAGCCTCACAGTACCGATACTAGGATCAGTTACTAGTGGCAAACAGTGATTCCATATTGGGTGCTCGTTTCGAAGTTAATGTAAGACACCTTGTACCTCCATGTATTATTCTGTGATTGCTTCACCACTAAACACTTGCTTTATTTGTTAGAGTGAGTGCTCAAACCTCGTTCTGAGTGTATCTCTTTCAGCATAGTTGACTTAAGACTTTGGCCATTTAACAGAAACTTTATTTTTAAAACTGTAAAAGTCTAAACAAATAATTGCATAAACATGTTTTAGTTAAAGTGATCACTTCAAATTATGGTCAGTAGGGTAAAATGAATAATAATCTTTCTAAAAAATCTTTTTAATTTTCAAAACTTATCTTTATTATATTCTTTGAATTATTCTTTTTCCATTTTAAGTGTTGTATGAGTCTTCTTTATTGATGCATGTTTATCCTTTGTTCAATCCTACTGTTTATATATTCATCTGATGTTCAATCCTTCTGTTAATCCTTTGTTCAATCCTTCTGTTTATCCTGTGCTTGATCCCCATGTTTATCCCGTGCTCAATCCTCCTGTTTATATTTTGTTCAATTCTTCTGTTTATCCTTTTTTTAATCCTTCTGTTTATCATTATTTTATGTGACACTTTCTGTCTTCTGTTTTAGATGTGCATGTTGTCCTAGAGTCTTCCCTTTTTATTTCAGCTGTTATCACCTCTATCAGGATGTTTGTGTTGCTTCAGGGTATGTTTTGTGTATGCAGTGTAATCTTTGGCAGGGAGAGTTTCTGGGCGTAAGTTTTCTAAATCACTAACACTACTAATACATAGTAGGTATGGGCCTATGTGACATGTGTTGCCTCCTACAGCAGCTGGCGGTGCCTGGAAGTGGAATCATGGCGCCATCGTTGTCAGATGAATTTCCCTTCAACGTGTACAAGAGCGTTAGTATCACTTCAAAACATGCAGTGGTGTTACTTAACTATCACTTCAACACGTACAAGAGCAATTGTCTAAATCACTTCGGGACATGCTGTGTTACTGTTTCAAATCACTTCAGTATAACAAGGGTGTTACTTTGATATCACTTCAAGACTTGCTGTGTTGCTATTTCAAATCACTTCAATTCAACAAGGGTGTTATTTTGATATCACTTCAATGTGTGCAGTGAGACTTGTTCAAATGTTCAAAATGATTTCAATATTGCAAGAATTCTGGATCAGACTATAGGTTTCCAGCAAACTATGCTGGTTGTAAGGGGTGACCAAATGCATCAGGACGTCAGGCTCGCGACTTGGTTAATTGGTGTCAATTAATCCAACTTGTTGAGATGGATGTTCATAGCGTCAATCACTGGATTCTGGTCTAGACGTGATTATGTACAGGCCATCATCATACAGCCGGAATATTGCTGAGTCCAGTGTTAAACAGCAAACCACAAATACAAGAACTTTCACCTTAATTAATATGACTTCAATACATGCTGTAGCAACATTTCAAAAAGACCTCACAACAAGAGCATGACCTTGATATCCCTTCAGTGGTGTTGCACATGCTGCCATAAATGTAATGTGCGTGATGCTGCTTATTGTGTTTATTGAACATAGTTAGAACATCCCATTGGGATTTGATGGCTGAATTATCCCAGACTCAATGCTTGTTGTAAGACTGACTAAAGAGGATTGCAAATCGAGATGGTCATGAACTTGTTGGCCTGACCACTGGGACCCAGTCCCCTGTCTAGTCTAATGCTGGTGGTCAGGATAAGTGACTTGTTTGATTGTGTGGTCACTGCTCATGCTTTCAGTAGTTGGTTTGTCTGGTCCAAAGGTCATTATTGGCCAATATGCTGATCACAGAATTAAACAACATCCACTCACTTACTACTATAGTCAGATCATCACAGCACAGGTTTTTACCTTAAAGGATGAGTCCTAGATTTCCTTATTTCATTCAGGGACCGCCTCCGTGGTCCAGTGATGGAGCGTCCACCCAGAGAGCGGAAGGTCCGGGGTTCGATCCCAGGCCTGGTCATACCAAAAGACATTAAAAAGGTGGTACTTGTTGTTACCCTGCCTGGTGCTAGTTCGGACTAGTACAAGCAGCCACACACATGTACATGCACATCGCTATGTAAGTGCAACAATCTTGGACGTGATGTTAAACCCCATTCCACCACCTTATTTCCTTCAATATAACAGAAGCTTGCTGAGTTCAGCTGTAACAGTTGAAAGAATGTTTAACATGGAGAAATAGCCTTTATAACCTAAGCTATTGAAGGGACTAACACACTGCTAGAAGATGTTTGGAATCACTAACATTGACTGTGTGGGATTATCTTTTAAGGTACTAGGTGGTGGAGTAGAACAAGGGTTTGGCTTCCACCAAGGTTTGATTCCAAACATGGTGTCTAAGGTGTACCGTGGTTTGAATATCACTATAACTGGCACAAAATCAAACTCACTCACTCACTCACCCTCAAGGTACAGATTGTGTTATGAAGGAAACACTGATGTTTGTATTAGTGTTGATTAAAGAATATTCCTGAATCCATTTCGTCACATTTAATGAAATCATTTATTATCTAACGTCATGTGTTACTTCCTATTTGACTTGCAACATAAGATACCACAGGTAATCTATGAGTAATGAACATTTCCAAAGGTTATGTTTAGCTTTAGATTTCACAAAGTTGCCTAATTTTATAGAAGGTTATTCAATTTCAGATAGATTTTCTTCTTTCAGCCCTAACTGTTTAAGATACCTTCTTATAGTACTTCAGTTGGCTAGTTAGTTAACCAGATGACGTAGGTATCTTTAAGCATTAGGCTAGTTAGTGAACCAGTTGACATGAAATAGCATAAAACATTAGGATAGCTAGTCATGAAGCATTATGATAGCTAGTCATAAAGCATTAGGATAGTTAGTTCACTGGTTGACCAGTTGAAATATCATAAAGAATTCACCCATATGTATCTTTAATCGTGTAGACAGCATTGTTGTGTTGAAAATCTTATGTCCTTGGTCAGTTTTATTAAGAAAAAAATCAGTAGTTATTCAATGACAGGTATTTGGTAGACTTGAAATAAAACTGCATCTACAGGGTGTGCATTAATATGTTCCTGTGTTTGGCTGGAGGTATTGTCTTATGAGAAACTTTTATGTCCAAGGATATGTCCACATCAAACATGAAACTCTAGCACTTTCATGCTTATATTGGCCAATTGTGTGCAATGTTACTCCAGTATTAGGCAGTTCAAAGTGAGTGATTTAACTGAACTGCTTATATTTGCCAATTGTGTGCAATGTTACACCAGTATTAGGCAGTTCAAAGTGAGTGATTTACTGAACTGCTTATATTGGCCAATTGTGTGCAATGTTACACCAGTATTAGGCAGTTCAAAGTGAGTGATTTACTGAACTGCTTATATTGGCCAATTGTGTGCAATGTTACTCCAGTATTAGGCAGTTCAAAGTGAGTGATTTACTGAACTGCTTATATTGGCCAATTGTGTGCAATGTTACACCAGTATTAGGCAGTTCAAAGTGAGTGATTTACTGAACTGCTTATATTGGCCAATTGTGTGCAATGTTACTCCAGTATTAGGCAGTTCAAAGTGAGTGATTTACTGAACTGCTTATATTGGCCAATTGTGTGCAATGTGACACCAGTATTAGGCAGTTCAAAGTGAGTGATTTACTGAACTGCTTATATTGGCCAATTGTGTGCAATGTTACACCAGTATTAGGCAGTTCAAAGTGAGTGATTTAACTGAACTGCTTATATTGGCCAATTGTGTGCAATGTTACTCCAGTATTAGGCAGTTCAAAGTGAGTGATTTACTGAACTGCTTATATTGGCCAATTGTGTGCAATGTTACTCCAGTATTAGGCAGTTCAAAGTGAGTGATTTACTGAACTGCTTATATTGGCCAATTGTGTGCAATGTTACTCCAGTATTAGGCAGTTCAAAGTGAGTGATTTACTGAACTGCTTATATTGGCCAATTGTGTGCAATGTTACTCCAGTATTAGGCAGTTCAAAGTGAGTGATTTACTGAACTGCTTATATTGGCCAATTGTGTGCAATGTTACTCCAGTATTAGGCAGTTCAAAGTGAGTGATTTACTGAACTGCTTATATTTGCCAATTGTGTGCAATGTGACACCAGTATTAGGCAGTTCAAAGTGAGTTATTTACTGAACTGCTTATATTGGCCAATTGTGTGCAATGTTACACCAGTATTAGGCAGTTCAAAGTGAGTGATTTAACTGAACTGCTTATATTGGCCAATTGTGTGCAATGTTACTCCAGTATTAGGCAGTTCAAAGTGAGTGATTTACTGAACTGCTTATATTGGCCAATTGTGTGCAATGTTACTCCAGTATTAGGCAGTTCAAAGTGAGTGATTTACTGAACTGCTTATATTGGCCAATTGTGTGCAATGTTACTCCAGTATTAGGCAGTTCAAAGTGAGTGATTTACTGAACTGCTTATATTGGCCAATTGTGTGCAATGTTACTCCAGTATTAGGCAGTTCAAAGTGAGTGATTTACTGAACTGCTTATATTGGCCAATTGTGTGCAATGTTACTCCAGTATTAGGCAGTTCAAAGTGAGTGATTTACTGAACTGCTTATATTGGCCAATTGTGTGCAATGTTACACCAGTATTAGGCAGTTCAAAGTGAGTGATTTAACTGAACTGTTTATATTGGCCAATTGTGTGCAATGTTACTCCAGTATTAGGCAGTTCAAAGTGAGTGATTTACTGAACTGCTTATATTGGCCAATTGTGTGCAATGTTACACCAGTATTAGGCAGTTCAAAGTGAGTGATTTACTGAACCTCTGCTTGAACAAGGAAAGAGGAAAACTTGTCTGTGATTAAGTCTTTGAAAGGCATTTTAGAAGTGATACACATAAGGAAGAGAATCTATGGATGTCAACTTCTTAATTATGAGAAACACAACATTCTTACTCCTTCATCAGGTGAATAAATGCTATGAGATAGATAACATATATATGTACCTGTAAGAACAATGAAAGTAATAAGATAAGGTGGAAATTTGTTTGTGATTGCTGTGCTAACACCTTCATCAGATCTACTATAAGTCAGAGTTCAGCACCATGTTGGAGTTAATGACTTTACATCCTTGACATTGCAGGGTGTTGATCGAGCTCAGTGGCAGGCGGACTATATGAGGGGGACGGCCATGGAGATGTACACGGAGTACTTGTCCAGCGCCTTCAACGGCATGACCTTCCCGGAGGCGGCAGAGTATGTAACAAGTCACTTCCTGTCTTCTACTGCCATTTTATTAACAGGTCCCTTTGGGTTTTTGAGGTTCTCAGTTACAAATGTTCCTTCCTTGGAATCCTAATCAAAATGGTCAGATGCCTTGGTGCCTCACGTGGGACATGCATTGCTGATTTATTGTCAGTGTGAGACTGAGTTGACCCATTGCCCATTATTTACAGCCTGCTGTGGTATAGATGGAAGACAGCAGGGTGAAGTAAGAAACAACATTAAGACAAATATTTTCCTTATTTTTTCTTTTAAACTTTCTAGTGAGAGAGTGGCGTCTTGGTAGTCTAGTGGTTAAAGTGTTCGCTCGTCACGCTGAAGACCCGGGTTTGATTCTTCCCTTTTGGTACAATGTGTGAAGCCCATTTCTGGTGTCCCCCGTCATGATATTGCTGAAATAGTGCTAAAAGTGGAGTAAAGCAATACTCACTCATTCACTCTAGTGAGAGGTAATATCAACTGGTAAACAAGAAAACTTAGCATAGAACGATGTTCCCAAATGGGGCACTCATGGCCTGTTCTTTGCCTGATACATATTGTTGGTTGCCATGAGTTTGCAACAAGTTCACCGAGCAGACTCTGTTTCAGTTTCCTTGTTTATCGTGTGTTCTAGGTTGTGTTTTGTCAAGCTGAAGCTCCTTCTACTGGCAATAGAAGTCCGGCAAGAGGATACAAGGGAGAGCACTCTTGCTATTAATCCCGGACCTAAGGTGAAGATAGAGAATGCCACGCAGGGATTCTTCATAGCCGAGTCTGCGGAGGAGGTCAAAAGGTGGGTCACTCCCGGGCAATGATGTATCATGAGGTGATGTATTGCTACAACATGATGCATGGGTATGTAAGGAAGGCGTGTTAAATTTGATGAAAATGAGTTTTAGGTACTATTTTCTGATGGTATGGTCAAGCAATCACAACTCTCAGGATCTATCTAGAACTGCTCGGAGGCTGATATTTGGTCTGAATCATTTGTCAGTAAAAATTACCAAATTTTGCAGAGGTGAGTTACATTTCAACGACAACAAGACCAATAAATAAGAGGCTTTAATGTTCAGTTTTGCATTTTGCAGCGAATGATATATTAAAATATCCTTGAATTTAAGAAAATATAGACTTTTATGAAACCTCATATATTGTGTCCATCAAGAAAATTTATGATAAAGTGCTTTTTTAAAGTTACTGATTATGTCACAGATTAACCTAATACAAGGGCCAGGTATTGCATTGTATTTACTGGTTAAATTCACCCCTTTCCAGTTCCTATTGTTTACCATGTTTTTCCTGAATCTTGTCAATCACATTAGTGTCAAAAGGGACAGAAAATTCAATGATGTAAATGACAAATCCAGGTTTGTTGGCCTGGATGGGTCTGAGGCTGTGCACGGGCCTATTCCAAAGGATTTTGTGTTTATCATTTTCCATGGCGCACTCCACATGTGTTCAATACTTAACAAGAGTTATGCCATGTATATTTAATGTGTGTGTTTGTTTCAGAGCATTTTATTATTGTAAAACCTGCCACAGCGACGTTAATGATGTCCGTGCTATTAAGAAGTGTCGCTGTCGTCCTTGTAAGTAGAAAGGGGTTTATGTAGAAATAGTAAGCCTTCACACAATTACAGTAAATTAGGAAACTCTTGCATATAGTGTCTGTCCTAGGCTATTAAGAGGTTCATCATTCAAACTTTTATCGGATAAGTGATTTAAACAAATGTTCTCAGGTACTGAAAATTGGAATGCAAACACTTTCAGAAACAATAAAGAGATGCATTAGGATTAGGGCACTTTTTGGCCCACCATATCTGCATAATTGAAGAAATCTTCAAACAGATGGATAGCAAAAGATCTAACTGAGCTTCTAACATTGACTAAGTCTTCATAGTTTACTACTGTGTATTTTGAAAAGACTTCTTTGAGAAGTGTTTCTTTATAATCTTTGGATGAGAAATTGTGTTTTTCAGTTACAGTGGCAAGTGCACAGGCTGTATATAAAAATGTATATTATTTGTGTAATGTTAACTGGGGCAATGTATGTAATATTGCACCATGTTAACAATGGATATATATGTAATATTACATCATGTTAACAAGGGCAATATATGTAATAATGCACCATGTTGACAGTGGCAATAGATGTAATATTAAACATGTTAACAGTGGCAATAGATGTTATATTGCAACATGTTAACAATGGCAATGCATGTAATATTGCACCATGTTAACAGTGGCAATATATGTAATATACCATGTTAACAGTGGCAATATATGTAATATTGCAACATGTTAACAGTGGCAATATATATAATATTGCACCATGTTAACAGTGGCAATATATGTAATATACCATGTTAACAGTGGCAATTTTTGGCGCCATCTTAACAGTGGCAAATATACATAATATTGCACCATGTTAACAGTGGTGACTGGTGTAACCTTTGTTTAGAAATTTTACTTTTTTTAAATGGTATGTTAAATTCACGTCGCACATATCATTCCATCTTTATGTTTACAGTGGCAAGAAAGTGTCCATTTATATTACAACTTTATATTACATGTTGACTACAAATCCTACAAACTATATGTTACAAGTGGAAAGAGATTATACATAATTTTGACTGATTTTATAATTAATTCGCAAGAAATTGTAACTATCATCACATCTTTATGTTCATAATCATAAATATTTCGATTGTCAATCTTTCTCATCTTTATGTTAAAAGTGGCAAGAGATTCTCAATATTTCACATCTTTATGTTAAAAGTGGCAAGAAATTGTCAATATTTCACATCTTTATGTTAAAAGTGGCAAGAAATTGTCAATATTTCACATCTTTATGTTAAAAGTGGCAATGTTCAAGAAGGGAGCAGCAGCAGTTCTAGGTAGTACCTCACAGCGTCTTCTTGCACCTGTGTTTCTGCGTGGTTCCCTCAATACTGCTCGTGTGCTCGCTCAATGCTCGCTCAACGCTCGCTCAACTGCTCACCCCAAGCTGATGATATCTCACTGTGTGCCGCCCATTCATGTTCTGTTCTGTGATTTGTCACTATTCTCTCATCACTGTCATCAGACAGTTGTCACTTGAATCAAGAAATCAGCTTTCTAAAATCACATCTCATGTAATCATCACGACTAACACATCTACCCATCACATTTTGCGATATTGTGATACTAAGAGCTCCGTGCTTGGTGTATGCAATAAGTGCTTCATGTAAGCAATGAGTGCTTGTATAGGTAGTAAGTGCTTAGTGTAATCAAAACTTACCCATGATAAAACACTGTGCAATGACTGTGTATAGTGTGTTGTGTAGTGCTAGTGGCTCGGCCGAACAAGTCGACCAGTGTTGGAGAAGATCCCTGCATGGACTTGGGCTTATCATGTATTGCTGTCGGTGTCCCGAAGGTCATCTGTCACGGTGTTGTTGTCGCGGACTGGATGGTTGTTGTCAGTGTTGGATAGAATAATTATTGTTGGTTGAATAACATGTTTCAGGCTATGATATAACATTAATGTTAAAGTGTCTATGTTCAAGAAGGGATCAGGTTCAATATGTCTGTCTGCAAGTGAGATGTCAAAAGTCAAACCAGTATTATTTAAATATTTTCAGGTGGGTTCTTGAGATTTGACCATGAGATTAGTCATGTAATGTTCTGTTTGAAGGCATGTTAAGTTTGTTTATCCATGGAAATATGTTTTCATGCGTGCAGCCATGCAAGAGTTGGGTAATATGAATGTTTATAGTGTCTGTGTGTAGGAGTAAGCATGCATAGTTTGTGGTAGAGAAATATAGGCACATGTTTTTAGTTTGGAATAAGCGTAGATAGTTTTAGTGCAAGAAAAGGCTTACACACTTAGTTCAAACAGATACAGATTAGTATTATGAATGATATTGTTCTAGGAGGAAGTATCAGGTGTTCTGAACATATCGGTTGTAAATGTGTACAGTAGAGGTGGACAGAAATCTAATGTATGCATACTTTGGGATGTAGACAGGTATATTGTCATTGTAGATTCACATTCTGTAATCACGAGGAAGAAATATTCAGCAAAGAGTTTTAAGCATGGTCTGTTAATGGAAAAAGCAACATAGAGTTCAGTGAAATGATAGCGTTTGAAGAATTGCGGTATAACAGTTATTAAAAAGAAACAGAGTGTCAGTATAATGATAATGCTTGAAGCATAGGGGTATAACAGTTATTGGAAAAAGCAACAGAGTGTCAGTAATGTGATAATGCTTGAAGCATAGGGGTATAGCTGTTATTGGAATGAGCAACATAGAGTTCAGTAATATGATAATGTTGGAAGCAGAATAAGACTATTTGAAGGAGAATAAGAGGGAGTCTGAGAAAAATCAAGTTTGCAAGTACAGGCATGTGATTTGTTTTACGGTTGGAACAAGGCATATTTTAATTACCGGTATATTGGACTGGGATCAGAAAGTCAAGATAATAACATGCTATGGCAATGATTGGAATAAGCATGAGAGAATCAGTAATGTGGTACAATATCAAAGAGAGAAGAATACAGATAAATGAACAATGGATTTAGGACAATTATGATTATGGAAATGGTTTTGTCACTTTTATTGATCAATGTGATTGCTTAATTAACCTTTGTGTGGTGATAAAATAGACATTATCACAAAAACCAATCATTTTGGTAATTCTGGTTGTACTGTTACACATAAATATACACATGAAAATGAAAAATATATTAGGTGTAGGATAGACTTACTTATATAGTTGCTGAAATTGCACATAGGGTATGGGAGAAATGTGCTAGTCATCTTCTTTTATAGGAATCATAACAAGAAGCATTGTCAGGTGTCAGAATGATTGGGATTTTGACCACCATTTAGTGTACTACCGTTCACAGATGGCGCCACAATTACTGCAAGATGAATGCCCGACTTGGGAAAGTCATTTTCCAGTTATTTGGTGATAATGGTTTTATGGTTGAATTCTTAATTTCAGGACAAACTGGAATTATTCCATGACCATATTTTCCATCAAGAGAACAGAATGTTGTCCAAATGTTGGCATTAGTGAATTTCATAGGTGCACAATCTCAGTCTGCAACTTTCACCTCTAGTAGAAGAACCAAGTCTAGTAACATTCTGTTTGGTCTCGTAGGGTCAGCTAATATTCATCCATATAATTATTTGAAAATCTACGTAAATGATTTTGAGAGCTAAGTTTGTGCTGGTTGTCTTAAAGAGTTTGGCCAAGACTGCAATCTGCAATCAAGGACAACTTGGTTGTTTTCCCAAATCAGTTATTTTAAACCACTAGCCTGAGCTGTGACTAGCCTGAAATGAGCTGTGGACTATTCCTGAATGGTGACTATTCTTGGTGTGATTCTACAGCAGCTCCATGTGTGTATTTCAGTTGACGAGTCGCCTACAATGTCCTTGGACTATGATACCAGTGAATGGGATCTCTTATGTATGATTTGTTCAGTTTGCTAAAGTTCCTGGTATATGTTGCTACCTTTTTCATTGGGAAGGGTTTTGTGTCATTGACACTTGGGTCAAAACTAGTTTGATCACTAACTTAAGGTTGTGGTGCAGAATGCATGTTAGCCTGAACAAGTCTCTACTAATACACTGTCCAAAACTTTCTTCTCTCTGTTTCATTGACGATGTGTGTGTTCAAAGGCTCTTTTACTCAAGGCATTCCTTTGTCACCATTTTTCACAACTTTTTGCCATTGTGCAAATTCATTACCTTTTTGACTAGGAATTTTGTTTACTTTTAAATAATATTTATATATTTTTATATGTATATTTTATATAAATAATATTATCAGTTTTAATGAGGATTACCTTTTGAATCTGATTGTGAGTCTTTCTGTTTGGCATTATTCAAACTGATTTCTTGCTCTTGCTCAAAATGTGCTCAATCTCTGGATGTAAATAAATGAAGTCGTGCTTGGATGTTTATGACGAAATGAGTGTATGAGTATTACTCATTGCATGAGAATGCATGAATCTTTGCATGCCACTGCGCATTGCAGTCTCACCTTTTAACAATGCACCAAGGAATGTAAACTGCTCTAATAATATTTCAACAGATTGAAGACACTTCAGTGACTCATGCTAAGCATTATCTCTCTAGAGTTTCATTTGTTGTTACTGTTTTCAAACCAACAAGCACCCCTTTATAAGCTCTTTGCCATCACTTCAGTGTTGTGGGAATAATTCGGTGAGAACTATTTCACTCTTAAGGATGTCTGCTGGTTTTATACAAGGCAATAAATAACCTTTTAATGTGATTTAGATTTACTGTCCAACTGGGAATATATTTGCCACATATTGATAAAATGTAAGAAAACATTCTACTTTATATACCACAGTGTAGGTAATCTTTGATCAATTGGACAAAACATGCGCATGTAGGTATGTCTAACAACTCCTAACATGGAGTGTCATTCCATTGATGTCTTCGACCGTCTCCTTGGTCTAGTGGTAGAGCATCTGCCCGGAGAGTCTTGGGTTCAAACCCTAGCTCTGCATCATATCAATAAACGTAAAACAGTGGTACTTGTTGGTACCCTGCAAAATTCTGGAAAAAGCGTTAAACTCCATTTCACCTCACCATTGATGCCTTCATACAGTCCTTTGGCTTGTCTGGTCCAGACATGGCTGAAATAATGCCGATGCGACATTAAATTTTGACTCAATCACTCACTCTGGTCTAGACTTGATTATTTATAGACTGCTTCATATAGCTGGAATGTTGTTTATTATGGTGCTAAACAACACGTAAATCATACAGTCCTATGGCATCACAAAACAAGGTTACAATACAGTGATGTCTCTGAATAGTTAAAAAATGTTGCAAATTTACTTGCATTCTCATTTTCACTTTCTGTAAGCAAGACACAGTCTGTCATAAAATTGCAACTATGTCAGTTTTTAATTATGACGTTGAATCTTTAACAATCAAACTCTGTATCTAAGATTCACATCTGCACTGCTTCATATTGGCAATGCCAGGTAGACTGACTTAAGATAATGTTCTGGGCCCACTTGCACAAAGCGATCTTAGCGCTAAGACTATCGTAAGCCTATGTTAAAGTATGGGTGTTACAATCACCTTAGCGATAAGATCACTTTGTACAACGGCACTCTTGACATCAGACAACAGACAGCAGACATCCTTCATATAGTAAGATTTTAGGAGCCCCTCAACCCCTAACACAACTATCATAGTAGACGTATCTCAGATCATTCCATTCCGTGTAATAATAGCAAAGGCTGTGGTAAAAATACCTACAACATAACAAAACCACTTTAAACTTGATTGTGCACAATCGGTTCATTTTTCTGGTGTTGAGAAGATGTTAGGCCTGACAAGACTAAATTAATTTCTCTCTCATCATTATCAATTTTCTCAACATACTCAAATATCTTTTCACTTGCTGTCCATGGTGCTTTTTGTGTTGAATATGGTAATATTTATTTTAACAGGATGGACTCATTAGTAATAACATAGATTATTTTATGAACATGTTTTTATGAAACATGTGAAAAATTATTTTATTATAAACTAAAGATTAGGCAAGCATTATAATTTATGTATAGAAATGAACAACTAGCATGGTCATTGTTGCAACTGTTTATGTTTTCAGTAGTACACATCTTCTGTCACTGCACATTCTGCATGCCTGTATATATCCAATATATTATGCACTTTCTCATATTTTCATGTAGTTTGTATATGTAAATTCAGATTTATTAGTTTTTTAGATTCTCAACACCTTTCTCCTCTGTTGAGATTTTCAATATCAGTTGTTGGCTTTAAATATCTGTGTTCATAAATACACATACATGTTTTGCAATCATTTTTAAAAAATATTTCTTACATTTCATTTTATATTGTTCTAAATGATGATCTGAGTAAATTCCTTCATTTGTGTCTGTAATATCAGTCTTTATAGTATTTTTTTTTTTTCAAATGTTTATGCGTTTCACTGAAAAAAAATTAAAATGTACATTTTAGTTTGAATGAATTGTAGTAGACACATTAACACAATATAAGGGAGAGGAATGTGTGTGGAAAACAGAATTCGGTGCTTTATTTGAGATCATTAAAATTAGACATAGTTAGTTGCACTAATATCACACTTACCTGTCATGTCCATGGAGCAATCGTGGCCCAGTTGTCAGGCACCACCATTCACTGTGTAGAGTTGCATCCCTTTGTCACATAAAGGTGAAACACTGTGATATTGCTGAAATACTGTCTAAAGCGATGTAAACCCAACTCACTCACACAACTCACTCACCCAATCACTCTCACTCACTCACTCACTCACTCACTCACTCACTCACTCTGAAACCAAATCTCATTAAAGTCAGTTCTGTTACTCCGTTATATTACCTCTATAAATGGAGATCTGACAAACACTCCATTTCAGGTTGCGTCAGATGAACCCTGATCACATATTTGCATCCCCCATGTCTTAAAACACTGATGACTTGAATTATATCTGATTGGCACACTGTGAATTAACAAGTGTTTGGTCCACATTATCAAAGTGAACTCACTGACAGTGTAGATCTATGATGCTGTATAAGATCTTTAAGTCAAGAAGCACGACTCACAACAAGACCCTGTGGGTAGCTTGTGGCAGCATTGGTCATACAAACTGTCTAATTGCTGTGATAGAGCTGGAATATTTCTGACTGTGGCATAAAACAACATTTACTCACTTCCCTGTGCATGCTGTGCATGACTATGTAGGCATGTAGACCTTCACTGTAGTATAGCTCTTCTTCTTGCAGAATCTATGCTTCCTTCAATCTAGGCCATGGCCTTATGTTTTTTTTAGTTGGTTAAAAAGATTAACTAACTAAAATTAGAAAGAAAAAAATTACTTTTGACAATTTTGGGGGGCCAAGTGTTTTACATTTAGGTGCAATGGAAAAAACATTAGATTTCATCCCCGCTGTGAAATGGTGAGTTATGCATATAAAAATCGTTACCCCCCCAAAAAAAACAATCAAATATCGTGATTGTGTGACCTACGGTTTCACTATTTCATTATAATTTGATTAGTAAGGTGAATTTTTTTTCAACCACCAACATTGAATTTGAGACCAAATCTTTTGTGAACCAACTAATAAAACAAAAGGCCCTGGCATGAAACTAATGAGAACCAAATGCATGGAGAACAGTTGTTGTCTTCAAAAGTGTGAAATATCTTGGCATGCAATGTTAAGGAAAGACTTTAGAGTTTTCTTTCTTGGATCAAGTGATTTATGAAAGTTTATGGCATCAAAATGAGACATGTCACTTTTGTACTCTTCCACGGCATGAATTACAGTTTTCAGGGACAAACGATTGGATTCAGCTGTATTCTCTATGTGATTTTCATCAATTCTTGATCCATGAAAAGATAGTTTTGCAGTGCATGGTTTAACTATTCCAGATGTCTTCATGCTTCCCAGGTCAGCCTAGGGACATGGAAACCTAACACTTCCTGTCATTCGTATTCTTCCCCAGTTTTCTGTCTTCTATCAAACTTAACATTTTCCATTGTTCCCTGTATTGAGGAGGGTTAATCTTCTACTAATGGTTTGCTCTGTTTTCATGCAGCCTTACAACGAACTGAACCCACAAACCCGGATGGTAATGCCACACTTGTTTGTAATAATGTGCAAGATCTGTCAACATGTCAACGTGGTCCTCAGAATGTCAGAAGAAGCATGTTACTAAATGGCTGTGCAATATGTTACTACATGCATATTTCAGAGAAAATAGTCTGTTTTGAACCCCTGACTGATAAATATTCTGTCTCTTGATAAAGGGCCAGTCCCTAAATGAGGACCGGGGCGGTCGGATAGCCTAGTGGTTAAAGCGTTCGCTCGTCATGCCGAAGACCCGGGTACGATTCCCAACATGGGTACAATGTGTGAAACCCATTTCTGGTCTCCCCCACCGTGATATTGCTGTAATATTGCTAAAAGCGGCGTAAAACTATACTCACTCACTCAATCACTCAATCACTAAATGAGGACCAAATTGTTACTGACAAAATAGATATGAAATCCTCCCCAGTGAACATGGGTACAGTGATGGTTGATAGCTCATTCTTCTTCAGAAGGAACCTCTTTGGTGCGTCACTGCTGAGCCAATATGCCTGGTGATGATTGTACTCCTATTTGATCCAGATTAGCTTCTGACACTTACAAGGCTTCCATGCTGTAATGTAAGACAGCTACAAAAATGCACATGCCAATATTTTCATAATAATTATTCCCAAAACCTCAAAACTTGTATCACTCCTCTGACACTTTCCTGGAACTTAGTTTCAGCCAATAATCAAATGTTAACTGAAAAGGCCTTTAGGCATGAATGGTTCTGACTGTTGACACTTCTTTACACATATTAATTAAATGTAACATGCCTATGTCATTGTATTTATATTCCTAACCATGACGATGAATTTATGCAGCATGTTGTGTGTATTGTAACAACTGTATGTACTCCCCCCTCAACAGCTGCGCGGATTGTTTGCCTGACAATGTGGTTAATATCAGCCCTTGACAACCTTGTCTCCCCCCCCCCCCCCCCCTCCTTTCTCAGCATGAAACCTGAGCTCCCAGTGCCTTGTCCTCTCATTTTATGAAATGTTTGCAACAATGTTAGATATGTTAATAATATAGTAATGTGATTTGTATATCAGTATTTTCTAACATGCATGATCCAAGTATGCACCTTGAGCAAAAGCATTAGAAATACAATGGAATTTCACATATCGTAGCTTAATAATAAACCCTGTCACTGAGCTATTATGGCCATGATATTTAGTGGGTTTAACTCTTATATTCAGAAGATTAAAAAGCATATTAAGGGGGGATAACTCTTATGTTAGGTGGAGATTACTCTTATATTATGTAGAGGTACTTCTTATGTTAGGTTGAGATAACTCTTACATTAAATGGAGATAACTCTTATGTTAGGTGGTGATAACTCTTATATAATGTAGAGGTACTTCTAATGTTAGGTGGAGATAACTCTTACATTAAGTGGAGATAACTCTTATGTTAGGTGGTGATAACTCTTATATAATGTAGAGGTACTTCTAATGCTAGGTGGAGATAACTCTTACATTAAGTGGAGATAACTCTTATGTTAGGTGGAGATAACTCTTATATTATGTAGAGGTACTTCTTATGTTAGGTAGACATCATAACTTCTGGTATTAGTTGAAATATTGTCAAGTGGCGATAATTATGCATTCAAATCATACACAGTATTATGTAAAGGCAAAGAAAATGTCTCATCCATAAAAAATATTTTATATATTCAGACCTAGACATATTTGTTTTGTTAAGCATCACAGATCCATCTAAAACAAACCATTACACAGTAGGACCCGATCACAAAGGGATCTTAGTGCTATGACTTTTGGCATCGTGGCTCTCTAATGGAAGCAGCCTCACTCTATATCAGCTGAGCCTGTCCGTCACACAGGTTGTCACTCTGTTTTTCATAAAATGAGAGGACAGATGAAGGGAAGAATCAGGGTTCTAAAGACTCAGATGAGGAAGAAATTTCCTTTGGAATTATGAAAAATCTTTTGTCATACAGATCTGCTTTGACGGAAAGCTGAAACAACTGTCAGTGGTTTATTAGTTGTTTTACAAAATGACCGAAATGTAACATATGACATCACAACCATTTTAAAGTGATATTGCTACTGAAACTGATTTCAGAGTTGACAACCCTGATGAACATACTAGATGATACATGATACATCTAAGTTCATGTGATAATACAATCTGCAGACTACTGCGACACTAGTTCAGACATGCCCCCCCCCCCCCCAATTCAAACATGTTTGTTTTGCCATCATGAACAGCAAGTTTGGAAGTTTATCCCATTTGTTTTTCGTCAACCTTCACTGAACTTTGGGCCAAACCTGTGAAAACAAACTAATAAAAGCAGAAGCAGTTTTGTGAGCCACTAACCATGTGATAAGATTTTATGGTTTATTTCTTCCACCCCTTGACCATTGTCAGTATCTAGACCAGCTGTGAGCCGTGGGTCAGGTTCACTGACTTGGTTGATGCATGTCGTTGCATCCCAATTGTGTGAAACGATGCTCATGATGTCAATCACTTGATTGTCTGATCCAGACTCGATTATTTACAGACCGCCATCATATAGCTGGAATATTGCTGAGTTCGGCATTAAACAATAAACAATCATAAACCGGATTGTTGAAATAACTCCAGCAAATATTACCCCAGAATGTAGTCTGTACTTGGTGATGGTACAGATTCAGTTTTGTTGTGACCAATGTTTACCTCATGTCAATAGATGCAGGTATAAGTCTGGATCAGGTGAGAGTGGCAGATGTCTGTGTCATGGCAGATTCATTATGTAGGTTGAGTGGATGAATTATTTGTGACAGTTCACACCAGACTGTATTTAACAATATCAACCATTACTCCAGTTCCAGGAGCAAGGGAGAAGAAAACCCCAGAGAAAACTCCTCAAGTGTGAGTATTTTCAAAATCTTTCAAAAGTATTTCCATGGAATCTAGGTGCAGTAGAGTTCTCAATGTCTTATCAATGACAGCTTTAAGAGAGAAAGATGAAGTCATACCTGTTTCACACAAAAATATTTGTTGCATTAAGATAGTAAGTCAGATAAAATTGTCAGATAAATATTTCTTTTACTTACATTTCATGTCTTAAATTTTTAGACAGAGAATTGAGAGTTTCCGAGCTGTAAGGTATATATATTTAAGATGTGACCTAGACTTACATATTGACTTTAGAATGTAGGACACAACAGGGTCCCATTCCACAAAGTGATCTTAGCGCTAAGACAGTCGTAACTCCCATAATCTAACATGGACTTATGACAATCATAGCGGTAAGATCGCTTTGAGGAACGTGGCACTGGACACAACATTTGAAGGCACATCTTAGCATACTACTATTACTAACTAACACTGAATGGGTCATTACCATGTAGGATACTACAGAAACGTATCCCAGGTACTGGTCTGTATGTAGGTATGTACCCTGGATGCCATCAAAATACAGAAATGTTCCCCGGCTGGACTCTGCATAGCACTAAAGACAATTAATGAGTTCTTTCAATGGGCTGTCAAAACTGTTCCTCTCCAGAGTTTTGGTTTGCCGAACTTGTAGTAAATTCAATCATGGCTGTACATGTTGAATTATCACATCACTTCCTTTAATATCAGGCATGAGATATTTCCGTTTAAAGCCCCCTTGACCTGTTTGATTCTTTTTTGTCATCCTTCAATCACATGCCTGTAGTATGGACGCCACAGTCAACAATATATTTACACTGCATACTTGACTTAACGTTACAAGTGAAACTGAAACCATCTTTCCACAACTTTAAATTGAGACATCCAACCCTTCTTGTGCCTTGCAAAGTGGTCATATTGGGTATGTTTCTGGATGGTTATTTTGGCCAGGGTACATCTCTGTAGTTGCCCTTCAGGCTTACTTACGGCGCACATAGATTCTCCAGTACTACGGAACACGGTATACTTAGTCAGACTTGTTAGAACGGCACGTTCCATTAGTCTTGGGGGATGAGGAAGAGTCACAGATGAATGTCATCATCCAGATTCAAGCAGTGATGGGATCAATCTCTTAAAATCAGATCTTAGTTCTCGCTACCGCTAAACAAAGATCTGAGAACATCCCATTACGGGTCACATCAGACCGACCTTGCGCCAACTTTGACTGACCAATGGATTGACCAATCAGAAGGGAGCTTTCTTTGCTTTACGGCACCAATTTCAAATTGGCGACCACGCTTCAAAACATATTTTGATAAATTCTTGATTACAAATTTGAAACCTGAACAAATGTTTTTTTGTTTAATATTTTGAATTAAGGGTTGTAGTGCTAAAGAATTTTGCCTTCATATACACTTCAGGATGCAGCAAATACAAACTGACAGACATGTTACTAATAGATGAAAAGTAACACCAACAGCATTGATATGATTATTAATACATGTGCTGATGACACTGGCACTAATATTCTATACATGTATATGTGAATTACTGTCCTGAATTTACTTCGGTACTGTTTATTTCTGATCCAATATTACTGTTACTTCTGACCCAAGACACTGAAACTTCTATCTATCTTGCTTTTTTTCAAATGCTTTCATCCATCAATTCTTATTTTTTCTTTATACATTCTGTTTCTTCCTATCATTCCTGCATACTAGAAACCATGACTTGAATAATTCCTGAAAATATGGACTTTAATATAAATTACCATCAATGTTTGAGATGGTGCAAGGGTGGCTTATGTGTCTGAGGCACCACAATTCTCTGTGCAGAGTTGCATACCTTAGGTGTGCCAGGAATTTATGATCCTGGATTCGAACCCATGTTCACCCTGACTATGTTTCTTGGTTTGTCAGCACCATATCGGTGATCGGGGGTTTCACCAAAGTGGTAAATGTCTGAAACCTGCATCACTTTCTGATTTCCTCCCACATCAAGCTGACACACCATGATATAACTGAGATACTGTTCAAAGAAGGGTTAAATAAAACAGGCTGACTCATAAAGACAATTTCAATAATATTCATTACATTGGTGAGAGGAATATACCTATTTTTTCATTCCGTGCATTAGGCACTATGGATGGCCCAGTCATCCAAGGTACCAAAATTCACTTGGGCAGAGCTGTGTCCCTTCGGCATGCTACATTCTCTTCATCCTTGGATGGAGGTTCTAAAGTAACACTTTTCATCTTTGGATGGAGGTCCTAAAGTAACACTCTTCATCCTTGGATGGAGGTCCTAAAGTAACACTCTTCATCCATGAATGGAGGTCCTAAAGTAACGCTCTTCATCCTTGGATGGAGGTCCTAAAGTAACACTCTTCAACCTTGGATGGAGGTCCTAAAGTAACACTCTTCATCCTTGGATAGAGGTCCTAAAGTAACACTCTTCATCCATGAATGGAGGTCCTAAAGTAACACTCTTCCTCCTTGGATGGAGGTCCTAAAGTAACACTCTTCCTCCTTGGATGGAGGTCCTAAAGTAACACTCTTCATCCTTTAATGGAGGTCCTAAAGTAACACTCTTCATCCTTTAATGGAGGTCCTAAAGTAACGCTCTTCATCCTTTAATGGAGGTCCTAAAGTAACACTCTTCATCCTTGGATGGAGGTCCTAAAGTAACGCTCTTCATCCTTGGAAAGAGGTTCCAAAGCAACACTCTTCATCCTTGGAAGGAGGTCCTAAAGTAACTCTCTTCATCCATGGACGGAGGTCCTAAAGTAACACTCTTCATCCTTGGATGGAGGTCCTAAGGTAACACTCTTCCTCCTTGGATGGAGGTCCTAAAGTAACACTCTTCCTCCTTGGATGGAGGTCCTAAAGTAACACTCTTCATCCTTGGATGGAGGTCCTAAAGTAACACTCTTCATCCTTGGATGGAGGTCCTAAAGTAACACTCTTCATCTTTGGATGGAGGTCCTAAAGTAACATCTCAAAAAAGTAAAAATGGAAGCATTTCCTCAGCATGTTTTGTGAATTGTTAAATGTTCAGTTATCAGATGAGTACTTGTGGTTTCATGAATGTGCCTACTACAAGTAGCTCCCTACTTCATAAGTGAGTTTCTTTCTAGGAATGAGAAACACCATAAAAGGGAACACCGAAACAAACAGTAAGCTGACCCCACCCTCCTTAACCCCTTGTGTGCCGTGCCGTGCCCCCTGAGATGAGTCTCAGGTCATGTTAACTTTGGCTGTGCTAGGCCGTGTCATGTCATGTCATGTTAACCCTCGAAGAGTCGAGACTTGTAGTTATTACTGTCCGTTTTGTAGACTAGATGGATCTGGACTTGTTGGCAGATTGAAGCATGGCGTTACTAAGCCTGCAACTTGTCTTGAGTGAAACTCCTTAAGTCTTAAGCATGGTTAACAACATGAGATGGGTTGTTAGAAAGATATTATTTCAGTATTGACTTCTAATATGCTTTTAGGAAAATAGTATTTCAGTATTGTCTTCCTAGCTCCAGAAAAAAACCAGTAACACAATTGAATTTGGTGACATTTGGCATGGATGTTAATGATAGTTTGGGGAATACATTCTGAAGACTTCTATGGTGAGATTACTGCTGTGTTTGAAAAACATTTGATACCAGAGTTTAAAATGGACTCTATGTATAGTAATATTGCAGTTATGATAGAACTTATTGTTGAATGACATGACGACCAATCCCTCCCATCTATTCCCTGACCATTCAGTTTAATGTCATGTGTCTCTATTCCGATTCCTGGTTCCTCCACTTTTTTACATTATATTTAAAACTGTTAAGTCTGTTTGTGATATATTTTTTTTTTACCTAAATTGTGTCAGATATGTTTCTTCTAAAGAATATGGTATTTTTGTGTTGTAATTTCAAGCTTCAACAATATGCCATATGATATCAGGTAATATGGAAGGTTATTAATGATATTTGTGTAGGTAAGAATAAACTATTATAACATAGCAGAAAATGATAATGAATTCTACCCATCTCCTTATCATCCCCCTCTCCAAGTGACAACTTTCATCCCTAGAGCTGTTTATTTTGTATCCAGATGTTCCAGTTTCTTTCCATAATTGTGAATCCTACCTTTAACTGGACCCCTCCTTTAAATGTGGATTGTATCATTTTACCTTGTAGTTCATATCCTATCCCGTACCTTTGACCTATTAGAGGCTTTTAAGATGCTTTAAGTTTCTATTTACTTGTAATGTTAATCTATAATTATCTTAATGTTTCCAATAAATTAGAATGTACATTAAGATATTTGATATTTCCATTTTAATGAGTACATTTATAAGCCTATAGATTGTGTTAATGACGTGTGATTTTTGAGTGATGAAAATGATATGATTAAAATAACTGATTTTAAATTTTAATTGCAACTATGTATGCATATACACAGATAATTATTTGGGAAAATACTTTTGGTAATTTAATAATTTTGAAAAAAGTAAGGCTTCTTTTTTTAATACTTGGTTTACAGATCCTACAACTAAAAACATTTCTCAATACTCTTTCTTTCTACCAAATCTTAACACAGTTATGAAAAAACTTGGTTTGCTAAAACAGGGTAAGGGAGGAAACTCTTGACCATTCAAAAAACGTTTCCTTCTTTCCGTTTTTCTTTTTTTTTTCAACAGATATACTTTTAAGAAATAACTTTTAAAAGAACATGTTTTGATATTGTAAAACATTATTTTCATATTTTTTATGTATTTGGCAAAATATCTGTGAACCAAATAATGAAATAGAGGCCTAAGATGTGATTGCAATACTGCTGACTGCTGAGTAGCTTACACCCCACATCATTGCAGACATGTCTCCCGCAAGGCGGACCTGTACTTGGACGTGCACCATAAACATGGCCACCCTCCCAATATGGTCGATAAGAATCACCCCTCTACTCATAGACAACGTAGCAATTCCCAAAAAAGCCTGAAAGGACACAAACACAGTAAAAGCTACAGGCGAGATTCAGGGGGAAAAGAAAAGCAGTTGTCAGTCCAACAGCAGTCTTCAAATAGGCGCTGTTATATGTAGTTCTGGTATTTCCAGCATTTACAATGTTGACAGCATGTTCCCAACAACTAGTTATATATGTGTGTCGCTCATGACAGCCTCTTGTGCATCAATCATTTGATCATTTGAGTGTGCTACTCCCCGGTCTTGAGACTATCTTAAATATGACAGTTCCAACAAATAATATTTTTGGGGTTCTACAAAGTTTGAATGAACATTTCATCATCATCCATGCATTCCCCATCAGATCCCTTCATTGTTATTTTCTACTTTAACTGACATTAACTGAAAATCTAGCCAATTACGAATATTAAGTAAGATTTCCTCTTATATGTAAAGGTTGTGATTTGAGGTAGTTGGTAGGGAAATACTTTATCATAGACAGTTATCTGGTCATGAAGTTGTTAATATATGGAAACAACTAATTGGTTAGTATACAATTATGGTACGCAAAGGATTGTGCTGAAGCTGGAACTTTCAATAGGACTGCATGGTATTTCCGGTAAATCAGTAAACTGCAATACGCTTTTTAAGGTTACGTATTGCAATATTTTGTTTGTGTCCCGGTATATTGGGGTAAACAAAATATAACATGTTTCATCATTATTTGTATCGCTTTATCTAAAAGTTACACATTAATTCATTCACGAATCATGATATCTTTGAAATTGGTTGACATAATGGCAGAAATAAGAGTGATTTTCCTCTCACATTGTTATCTCCCCTGACTGCTAACTAGCGGTGACCGTCCATGTTGACTTAACACTGTAAACAAGAGGGGGAACCGAAGTTTTGGTTCCCCTTTGGCCCAGAAAACATAAATGTGACAATCTCTTCGAATACTCTAGTTCCCAATTTATCGCAATACATATAACTCATATACACCAATAATATATCACTGATACCTCATAATTTCACTGATATGCATCAGCTTGTTGATGATATCCCTGAAATTCAATAGTTTTGATATCACTGATATGCTGTAGATGTAAATTCAGTGATACAAAGAACACATGAGGAATATCACATGTGTTATGAAAGCACCTCTTTTTACACATTCACAGTATGTGTCAATAGAAATATGCAAGATGACTCAGATAATATTTTTAAGGACACTATACCTGAACACACGTAGCATCACTTTTATGCTTTGGAATATTACATTCAGTCAGACCAATTTCTTGTTTTCTTGTATGGATTTTCTTCATTATTCCTAAATTGCAAGAAAAATTAAATGCTGTGACGGTTGATTGGAACCTTATTTCCTAAATTGATCTTGTTGATTTTCAAAGAATAAAATTTGAAAATATGTCCCAAAAAATTATTTTGATTTAAATAATAAGTACTTTTGACATATTTGGTTTTAACTTAACAAGGCTTTATTGATTGCATTTTATACTTCCAATTTAGACAAAATAATCTATAAAATAAAAATACAATTATTCTGGCACTACACTAGTGTGTATTAACTCTTAAAGAGATTCACATGCTTCTTACTACAAGTTTCACAGGGTGCTGCTGACTGTCATTCACTTGTTGACTATAGTAGTTCATCTTCACCCTTCTGTCTCACTAACTTGATGTGCCTGGTTCAGTCCCAGTATAGCTAACATCTGGTCCCTGCCGAAGAAAGAAGAGTAAGAACGTCTCTGTAAAAATACATGTGCACTGTTACCTCTTGCATCATAAACCTCTTCCTACTGACCCCATGTCGACCTCGCTCTTGCACTGCCATGTCCTGCACATATTTACTTCTTGCATCATTGTCTTGCCTCGTTGTCTTGCTTCGTTGTCTTGCATCATGGCTGCTCACCTTGACATCGTCGGTGTGAGCATGTGTTATTGGTTTTTGTCGATGCAGCATTCATCTGTCCATATAGTAGCACTGCAGTCGTTATTATTATGGCCACAATAAATTAATTGTTAGATTTCCATTAAAACACGAAATGTGAGGCACAGAGCATATATTTTTATATTTTGTTATTTTTAACAAACTGTTCAAGGCATCTCTGTACATTTCCGCCAATGGATGTGATTGATATGAAGCATGTTTGTTGGGATTATGTTAATTGTTTGTTTTATCAAGTAAAGAAAGAAGGTGGCACGTGTAGTGATTCCCTCGACTGTAGTTCTTAGGAAAGACTATAATGTGAAGGGGTAGTGAGGTAGGTGGGATGAAATTCTAATAATTAATGTATTATGGCCTGTAGCATGTTTTTAGTTTTGAGAGAGGGTCCTTTTCTACTATGAAGTAAGATTATCACTTTTAAATAATCGATATAGCCACCATGGTAGAACTGAAGAAACTGCTATCAAAATATTGAACAAACAATCACAATATGTTAGAATATCTATGGTATATAAGTAGAAAACTTCATACTTCAAGGGTGTAATTAATCATCTTTTTATGAATATCATAACAGTTAATGCTACCCGACATGTATTTGTCCTTGTTAAACAAAATACCGTATTTGATGTAATAAGCACCCAGGGCACTCTCAAAATTTGAAATAGGGGATAGGTGAGCTTCTGTACGTTTGGTAGTATGGTTATTGTTTATTGTTCATACCCAATTAAGTTCATTATAAATACACTTTTAATTATTTGGTACATAGCACTTCACTTCACTTAAACCAAACAAAACTCAACCACTTATACAAGGTCAAGCAAGCAACGACAGATGCACTTTCATAGTTATATAGACAAATAATATGCCATGCAGTGTTCGAAATAAGCACCTGCTGTGGGCCCATGGCAAGTAGATCTCATGACCTGTAGTTTCAAATTTGTATGAGTCCTGATGGCCTGCAGTAGATTTATGTTCCAATTATTTGTCACAAGAAGCTGCAGTTTTTAAAATGAGGGCCTGAAGAGTCTAGTCAGGGCCTGCAGTTTCTTAAGTCTGTGGGTTCTGATGGCGGCTAGGTGATATATTATATTCCAAACACTGATTCCATGCCTCCCAAACCACTTTGAAATTAAAAAAAGACATGTTTAAGACACCATAAATGTTTTCCAGGAGCCTTTTTTTCATAAGTCATGCTTATCAGGTTGCACTTATAACAGTAGATATCAAGAATCATGACAATACATTGCCCCAGTATCAAATACTCCAGGGGTTATTTGCACAGAATAATCTCAGTGTAGACATTAATATAGACAGCAATAGTTGTAGCTCGGATCACCCTATACATCTTGGGCAAGCTCAGTAGCCTAAAAAGTGAATTTGTGTTATATGATACATCGAGAATCTCCCTAAAATTAACTACACACCCAAAGGACATGTTTGCATGTTTGTTGTGTACACCTAGCATGCACATACTGACATCCTACAACAAATTGTATGTAATTCATCGGGAAATATTGTCTGTATTATATTGAACTTTTGTTATTCATCAAATAAATCAGAAAATGTAAACTACAGATTTTGCACCAAATTTCTTTCACATTTCATGTAAGTTTTATCCGGGGATAATGTTTTAACTGGTGTTCATTTTCTTTTATGTGATTTGTGTAGAGGCAAACATTCTCAATAAAAGGTGTGATAGAAACATGTAAACATATGATGGGCTGCTGCTAGGTTTGTGCAGATGGTGTGTTCCCCACATGCATGTGCGATAACCATCACCACCTGGGATATCAACAAGTGCTGTTATACATGTTGAAGTATCATGAATCATGAATACCAAAGATGTTTTTAAATGAATAAAGTCTGGATCAAGTAAATGATGGAATAAAAATTATATAGTATATATTTCAGACTAGTGGTTTAAAATATAACTGAAAATTGCTTTTAAGAATGTTCACACTGCAATGATGCTTAACAATGATACAGATATTCATACTCTGGGCAATTGGGTAACTTTGGGGGTAAGCTTTCATTTGTTACACTGAAAACTCTCAGCCCAGTTTGATGGATACAATATGTAAACCCCATTCATGGTATTCCCCATGTGACTTTCTTAAAGATACCTTTGGACTTTGATTCCTTCATGGGGTTGGGGCAGGCTACTGATGCCTTCGTTGGGGGGGATTGGGGTGGGGGGTGGCTAGTGGTCCCACATGAAAGCAACGTGAAGTCCATTTCTTGTGTCCAATCCATGAAAAAAGTCACTAAAAGTGGCATAAGACTTGCTTTCTCCTTTAAAACACAACTGACATTTTGATTTACTTACCATTAATAACATACTATTATTAAGCATCACTGCAGTCTGATATGGGAGTTTCCTACCCACCTCTACAACATGTCTCCCCTCCTGTAGGCCAACCAGTGCCAGTAAGACCTCACTGGACGGAGGGACGAGTTTGAACCTGAGTGAAGCAGCCTCACCTGTGCCCTCCACAGACCAGCTGACCCCCGGTGAAGAGCCAAGGAGATTCGACTCCACGGGGATGTTCCACTGGTGTCCAGACAGGCCGCTCGATGAAGTGGTTATTGTAAGCTTGGTTCTCATAGCTACGATTTGTTTCTAGACAGGTATTAATCATCTAGGATTCCAAACTAAGCTCTCTTCGCAGGCAGATTTGGAAAAATAGTGACTTTGTTCAAAATTGGATTTTTTTCACATTCTTACCTTTGCAAATTCTGAGGAATTCTGAAATTTGGGGAATTCAAAGTGGGAATTTTTGTTGTCATTTGCTGCAGACTGGGCGCTGAATATCGTCATCTAAGCAGGTCTAGATGAGTCCTTGTGTGTACTGCTGTACTTTTACAGTCCACATAGCAACCGATTCCTCCTAAAGTAACTTTCTCATAGAGGTTAATGCTGATTCTGCTATGACTTTCACAAGTCAGGGTGCACAACTATTACTGCGGCCATTTCTATACACCCAAACTGTATCTGTAAATTTGTAAACCAAAAATTTTAATTCAAAATAAAAGTTTGCGAAAGTTACGAACCTGTAAACAAATTGAATGAGTTAAAGTTAAAAACTGTCTCTGAAAATGCTTGAAACAAAAAGTTGACATGCTAGATGTTCACAAAAAATTGTGTAGTGAACAAACAAAAGATTATTCAGCTGCTCCTTTCGGAGGAAAAACTCGAAGCAGTCACCAAAACAATTTTCTACCTCAAACAAAAGGCTCAGGCCCCCTAGGAAAATTAAATGGCCAGTCTTGAACGTCTACTGAATTTAATGTCTTCAATTGCAGGACCGGAACCAGGCTTCAATGACGACAATGCACAGTCACGTGATCGTGTGCCTGTTTGCTGACCCACATTCACCTCTGATTGGTCTGCGCAATCTGGTGATGCCACTGCGTGCCAGCAACTTCCACTACCATGAACTGAAGCATGTTGTCATTGTCGGCGACCTCAAATATCTCGAAAGAGAGTGGAAGACATTGCAGAACTTCCCAAAGCTTTCCATATTGCATGTAAGTTTAAATAGTGGTGTGTATTATGTAAGCTGGTAAATTTTTCATACTATCATACTATTTTAATAGTATGTGTCTCTGTACATATATACTACTCCAAGGGGGGCACAGAGGGCCAGGTCATCTAAGGCGCTGTGATTTGCTGTGGCACGCCAGAAACCTATGATTGGTTCAAATCCCGGTTCACCCTGATTATGTTTCTAGGTTTGTCAGCACCATACCCTTGCTCGTGGGTTTCACCGAAGTGGTAAACGTCTGAGACCTGCATCACTTCGGGCTTTCCTCCCACATTAAGCTGACAAACCGCAATATAACTGGGATACTTTTAAAAGCGCCGTTAAACCCAACTCACTCACTGCTACTCCAAGGAAGTTAAGGACCAACCAGTTTGTTCATAGTAGTATTATAAATCTGTCATGCCTGATGACACCAGCTTCATAACACTGCACACATGGCAGCATATTCATATAGTTTGTAGAGGAACATATTAGAATCTGAATAATCATTTCTGTTTTTTCTCCCCAGGGATCGCCTCTCAACCGTGCCAACCTTCGAGCAGTCAACATTAACCTGTGTGATATGTGTGTTATCGTGTCTGCGAAGGATAAAAATATTGATGACCCCAACCTGGTGGACAAGGAGGCCATCTTGTGCTCACTGAACATCAAAGCCATGAACTTTGATGACAGTATCGGCCTCATCCAGTCCTCAGCCCCTACCAGTGCAGGTCAGTAGCCCCATTAAGTCCTTGCATCACCAGTGCAGGTCAGAAGCCACATACAGCACTTACCCCACTACTACAGGTCAGTAGCCTCATCCAGTCCTTGCCCCCACTACTACAGGTCAGTAGCCTCATCCAGCCCTTGCCCCCACTACTACAGGTCAGTAGCCTCATCCAGTCCTTGCCCCCACTACTACAGGTCAGTAGCCTCATCCAGCCCTTGCCCCCACTACTACAGGTCAGTAGCCTCATCCAGTCCTTGCCCCGACTACTACAGGTCAGTAGCTTCATCCAGTCCTTGCCCCCACCAGTGCACGTCAGTAGCCTCATCCAGCCCTTGCCCCACTACTACAGGTCAGTAGCCTCATCCAGCCCTTGCCCCACTACTACAGGTCAGTAGCCTCATCCAGTCCTTGCCCCCACTAGAGCAGGTCAGCAGCCTCATCCAGTCCTTGCCCCCACTAGAGCAGGTCAGTAGCCTCATCCAGTCCTTGCCCCCACTACTACAGGTCAGTAGCCTCATCCAGTCCTTGCCCCCACTACTACAGGTCAGTAGCCTCATCCAGCCCTTGCCCCCACTACTACAGGTCAGTAGCCTCATCCAGTCCTTGCCCCCACTACTACAGGTCAGTAGCCTCATCCAGCCCTTGCCCAACTACTACAGGTCAGTAGCCTCATCCAGCCCTTGTCCCCACTAGAGCAGGTCAGCAGCCTCATCCAGTCCTTGCCCCCACTAGAGCAGGTCAGCAGCCTCATCCAATCCTTGTCCCCACTAGAGCAGGTCAGCAGCCTCATCCAGTCCTTGCCCCCACTAGAGCAGGTCAGCAGCCTCATCCAGTCCTTGCCCCCACTAGAGCAGGTCAGTAGCCTCATCCAGTCCTTGCCCCCACTACTACAGGTCAGTAGCCTCATCCAGTCCTTGTCGCCACTAGAGCAGGTCAGCAGCCTCATCCAGTCCTTGCCCCCACTAGAGCAGGTCAGCAGCCTCATCCAGTCCTTGCCCCCACTACTACAGGTCAGTAGCCTCATCCAGCCCTTGCCCCCACTACTACAGGTCAGTAGCCTCATCCAGTCCTTGCCCCCACTAGAGCAGGTCAGTAGCCTCATCCAGTCCTTGCCCCTACCAGTGCAGGTCAGTAGCCTCATCCAGTCCTTGTCCCCACCAGTGCAGGTCAGTAGCCTCATCCAGCCCTTGCCCCCACTACTACAGGTCAGTAACCTAACCCATTCCTTGCCCCCACTAGAGCAAGTCAGTAACCTCACCCAGTCCTTGCCCCCACTAGAGCAGGTCAGTAGCCACATACAGCCCTTGACCTCACAAATGCAGGTCAGTAGGCTCATCCAGCCCTTGCCCCCACTACTACAGGTCAGTAACCTCACACAGCCCTTGCCCTCACTAGAGCAGGTCAGTAGCCTCATCCAGTCCTTGCCCTCACCAGTGCAGATCAGTAGCCTCATCCAGTCCTTGCCCTCACCAGTGCAGATCAGTAGCCTCATCCAGTCCTTGCCCTCACCAGTGCAGATCAGTAGCCTCATCCAGTCCTTGTCCCTACCAGTGCAGGTCAGTAGCCTCATCCAGTCCTTGTCCCCACCAGTGCAGGTCAGTAGCCTCATCCAGCCCTTGCCCCCACTACTACAGGTCAGTAACCTCATCCAGTCCTTGCCCCCACTAGAGCAGGTCAGTAGCCTCATCCAGTCCTTGCCGTCACCAGTGCAGGTCAGTAGCCTCATCCAGTCCTTGCCGTCACCAGTGCAGGTCAGTAGCCTCATCCAGTCCTTGCCCTCACCAGTGCAGGTCAGTAGGCTCATACAGCCCTTGCCCTCACTAGAGCAGGTCAGTAGCCTCATCCAGTCCTTGCCCTCACCAGTGCAGGTCAGTAGCCTCATCCAGTCCTTGCCCCCACTACTACAAGTCAGTAGCCTCATCCAGCCCTTGCCTCTATCAGTGTAGGTAAGTCATTTGTTTTGCTTGGTTTCCAGATCTTAGATTGAGAAAAAATAATAAAATCAGTTTCTTTACGCTGGAGACAGAGAAAATGGTTTTGAAAATAACACATAATCTCAAAATATTTGGTAGTTACTGAAATGACAAATGAAATAGCCTTGTGGGTTTTTTTAATACTTCAAAACAGAAACAACCAAGATTTGTAAGGACCAGAACCAGTAAGACCAGATGTAGTTGTTTCATTTGCAACAACTGACCCACTTTAACCTCAAGGCCCCTTGAAAACTGTTGAATGCATTTTATTTTTTATTTATTTCGATCATGCAACTGATAACTACAAAATCTGTAAACCTCCCCTGCAAGAACTGTCTGAACTGTATGGAAGAGCAGGAAGTGACGATGTTTTTCTTTCTCAGGGTTCTTACCTCCCGGGTTCTCCCCCATGGGCAGTCCGGCCAGTGTGTCAAGGCGAGGCTCGGTGTGTGGATCCAATGTACCACTTATCACCGAACTAGGTAAGTCACTCAACTCTCACACAGTGACGCCAGATGGCATCTTTAGTTGACGACACATGCTGAATAGACCTTGATGCCATTATGCTTCCTGTTGACACGTAAAGACAGTTATTTGCAAACTTCAAGAGAAGGCCTAAGTATATGCAAGTCCATGCCCCAAGATGATTTTCTTGCCATATGTTTGTACTGTCTTTGTCTACATCTCCAAAGAAATCAGATTGAGTGAAAGACTTTCTCGTGTACAAATGTAAGAAAGACACTTGGCTAACACCTCTAAAATCATATGATCATTTCATATCGCCATGCCAGGAACTACTGGTAATCTAAAACCAGCAGTCATGTTGTTTCAAGTCACTGTGCAGAGTTGTTTCCCTTAGCCATGCCAGGATCTGCTTGTTGTGAGTTCGGCTCCCAGATATGCCTCGATTAGTAATGTTGGTTTGCATCATACTCATGCTCATTTTCTTCAGCCTATATCCCTCTGCAATTTCTCCCACAAAAAGCTGCATATTCTTTTTCCAACCTGCCTACTGCATAGAAAATATGTATGCCAATGCTTACATATTTACGGACAGAATTGGTCTTCCAGTAATACATGATGCACTCTTAATGTGATAATTGTAGCATGATGTTCTTGGGAACTATTGCCCTAGACACAATAGTATACTATAAACTATCCTTAAAATCATAAGAAAAAATTTAACAGAAATGTTAAACCAACTCACACCTTTCCACAATGCAAAGATGAGATAAGGATATCTCAATATATATGGATGTCTTATAATGCTTGTTCATCTGTTCAGCCAATGACTCCAATGTCCAGTTTCTGGACCAAGATGACGACGATGACCCTGACACGGAGCTGTACATGACGCAGCCGTTCGCCTGTGGTACTGCCTTCGCCGTCAGTGTCCTGGACTCACTCATGAGCACAGTAAGTTCAGGAACCTTATTCTTCTTATCCTTGGTTCTCACCACCATACACAGGGGCCCAGCTGTCCAAAGCATCGCAATTTGCTGTGCAGAGTTGCATCCCTTGGGCATGCCAGCATCCTAAGATCGTGGGTTGAAATCCCTGCTTGCTCTGATTGTTTTTAGGTTTGTGAGAACTATACCTGTGCACATGGGTTTCACCAAAGACCTTCATCACTTTGGGTTTTCTTTCCATATCAAGCTGACATGCTGTGATATAACTAAAACCTCCTGTTAAAAGTGGTCATTGACCCAACTCACTCACTTATTCATGACATCAATGACCAACGTGATGTAAGTGCTGAGATTGATAAAACTCCAATACTTAAACATAGATGGTCATGGCACTACAATTGTTGTTTACCCATGAAGACCGGGATAGAATAGGTCTTCAGCAACCAATACTTGTCGTAAAAGGCGACTATGCTTGTTGTAAGAGGGATTGAATGGTCAGGCTTGCTGACTTGGTTGATGCATGTCATCGTATCCCAGTTGCATGGATCGATGCTCTTAATGTCAATCACTGGATTGTCTGGTCCAGACTCGATTATTTACAGACCGCCGTCATATAGCTGGAATATTGCTGAGTGCGGCGTTAAACAACAAACAAAAACAATTGGGTTTTTTCATGGTTATATTTAACATAAGTTCTCTTCACATGATGTTAATCTTTACTTGTTTATATTAAGACATTATTTTTTACTGAGATTGTCTTCATTACGAAAGCCCATATCATTTTTCTTTTTTTTTCTTGAAAGTTCAAGATAGCATGTTGAAATTTCAAGGTGATATGTTGAAATCTCAAGATAGCATGTTGAAAGTTCAAAATACAATTTGAAATTTCAAGTGCAATAACAATGTTAAAGCATTAATTGTATTATCTTCAATTTTCAAATTAGTGGCTTCAATTTTCAAGAAAGGAAAAAAGGGATGTGGCCCTAATAGGTCCTTTATACTGATTGACTTTATATTGTTAATTGAAAGACAAGTCAGCGGATGGTTCTCCTGTTTCAGAGTTATTTCAACGACAACGCACTGACATTGATTCGCACCCTCATCACAGGGGGCGCAACCCCCGAGCTGGAGCAGATTCTGGCTGAGGGGGCGGGGATGAAGGGGGGCTACTGCACCCCATCTGTTCTGGCCAACCGGGACCGGTGTAGAGTGGCGCAGATCTCGCTGTTTGATGGTCCACTGCAGCAGTTTGGGGTAGGTGTCAAGGTCATACCAGACTTGTCTGTAAGGTAAAACCTGATCTTTCTATAGACGCCATATATCCAGGTGGGCCATCAGGTAGCATTTACAATGCATGGTTGTGGTTTTCGGTGATGAAATAGAGACAGTATTGCTGTAGTAATGTTGTGATGTCACAGTCAATCATTGTGAGGTGACATTATAGTTTCTCATATCTTAGGTGATCATTGTTGATGTCATGTGATGTAAAAATTCATCATTGTTGATGTGATGTTAGATGGTGTTTTAATGAATTATTAGTGTCATGTGAAAGGTTGTGGATGAACTGACAACACTGATTTCTACTGGGCTTGGAGAAATCTTCTTTATGATTTCAGGAAGCAGGTAAATATGGGGACCTGTTCGTCCACGCGTTGCGGCACTTCGGTATCCTGTGTATTGGGCTGTACCGATTCCGAGATACAAGTGAGTCTGTGAAGAGTCCCTCATCAAAGCGGTATGTGATAGCAAACCCGCCTGAAGACTTCAAGCTGCTACCTACTGATCAGGTGGGTTGGAAAACACAAGTAGACAAGACTTACGCTAATGTTTACATTCTGCTGACCCCCAAAAAGTAAATAAATAAAAAGCATTTTGTTTTCTTACTGACTGACCAAGATGTTTTAACTAAAAAATCTTTAAAACAAGAAATATAAAGACTACTCCTATATATTATGGAATTATTATATCGTCTGGGGGCGGTCGGGTAGCTAGTGGTTAAAGCGTTTGCTCGTCACGCCGAAGACCCGGGTTCAATTCCCGACATGGGTAAAATGTGTGAAGCCCATTTCTGGTGTCCCCCGCCGTGATATTGCTGGAATATTGCTAAAATCGGCGTAAAATCATAGTCACTCACTCACTCATATCGTCTGGGTAGGTTGGAAAACACAATTAGACGAGACTTGAGGGAAGTTTCTGAGTGTGGGTTTTCATTTGTTAAGATGGAAATTTCTGATTCGAGGTGGCAGACAAATGAAGCTTAATCATTTTAGAAAGCTGACATCTCATTGGGCAATAAGCGTTCATTTTGAGTTCATGTGACAGCCCATGTAAGGTTGTTAGATCTTGATGTCAAGGGTATCAAATCGTAACAACAGACCAGGTTTTAATGAGATTGACACATATTCTAGAATTATAGTGGCCTTATTGAGCTACCATCCATCCACTGTGTAATTTCAATGATCATGTTTTTCAGGTCTATTGTCTTCAACCTTTCAACTTCAATGAAATCATGAAAAAAGCAAAAAAGAAAAGAAGGGCAGAGACTGATTCATAGCTGTTATCATGGTAACAGGAGGCAATATCAACACTCAAGCCAAGCCGTATTCCACAGACAAGATTTATAATACTCTTTCAATATGGTCATTGTCTTTCTTCACACTCAGTGATGGCAGTTTTTATATATGAATCGTTTACACCACCAAGTTGTTGCTATTTCTCAACGTTTAAGGTGTATTCTTCATTATCGAAGTGCCCAATACTCGTCAACAAATCCTGGCCTTAAATATAACGGTATGTTTAATCTATTTTAGTTCTTGCCACAAGTCAAAATGTTTTTATATAAATATAAAAAACATATACATAGAAGATTATATGTTTGGTTTTTAATGCCAGGAGATATGAAAATAATTTGAAAGTAATAAATATACCGAAAAGCAGAATTCCATAATTTATTTTACTACAGAAGTTAGTTTTATGTATTTTACATTTGAAATATAATATGACACAACTTTACAGCATATCCAAGTTATTTCTCTCAAACATATCGTGTTGACAATATGGAGTAAGCTCAAGCATGTCAAATAAGTACAATTTATTAAGTCAATGTTTATCAAACAATTTTTAAATAATTGAAAAAGTTTCAATACTGGGTACTTTTAGAATTATATCTATCGATATTTTTATGTTTTATATCGATACATGAGGAGGCACGTTGTATTGATACTTCATTACTTTGACTTCTCAATGACATCAGTGCTATTATTTCACGTGAAAATTGTGGTTTAGATAATCATGTTCAGACACTGCTGATTTGCACAATGATAATCTGTCATTGTAGTATCCCTGGTCCATTCTGTATTCATTCTGTATGAAATGCTTCTGTTCAAGTTAAAGAGATGTTCCACTCATCAATCAAAATTGTGATATGGACTTTACCTATATCCAGAGCTTGAATGCAACACATATGGCAACATGTTCAGTCTCATTAATATCAGATCTTAGTTCTCGCTATTGCTAAACAAAGATCTGAGGACATCCCATTACAGGTCACGTCAGAACAACCCTAATCGGACCAATCAAAGCGTTGCTTACCAGATCATGAAAGTGACAGTCGGAATGTGTTTTCTAATCATGCAACCTCAAAAACATTAACACGGGGTATTCCGAACGACAGTAACAGCCCATACAACTGATTCCGTCAAAGTTATCGTCTATCTCTCATTTGCATGGGACAAACATATGAACGGAGGAGGCATTGCACAGTATGTGGGAAACATTGCAATACAATCGCAACGATATATAAGAAATTCCGGAATGTTCGTTTGTTCAGTTTTCAAAATTTTAATCAAGAACTGTGTCAACATATTTTTCAAGTGTAGTCTGAAATGGAAGTCGGCAGGTTGAAACAAGTGCCATAAAGCTCGAGAAGCTGCTTTCTAATTGGCTGATGTTGACTTCTTGCTAGTCGTTTCAGTGAGAGGTCAAGGTTTGCGAAAGGCCGTTCTGACGTGACCCGTAATGGGATGTCCTCAGATCTTTGTTTAGCGGCAGCGAGAACTTAGATCTGATTTTAATGAGATTGCAACATGTAACTCTCAGCATATTCAGAACAAATGTGACATTTCACTCCTTTACTGGAGGCCGCCATTTTGAGCAAAGTTGTGATGTAGTGACCTATCACTCTCTTAAGACATTTTGGACAACAAAATGGTGACCTCCAGAAGAAAGCAAACAGGGGCACTTTTTGAATTTTGCTTTATCATGGCTTGTGTGCAAGATGTTTAGAGAATAAAGTCTACCATGTAGTACTGCTTGAAACAAATTTTCGTTCATATCAATTTGAAATATTGGTGGACTATCTCTTTAGTCTACACCATATGAAGACTAGGGTTGGCAGCAATGAATGTGATTTAAGTACCAACAGTAATTGTGGATTATTCTCAAATAATGCTATCATCACAATCAACGCAGTAAAAATCAATGTGAACTCTTAAACAAAAATAAATTATTATTTCCATATTTAATGTATAAACTCAAAAAGTATTCAAATCTATTGAAAAAATAAGTTGTAACTGTAATTGAAATATGTTCCAAGGCTCATAAAAGGTTTCAAGCATTAATGCTTATTAAAAACCTATTCCACTTTGTTTTAAATGACTTCTCAATGCTATATTATGATATAAAAAATATTTATATACAAAAAACCAGAAGGGCAAATCTACAATTAAATTGAAAAAAAAACACTTTTGTTGGAATAGGGTGCTTGATATGTTGAATATGGTATTACTTTAATATGATTGTTGTAATCATATATGTGATTTTTGTAGTCTCATGAAGTATTGATTGATAAGTGAATATAACGATAAATTTTGTGTTTGTGTGTAGATATTTCGTTCCACGCATATATTAATTTTACACTAAAATGGCAATATTTGAACATGGCACCAAATAACAAGACTAGCAATGCACTCTGGTGATTTACTGGGTCTTGGATATGAGCTTACCTCTTTAACAGCAGGTATTGTTGAAATTTCTTTTCTGATTTTTCACACAATGAATTGTACTTAAATGAAAGTTCCACTGTGTGTATATATCCATTTATAATGTGTGTATATTGAGCTGTTATACATTCTAAATGTATATTATTTACAGAAAAAGTTTGTATATAAACAGATGTAGATATGCTGTATATTATATATAGAATTGAGTTAATATGATTATGAATTATCTGCCCTGAGAGATTATACGTAATTGGAGCTATACTACCATTGTTATGTATTGATAAACGAACGAAAGTGTTTTGCAGTGATGTGGAAAAAAAGATTACAAAGCAAGAATTCTTCTTTCTTTTTTTAAGTTTTTCTTGTAAGGCATGATAAAAATAATGACTTTTTTTTTTAGGAGATCGTATTCCCCCACCACTTGTTGAAAAATTCAATCATGTGCATTTTATCTATATCAGTATACTGGACTATACTCAGAGGTTAACTGACATCACAGTTTGCCATTTTGCAAGATGAAGCTCATGTTGGTCAATATTATATTGTACAGTTATGGACTATTTGTTACGATTTTCACTTGTTCTAAAATTGTCACATGACCAATGTGCTGATGGGAACACAACTAGCTTCGATATTTAGCAGGCAACCATTAATACAACCACAAAGGCCATTTTCTTTTTGGTTAATCTTTGTATTTTATGCACTTGCAATGTTTGAAATGAAATTTTGATATTCAACTTGACCATCAACTTAGTCTTTGTCATAGAGCTCAAACATAACCAAGTGTGTTGTACATGTGTGTTGTACATTATATTCATTCATGACATGGTTTGAAATTCTGGTTTGTGTGCCAATTTTTTTATGTACACTGCATTCCTGTCGACTAATAATAACACTTTCTCTTTTGTATACATATTGCGTGAACAGATGGTGTTATGTTTCCTTTTTGACCAAAGTCAAATTTGAGATTGGCACTTACACATAAAGTAACATTTTGAATGGAAAAATGTTTAATTTCAATTTATTTTTCTTATTACAGTGATTAATCAATCACTAGTAGTCAGTAAGATGTCAATCATATTTATTGAAATACAATGATAAAATTTGATTTTACAATACCAGTACTTTCACCTCAAATCTTGCCAAAAGAGTATAAGAACGCAATTTTAAGACAACATAACTCAAAAATTGATTTTATACCAAAAATTCAAAATATGGTCAGTGAGACATTGTTGTAAGTTGTGTGTGATTCAATCTTGCAACATCTAGCTCAGGAAAAAGTGTCAGTTTCCATCTCAGATCTCCTCAGTATTGTTCATATGTATGCCTGCATTGCTTGTCACCAGTACTCACTGCACCCCACTTCATGCCAGAGTTGTGTCCCTTTGCTACCAGATCAGGTTAAGGTTAGTTAAACTCCAGATTTTGCCCAATTATGATTCTTGATCTCTCCGCGGAATAACTCCTCAAGGATTCATCAAAGTGATAAATGTCTCTGACCTGTATCCCTTTGCTCTTTTCTCCTGAGCTGACTGCCGTGTTGTAACGGAAATACTTTTCAACGTGGTGTGCGGCCCGACTCACTCACTCACTCACTCACTCACTCACCAGACCACCGCTTCCTCACTCCATTTGAAGTCACACTTTACACACATGAATCTGGAGCCACTTCCTGGAAAACATATCATCAAGTAGTATGAATTTGTTTAGTTTTTCATTACAAGACGATGGGCCATCGTCGATGTTGTACTTAACACCTGCTTTAAGTGTATAGTTTCCTCCTGGTGTTTGTAATGGCTTTGCTAGAGGTGTTACACAGTGATCATGTGTCTTGTCAAGTCCCAGTGAAAAAAACCTATTGTCCTTGGGACTACTTTCTTTTATCTAATGACTTCTCATTTCTGAAGAATTTTTATCAAATTCTATTTTGAGACAAATACTATTTGCTAATGAACTTATTATTGATAATTGTTCCAACTGTTGCATATGAAATCATATTTAAGATATTTTTTCTGGAACAATGTTTAACTTTTTAACTACTCTTATTACCTTTTTGTCAAATGTTATCATCCCTTCTAAATTGATTGGTGTTTTGTTTGTGTCTATTGTCTACGTGTGAACAGCCCTACCACATGCAGATGTACATTTCCCTGCAACTGTTTTTGTCCAGTTGTGGATTATTCTGTTTATCATCATTTTTAATATTCAAAAGAACGAACATTGACAAGAGAGGTTGGTGTGATGAAGTTAAAGCAAGAAATATTTATATAAAACTAGATACACTGCATAATGATTGAGGTACGAGAGCTTTTAGACAGTTTGAAGAGTTGGGTTGTGATTGGAATCTAATAATGGTGCCAACAGGTATATAGTAATTTGAACTAGGAATTCTGACCGGTCTCATTTGTGTGAAGCTAAATAAGTAATAGAGATTGGTTATGTTTATCAATGTTCACATTGATTTTATTTATTAGATTTAAATATTGTCTTTCAAAGCCACTTCAGTATGTTAAATGTATTTTGCAATTTTTTGGGTATGAAATCTTACATATAAAAGATAAATAAAAACAGATTTGTATGTAGTCAATCCTTTCTGCTGACACAGCTGAATCTCACCATTTTGAAGGACAGGGACGGTCTCAAAAGGAAAAATATTTAAATCAATCTCAAACTGTGATATGCCATAATTAATTATCACAAAAGCATTTACTTTACTGAACTCAACCACAATTCAAGGGACCAGTCATTATTATAGGTAGATTTATAAAAGTCCCTAATTAAAGAATTTGATACAATCAGTTAATCATTAAATATCATTGTCCATAAAGGATGTCTACTGGTCTGTGTTGAACATTTTCTGACATAGGTATTTATAAAATGTTGATTATTTAAACTGTCCTGATGATCAATAGAGGGGGTTATTGTGCATTTATTGGCTGGGCACACTTGTTAAAGGGGGACAACTCTCAGCTTATTGGCAGTCCTGGCAAGTTTGATTCCTGTCCTTCAAGTAACTGTCCACCAGTTCAAATGTTATGATGTTTACCAAATTATCAGTTGCTAACCCTAGCTACACTGAACAAGGAAGGAAACGGGCACCGGCCATGGAACATCGTCTACATTTTTACCACACTTACTATATATGTGGGGCAGTTGGGTTGCTTAGTGGTTAAAGTGTTCGCTCGTCACGCCGAAGACCCGGGTTCGATTCCTGACACGGGTACAATGCATGAAGCCCATTTCTGGTGTCCCCCGCTGTGATATTGCTGGAATATTGCTCAAAGCGGCATAAAACCATACTCACTCACTCACTAACTATATAAGCATATTTGGCAATGCATTTATGTTATAGTTTAAAGAACATTGAAGCACTTCTTCTATTCAATTTCGCCATAAGCAGTATCCAATATGTCATACAAACTGGATTTAATTCAATTTTTATTTGATATACATGAAGTGGTATCTTTGATAATTTGATTTGAAGTCTATGATTCTTGACTGCATCGGTGGAATGGCAATAGATTAACTTACATTTTGTCGTTAGAACACACCTATACACAACAATCTGAGTTGTGCAGTAATCCCAAACTCACACCAACAGATATACTTAATGGTACAGGATTTAACACTCCACCCGAGTACAAAACCAGAACATGGCAAACACTGTGTTGTCAGATTGTAGTTAAGGCTCTGTCTAAACTACTTTTGATAAAAAAATTAAAACAGAAGAACTTGCTAAACCTAATTCAGTACATGAAAATGTCTTTTTTTATTTTCTTCAAACATTGTCATGGAAACCAACTGAAATTGTTTTCAAGTAAGATTTTAGATATCTTTAAAGTCTTAATGATTATGAATTACTCAGTATTTATGTCCTAGGGTTGTGAGAATGAATATAATAATACTAATTATATCATAACAAAATAACTTAGTATTGAGCAATATTTAAAATATGGTTCTCAACAGTATGGTCTGTGAAGGCGTTGACTGCTTTTGTTGTGGAATTACCAAGGGAGAGTACTCTTACTAAGGGAGGTAACCCATGGCAGAAGCAGTCTGGTATGGGAGAAAACACCACCAGTTGTAGATATTTCTATGTGTAAAAGAAAACCATGCAGATTGTTGCCTGTGATCAAAGTATTTTGTTACTGACAGTCAGTATACTGTATTTTTATAACTCACGAGAAGGGAGAGCGTTTATTAGATCATCATCATGTCAGGACAGAGTGCTGTGAACTTGCTTAATAAACCATTTCTGCTACACGACTGTGTTTGTTGTCAGATCAGAGGATGACATGCTCCATTTGATAAATTAAGTACACTACTGTGCAAAATTATCTTTTTCTGAATCATGACCATCGTCAGTACGCTTCTCCATCAGCTGCGAATACATATTGCCACTTTCTAGTGAAGTCAGTATTTCTCCCTCAACAAATCAAGCCTGGTCCTGGTTGACATGAGAGGGAAATCAGCAAGTGCACAGATAACACTATTTCTCTTTCGGGTAGCCTAGTGGTTAAAGCGTTCGCTCGTCACGCCAAAGACCCAGGTTCGATTCCTCACATGGATACAATGTGTGAACCCCATTCCTGGTGTTCCCCACCATGATATTTATAAAACCATACTCACTCACTCACTCAACATGAGGGAAGTTACTTCCTTCAGTCATACAAAACCTCATTAACCTTATTGCCACTACTACAGCTCACACAGCCACCGAGAGTTGAAGAGCGTTTTGTCAATATATGTCATACCATGGTTGACATAAGAGGTGACTAACGGGATCGCTGACATCGTATCCCATTGTGTAGATCGATGATGATGTCAATCACTGGATTGTCTGCTCCAAACTCGATTAGTTACAGACTGCCATCATATAGAGGGAATAGTGCTGAGTGGGGTGCTTAACAACAAACAAGCAAACATACCAAGGACTGGCCAGCTCGAAGTCAGTATCACTGTTTCTGAGTATTAATGTTAAACTAAGGCATGGTATCTCAGTGGGTCAGGCCACACTTTTTAAATTTTATGTTTCATGGATTTATTCCAGCTTTTGCACGCAAGGTCGATTGAAATAAAAAAATGAATATGTCAATCATTTACTTATTTGAAAGTCATTCTGCCATGGAGTTAAAACTGGCTTCTTGAATCACTGATAGTGATTTAGACATAGAATTTATATATTACATTTTATATTTTATAAGAGGGTCTATATTACTAGCGGGAGGCATAATAAAAATAAATATATCTTTATGTTTAATTTATTTCGGTTCCAGCTGCTTTTCAGTAGGGGCGGTGGGCCCATTAAACAAGAGATAAAATGTGTGGCCTTAACACTATAAAAGCAGCGTTACTCCGGACTAGTACATGCATTAGAGCAATAATCTTGAACATGGGACATTAAACCCCCCTCCCCTCATATAGTAGCCATATGTATTTATGGTTTATGGAGAACATAGAATCCAAACCAGTGAAGTACTCATGAGGACTATAGACAAGAGTGCTACAGATTAATGCAATGGTTGCAATTGTGGGGACTTTTCTTTGTGCATTACAGTACCTGGATCACAACTGACATTCCATCAAGTGGCAGGTGCCTGTGTTAAACAATAGTTATTACTATAGACAACCACAATATATCTGTAATTATGGAATAAATACTGATACAACTTGTCCTATCTTCCACCATTTGAAGAATTAATTAAATGTTGTAACATGCTGGCTGCAGGAAACAAAAACTATTTTCCTCTTGAATTTTTTATTGATGTTGTACATATTTGAAATAACTGCCATAACAAATGTGATAGAAAAATAAAAAATATTAGTATATCAACCCACATGTAAGAAAACTGATAAAATATATTCCCTGCTTGTGTTTGTTACCCTTTATAGATAGCTGGAGGTCAGAAACCAAAGCTGAAACTAATGCTTGTTATGCGCAGTTAAAATAAAAACATGATCAGAAGTAACACATGAACATGATAAAGTGAGTCAATAAATATTTCCCTAAAGAACCTTTTGACACCCCTCTCTCTGGTCCACAGACTGGATCTTCTTGAGTCACTTGACCTGCTCCAGTAATGCATAATACTGGGTAACTGTGACCTGCTCCAGTACTGCATCATACTGGGTAACGGGGATGTGTCCCACAGACTGAGTCACTTGACCTGCTCCAGCAGCCATGAGGATATCCTGTCCCACAGACTGAGTCACTTGACCTGCTGCAGCAGCCATGAGGATATCCTGTCCCACAGACTGAGTCACTTGACCTGCTGCAGCAGCCATGGGGATATCCTGTTCTACAGTAACCATCATGATGCGGTGAGGGTTCATGAACACCATCACATTTTTCTTCCTGATGTTCACATAAACTACACAAAAAAGTAAAAGATCATCCAATTCTTTCATATTACTATGGTTAGTCTGTCACAGATTTGCCAGATTTGTAGATGGCACAATGCATGACCTTAACAAATCTGACATATGCGGAGGTCATCAGAAGTATCTTAAATCATTGTCTACCGCTAGTGCAAAGATCATGTATAAGAAAAGTCTTGGCAAGATGCCATTCCATGAAGGAAGCAATACAATCAGTTGTGATAAGCACCTGAGTGATACTTGTTAAGACTGCTATTTCTGATTCCATATATCATAATAACAGAAGGTTGCACTCATTGGTATAAATAAAATATACATATATATTCCTACCTGGACATAACAAATTCACTTGAATCTTTAAAATCAAATTGGTTATCCATATATCTTCCCACTGTTTTCACAGAGTTACCAACCTCGATTATGCAGGCTATTATATCTCCACTCTATGTGGATAAATACCCTGGATTCAATCACCACCATGGCTTTATGCTTGGTCGATCTGGTTCGACTAACATGTTGCTGAAAATAGCCATCCAATCTAATTACCTTGTTCAAGAGGTGATATCACCAGCACTCGACTCATCTTGTGGCATATCATCTCTAGTATAACACTGAACGGCTGTTAAACTAATGACTTCCTGCCCTTCTGATTTGAATAATTGTCTCAAGGACTTGCTCACACGAGGTTGCAGTTCATTTTAATTATGCCAAACTCACGTTCTAAAGAGACATTTTGACTAGTAGCAATCTCACTAAAATCACATCATAGTTCTCGGTATCACTTAACAAAGATCTGAGGACATCCCATTACGGGTCACGTCAGGCCGAACTTTCATCCAACTAATCAAAGCATCGCTTACCAGATCATCACAAAAGTGACAGTCGAAATGTCTAATCATGCAACATCAAAAACGTTAACACGCTGTATTCCGGACAGTTACGGCCCGTACGACTGATTCTGTCAAAATTATCGTCTATCTCCTGATTCTTTGGGATAAACATTTGAATGGAAGAATCGTTGCACAGTACGTGGGAAGCACTGCCATACAATCTCAACCATATATTAGACATTCCAGAATGTTCATTTGTTCAGTTTCCAAAATTTTAATCGAGAACTGTGTCAACATATTTACAAGTGAAGTCTGAAATGGAAGTCACCAGGTTGAAATGAGTGCCGTAAAGCTCGAGAAGCTGCTTTCTAATTGGCTGATGTCGACTTCTTGTTAGTCGTTTCAGTGGTCGGTCACTGTTCAGGAAAGGTCGTTCTGACGTTACCCGTAATGGGATGTCCTCAGAACTTAGATCTCATTTTAATGAGATTGGACTGGTTGTTGGTTGTCAAGCGAATTACAGAGTAATTATGTGCAAAGTTAGTTACCAGAGAGATGGAGCTGGTGATGTCACTTCTGAATTGAAGATATAGTCGTGAATGGCAGCAGGGTATTCATCATAACAGAAAGGAGATACTCTGAACTGGGATATCAAGTATGCAAAGTCACTTGACCAGCAGGTGCTGACATTAATCATAAACCCTGACATCTGCTGGCAATTTTGAGAATTGTTACATCGTAATTCAGTTTGACTTCCAACATTGTTATGTCCAAGGTTGACATCTTGTACACATGGAATATAAGGGAAGACTTTTTGTAATGGCTTATGGATTCAACCAACCCTTAAATATTGAAAAGTGTAAAAACAAATTATTACCGGTACTTTGTATTCTGCTGAATGCCAATTTGCACATGTTCAACACTAAAAATATTGTGCCTATAACAAGTCATATGCACTAGCACTGCTAACACTGCTCACATAGCACATAGCAACTGCTCCATCTGAATAAAAAAAAATATTCTTAAGTGGCTTTTATATAAAGAATTCCACACCTTGCAACTAGGATTATTCATTATTCATTAGGCAGTAAAAAGTCCATAAACAATCAAATAAAGTCTTACCTAAACACATTAACTCAGATGTGATTGTCATTTTGATAAGGGACTTGTCGGAAAGACGTAATACTGACACTAACCTCTTGTGATCACACAAAACACCCGCGTCGGTTTGGTCATTAAAATAATATGTGTATTTCCAATGAGCAATGATGAGTAAACAAGCACAGGCATGTTTTACTAGGGACTTCGACTAATCACAAAGCATATATTGAGACAGTGCTGTGGAAACAATCATTGTTTTAAAGCCCATATAACTGATCATAATAGTATCAAATACTACAAGACTGTATACAAAACTTATTGCCAATTGAAATAAAACAATAAGCACTGTTACAAAAAGTCATACATGATGTATCTAAATTTGAAAATGATCACAATCAGTTTCTCACACAAGTGTTGACAAGACTTGCTCAGCCATCACAGAGAGGAATATTGGCACAGCACTCCAGGAATCTGCCAAAGGGGCTAGGTGTCTACTAAATAACTGCCCATATAGTCTGTATGCCCCCAGCAGAAATCCAGCAAGCAACCGCATGATTTTGACACGCCTCTATACTCTGTAGGAAACAGCAAGCATCTACGGCATCAGCCCCATTGCTCACTGTAATGCTATTGTCTGCTGTTCTCAGGAGAAGCTGCTGCCTGTTTCAGTGTCACGGAAGGCTGTGATTTCTTTAAAAATCTGTCACACGTCACAGGAAACCACAACCCCACAATTGTACCTGCCATTTATACATAGATGAAGGACGTACAATGATAGAGACGTTATAAAACTGTTGACAGCTCTTTTTGGTCATTGCATAACTGAGTTCTTTATAAATTTATAACAGTTATTCATTCACATATTGTAGTAACATCAAGCCAGAAGATATGTATTCTATCCACTGTTAACAGGTACCAACATCTATCTGTCTGCAGTGTCAAAACAAGAACCAATACATCCCATAAGGAACCAGCATGCAATACCTTCTTCCCGAGCAAGCATGCACACACAATGTTGTCTCGGCAAGTACCTGCCTGCAATGTTCTTCGATGGCAAGAACATGCCTGCAATATGATGTGTTCTCCAGCAAGCACCGACCTAGAATGTTCTGTTTCAGCAAGCACCTGCCTGCATTGATCAGCCTCTGCAAGCACCTGAACCCAATGTTCTGCCCCAGCATGCACCTCCACCCAATGTTCTTTCTAGCAAGCACATGCACCCAATGTTCTGAACCAGCAAGCACCTGCACACAATGTTCTGTCCCGCAAGCACCTGCCTCCATTGATCAGCCCCTGCAAGCACCTGCACACAGTGTTCTGTCCAGCAAGCACCTGCCTCCATTGATCAGCCCAAGCAAGCACCTGCCTGCACTGATCAGCCCCTGCAAGCACCTGCACACAATGTTCTGTCCCAACAAGCACCTGCCCACATTGTTCAGAACCCTCACTTAGTTCCCTTGCTGATGAGTGGTTGGTTCTCATCATCATCATCAACATCCAACGAACGGTCCTCTGCAGAACACACAAAAACAAGGATAGAATTAAGAACGCAAACAACAACAGCCATTGATGAACAAATTCATAGTTAACATTCTGGAGCTATTTCTCTGTTTACATGTAGATCCGATCATGCAATACATTCAGAAGTTGTATATCTGTTGGTCTCACATAAATGCCGAGGTGATACATCCATAACAACTACCCGTATGTAGGATTACTAAACATTGGAACATTTACCAAATAGAACATATATACTAAACAAACAAAAAGTTAGGGATGATGAATATTTCTTTGAGTGGATACTGAGTTTCTTTAAATGTGTACAGTACATAAAAATATTTTATGACTTGTATTTTCAGTATATATCATCCCACACTTCAAAAGAAAACCTGTGGTGTATTGTAAAAATATTTGAAAAAGACCTTTTTCGCACATATTTTAAACAACAGACAGCTTGTCAGTAGTCTTGTCAAACCATGGAAACATTGTTTTCTTATGTTCAATTTGTTTGTTCTGACTGACCACTCCGTCTGAAGCTGAATGACTAAGAACATGAAAACACAAAGTAATAAGAAGGGCTTCATAGCGTGAGATCAGTTCTCTTGATCCATTGTCTCACGTTCCTCCACACAGAGAGGAAAGAGGTGGGGGAGATCCTACCCTGAACATGGAGCTCCTCACAAGCCTCTTCCACAGTGCTGGAGATCACAAGTCCAGGGAGCTCTGCCTTCTGAAGACTGTACATCACTGGAGGCTGCAGGCACACCAAACACAGGGTTAGGGTCAAGGACAGTCATTAAGCATGTGAAGTACATCTGTGTATTCCATGAAATCTTATATTTGCAGGTACACTTTTGGTGACGAGAGACTTTAATCATTGCTTAATCTTCATTATTACAAGCCATGAGATAGCTAGCAGGCAGCTAAATTAAATTGTTTTGCAGAGTTATGTCCCTTATAAGTTCCAGGATCTGATAGTTCTGGGCTGATCCCCAGATCTGCCTGATTATGATGCATTGATTGTTAGCATCAAGTCTTTTAGGTTTCACTGCAGTGTGTTAATGTATGTTACCGTATCACTTCATGCTTTCATTAAATAGACATGCCATAATTAGACTCAATTACTCCAGGGGCGGTGGGGTAGCCTAGTGGTTAAAGCGTTCGCTCGTCACGCTGAAGACCCGGGTTCGATTTCCCACAATGGTACAATGTGTGAAGCCCATTTCTTGTGTCTCCCGCTGTGATATTGCTGGAATATTGCTAAAAGTGGCGGAAAACCTGATTCACTTACTCATTCACTCAAATACTCCAGCCCCTTCTAGTGGCCAAAAGAGCTGGATTCAAACCACAAATCACGGACAGATGCTATGACTGCACAACCAAAGAGTTTAAGCCCTGTCACCAACCCTATTAAGGGGTGAACATGACACGTATACTCACTGACACATGTACCAGGATGACCCCAAGTCCCCTCCTCTTCATCTCTGCCAACAGCTGCATCAGACCCTGCACAGATTATCCCCAAGTGTCTGATAAAACAGTTCAACCAACAACTCAAACCAATCAACTGTTCACAAACTTTCACCCATCCCGTTCACCAGTGTTACAATAACTCACTATCAGCATCCGAAATTGTCTCACCAGGACTCACATATTCACCCACATGTAATCGTACATGTCACCATGTACCACATCAATATGCACTCACATATCTAAGCTCTATTGTCACTGCTATGTCACAGTCACAGTACTACTCAAGAGACGTCTGTCACACAGTTCTATTGGAGAGACTTCTGTGTCACACAGTTCTATTGGAGAGACTTCTGTGTCACACAGTTCTATTGGACAGACTTCTGTGTCACACAGCTCTATTGGACAGACTTCTGTGTCACACACCTCTATTGGAGAGACTTCTGTGTCACACAGCTCTATTGGAGAGACTTCTGTGTCAAACAGCTCTATTGGACAGACTTCTGTGTCACACAGTTCTATTGGAGAGATCTCTGTGTCACACAGCTCTAATGGAGAGACGTCTGTGTCACACAGCTCTATTGGACAGACCTCTGTGTCACACAGCTCTATTGGAGAGACTTCTGTGTCACACACCTCTATTGGAGAGACTTCTGTGTCACACAGCTCTATTGGACAGACTTCTGTGTCACACACCTCTATTGGAGAGACTTCCGTGTCACACAGCTCTATTGGAGAGACTTCTGTGTCACACAGCTCTATTGGAGAGACTTCTGTGTCACACACCTCTATTGGAGAGACTTCTGTGTCACACAGCTCTATTGGTGAGACTTCTGTGTCACACAGCTCTATTGGAGAGACTTCTGTGTCACACACCTCTATTGGAGAGACTTCTGTGTCACACACCTCTATTGGAGAGACTTCTGTGTCACACACCTCTATTGGAGAGACTTCTGTGTCACACAGCTCTATTGGTGAGACTTCTGTGTCACACACCTCTATTGGAGAGACTTCTGTGTCACACACCTCTATTGGAGAGACTTCTGTGTCACACACCTCTATTGGAGAGACTTCTGTGTCACACACCTCTATTGGAGAGACTTCTGTGTCACACACCTCTATTGGAGAGACTTCTGTGTCACACTGCTCTATTGGAGAGACTTCTGTGTCACACACCTCTATTGGAGAGACTTCTGTGTCACACACCTCTATTGGAGAGACTTCTGTGTCACACAGCTCTATTGGACAGACTTCTGTGTCACACAGTTCTATTGGAGAGATCTCTGTGTCACACAGCTCTAATGGAGAGACGTCTGTGTCACACAGCTCTATTGGACAGACCTCTGTGTCACACAGCTCTATTGGAGAGACTTCTGTGTCACACACCTCTATTGGACAGACTTCTGTGTCACACACCTCTATTGGAGAGACTTCTGTGTCACACAGCTCTATTGGAGAGACTTCTGTGTCAAACAGCTCTATTGGACAGACTTCTGTGTCACACAGTTCTATTGGAGAGATCTCTGTGTCACACAGCTCTAATGGAGAAACGTCTGTGTCACACAGCTCTATTGGACAGACCTCTGTGTCACACAGCTCTATTGGAGAGACTTCTGTGTCACACAGTTCTATTGGAGAGACTTCTGTGTCACACAGCTCTATTGGACAGACTTCTGTGTCACACACCTCTATTGGAGAGACTTCTGTGTCACACAGCTCTATTGGAGAGACTTCTGTGTCAAACAGCTCTATTGGACAGACTTCTGTGTCACACAGTTCTATTGGAGAGATCTCCGTGTCACACAGCTCTAATGGAGAGATGTCTGTGTCACACAGCTCTATTGGACAGACCTCTGTGTCACACAGCTCTATTGGACAGACTTCTGTGTCACACAGCTCTATTTGAGAGACCGGTGTCACACAGCTCTATTGGAGAGAACTCTGTGTCACACAGCTCTATTGGACAGACGTCTGTGTCACACAGTTCTATTGGTGCGACTTCTGTGTCACACAGTTCTATTGGAGAGACTTCTGTGTCACACAGCTCTATTGGAAAGACGTCTGTGTCACACAGCTCTATTGGAGAGACCTCTGTGTCACACTGCTCTATTGGAGAGACCTCTGTGTCACACAGCTCTATTGGAGAGACCTCTGTGTCACACAGCTCTATTTGAGAGACCTGTGTCACACAGCTCTATTGGAGAGACATCTGTGTCACACAGCTCTATTGGACAGACTTCTGTGTCACACAGCTCTATTTGAGAGACCGGTGTCACACAGCTCTATTGGAGAGAACTCTGTGTCACACAGCTCTATTGGACAGACGTCTGTGTCACACAGTTCTATTGGTGCGACTTCTGTGTCACACAGTTCTATTGGAGAGACCTCTGTGTCACACAGCTCTATTGGAAAGACGTCTGTGTCACACAGCTCTATTGGAGAGACCTCTGTGTCACACTGCTCTATTGGAGAGACCTCTGTGTCACACAGCTCTATTGGAGAGACCTCTGTGTCACACAGCTCCATTGGAGAGACTTCTGTGTCACAAAGCTCTAATGGTGAGTCTATTCTCAGACACAGCACTTTTGACTTACCATGACAGTACTGTAGTCAATCCCACTGATATGCTGGAAATCTAGAATTACAGATCTCTGACGGCCACCTGAAATTGTTCAAAAGAATCAGCCTTTATCATGTGCAGCTGACAAATAGTCTGGGAGTAACATTAGAATTAGTTCAGATTTAGTGTGAGTGACATCATCAGACAGATGTTTACTCGGTGGGGGGTGGGGGTACATATGACGGTTATATATTTCCTCCCAACAAATGAAAACATTTTGTGAGTCCTGTAACTTGTTGGAAAGTGACTACTGACCACTGATTGCCTTCTCCAGGACTGTCTCATGGAAGTACTCCGCAGCCGGGAACAGCAGCCCCTGGTCGGGTCGGACGACCAGGATCCCGGGACGTGAGAGGGACTGGCAACATAAACATGGTAACACAACATGACTCTGTTAACACTCAGACCATGACCAGGCAACAGATCAAGTGGCTGAAGTTACTCCATCCTAAAGCACCATACGAACACACAACCCTCAAATATCTCCCTACTAACTCATAACGTCATGTACTCAACTCCAACAAAATACACATATGCCCACACCACACCCACACCCACCAAAACCAACACTTACACTTATCCCCACCAGACCACCAAACAAAGCCCAGGCAGAACTCTCCTCACACACACACACACAAAACACACACACAGACACACGCATACACAGACGCACACACACACACACACACGATGCACTGATGCACACATCCCCTCCCCCTAACCACCATCACTGGCACAACCCCACCACCCCATACATCACCCTCCCTGCAACCCACACATTCCCCCTTCTTCCCCCCCCCCCCCCCCCCCTCTCCCCTGACACCCATCCACTGTACCTTGAGGGTGGGTCTGGCCGTTGGATACAGGAGCATCAAGACGGAGATGCCGATGCCAACCAGAATGCCATACTGGAAATAACAGTGACAGGCCATTGAACGTCCATATAAATCTCACACTACGACTAGTAACAAAACACAAAGTATGGCACTAGATATATTTCCCATACTGATCCAGTCCCAGATGTTCAGACCTCCTGGAAGTGCAAAGGACAATAGTACACTAGAAGTGTATGACAAAATATGACTCCCTTGTAGTCTTTTCCATTTTAAAACCTGGGGGAAGAGGGTGAAAAAAGTAAGGTCTGAGGGCGGAGCCGGAGGTCTCGTTCCTGAAGTTGTCTTCTTTCATTAGAGATTATTATACGAAACCTCCAAAGACACCAAAGTAGGTTCCTGAGCAGGCAAAAGAGTTGTGTTTGTTCGCGGAATATTTTGTAATACATACATGCTACTACACAGAGCTGTAATGATACACTTTGTTGCGATATGCTTCCCATCTTGATAGTCACATTACGATACATGATACCGTACATACAAAATCTATACTTGACGTGTTAAGGAGACATTTCTATCACTAACGGAAAAGAACAGTAGCCCATCTAAGACATATGTAATAGATCTAAGTCAATTATTGGACTAATGCTGGTTTTATAGTTCTAGCCGTCTGAGATACCATGCCACAGCTTAACATTTAACATATACACAAAGAAAAAGGTTAAGCACACCCTAATATATTTCATTATTGTTTGGTCCCAATATTTGGAACAGTCATGAAAGATATAATTACGGCAAGAATTATGTTATCTCGAGATGATGTAATCAGTCATGCGTGACGAAAGCTCACGTGCCATGCATGGTATGCCCGTGCAGCATGCTACCCTCAAGTATCTCCAAAAGCAGTATATCCAAACGTTAAAATTGCTTTCTTAAGCTCGGTTTTAAACAGTTATTCCATGACATTATGTGACCATTGCACGAAGGCGATTATCAAACGCCACAAAATGGCAAATAATCAGAATGAATGACGCAGGAATGTCTTGTTATGCCATTGGTCGGAATTTCGGGTATCATCATACTGACGTAAGCTGTTTAGTCAAGGAACATGCTCAGACCAGTAATGTACAGGACCGTCCCAGATCCAGAAGACCTCCTGTGACGACACATCGCAAAGACAGGAACCTTTTTCGTCTCATACGCCGAGAACCCTTTTTAACAAGTACTTGTCTTAAACAGCTGTGGTTGCCAAATAATTGTTTCAGCACCAGAACCATCAGGAACCGGCTGACAGCAGCAGGACTGAGGGCTTGACGAGTCATTAAGCGTCCCTTGTTGAGAGATCACCACAAAGCTGCTCGTTTAGTATGATGTATTGCAAGACAGAACTGGAAACTGAGAACTTGGAGACGGGTCCAATGGTCAGACGAAAGTCACTTTCTGCTCCACGTCACTGATGGAAGAATGAGAGTTTGGCGGCACCAGAACACGTCCTTCACCCCAAGGAACATTAAACCGACTGTTGCATACAACGGGGGCTCGGTAATCGTTTGGGGGTGTATCTGTCATGATTGCAGGTTGAATTTGGTCACCAAAAGGGGCAACTTAACAGGGGCTCAGTACATCCAGGATGTTTTGAGGCCAGTCGTCGCTCCTCATTATGACAACCACCCTCTCGCTACTCGACCTCAGTACATGGATGACAATGCCAGGCCTCATCGTTAACGACCAATGCAATAACGACTTTAACCTGGCCAGCATTGAGCCCAGATATGAACCCCCTTGAACATGTTTGGGATATTCTGGGGCGGCGCATACAGGCACGAGATCCTCCTGTACAAGGGCCAATTGGAAGCAGCATTGCATCAGGAGTGGTTGTTGTTGACCCATCAACAGATCCAACGTCTTACCTGAGGCATGAGATGTAGGGTGGAATGCGTCATCCGGGCATGTGGCAGTTATACCCGCTACTGATCTGTTTCATGTGTCATGTCAAGTAGAGACTTTAAGGAACATTTTCACATGAAACATCAAACGTAACTCGTTTACTTAATCCTGCAGCTCCATACCCTTTTTAGGCATTGTCTAAGGTAAAAAACAGTACCTTTGTTACCATGATGTTTTTGTCAGTAAATTTCACCAATATCTTCTTTATTTGTTGTCAAATGTTTGTTCTATCCGATGACATCGGTATCGCCCAGCTCCTGTGGTCAGTCAGTCCCATGCCATGATTTTTGCCATTTGTCATTGTTAAGAAATAGGGGTGTGCTTAACCTTTTCTTTGTGTATACTAAGATATTTTATACCAACTCCAGGCAAACTATAAAACTCACCTCAATCCCTATAGCCAAAGATGCAACAAAAGTGATGGTGTAAGGCACAAGATCCAACTCTGGGAATATAACAGAAGAATATGATCTATTAAACTTAAACAATATACACAGCATCATAAAACAAGTCTGCATGTCAGGCATTGTGACAAGTGGGTGTAGATGTGAGTCATGGTGACAAATGGGTGTTGATGTGAGTAATTATGACAAGTGGGTGTAGATGTGAGTCATGATGAGAAGTGGGTGTGGATGTGAGTCATGGTGACAAGTGGGTGTAGATGTGAGTCATGGTGACAAGTGGGTGTAGATGTGAGTCACAATGAGAAGTAGGTGTAGATGTGAGTCATGGTGACAAGTGGGTGTGGATGTGAGTCATGGTGACAAGTGGGTGTAGATGTGAGTCATGGTGACAAATGAGTGTAGATGTGAGTCATAGCAAGTGGGTGTACAAGTGAGTCATGGTGACAAGTGGGTGTAGATGTGAGTCATGTGACAAATGAGTGTAGATGTGAGTCATAGCAAGTGGGTGTACATGTGAGTCATGGTGACAAGTGAGTATAGATGTGAGTCATGGTGATAAGTGAGTGTAGATGTGAGTCATCGCAAGTGGGTGTGCATGTGGGTCATGGTAAGTGAGTGTAAATGTAACTCACTGTTGGCTCTCCAGAGAATGAGGACTATCTTGTAGTCCACCATCTGCAGCACGGCCGAGATGATGACAGCAGCGAGAGCTGCGTTGGGGATGTAGTAAAACAGGGGGGTCAGGAGGTCCAGCGCCAACAGGATGAGGGCACCTGCAAGGACCACACCCACATGGATCAGCAATGAGTTATGTTCAAAGCCATTTGTTAAGAATGTCAGTTTTTTAAATGTGTTTAGAAATTGAACTCCCAACAAGAAACTCTCAGAAACTTGTGTTTTCATGGCAAATTCTCTGCATCTTCCAATATATTTTGTCCACAGACTTCTTAATTTTACCATTTCTTGCTGCCCTTGAATTGTTATCTACCTGTGAATATGCCATTTGCTGGTGTTCTCACGCCACTCTGAGAGTTGACAGCAGTTCTGTAAACAAAGGCACATCTCAACACACCTTCCAACAATGACATCCATGTTCAAGGACACAATAAATGAATCATATCAGTTTGTCATCAAATTTTCAAGAGGCATGTATGGTTATTTCAACAAATAACGACAGAAGGGAAAATACCTTGCACGTTTCTTCATCTGTAGGTACTTGGGGGATAATAACATGATGGTGGGGTACTGGCATGGCCATGAGGTCAGCAGGGACATATATGTAATAAATCATTTATCATGGCCTTATAAATGTAATTAGAGAAGAGGAAGAACATAACCGCAACAAATGGACAATAAACTGTCTCACCTCGAGAAGCTGCCCGTCACGGGGTAGGACGACACAAACGAGCTGATGATATTTGCCACCCCTGGAAGGGAACATACAATGTGCACTGACATGATGATATCACTATAGGGAGAAGGATAGACATGTCAAGTCGTTTCAATAGATATGCATTGAAGACTTTATCACAGTTGGAGGCAAGATCACACCAATCCTTTATTAGGGAACAGGTAGTGATGGTTAGGCCATGAGGTGTGTTGTTGCAAGCACAACGGCAGAGTTAATTCAACCAAACACAAATCATAGTTTCCACCCTAGAGGCTGATGAGGCATCAGTATTGATACATTTGGAATAATATCTGTCACTGGCCACAGAAATCCTCAAAGTGGGTAACATTCTACAAGGCCAGTGCTGTTAAAATAACCCTAGGTAGCTCTAGTGGACAATTGCCGATCTGTCAGCTATGGTTCAACCCTCAATGTCACATCTGCTGTGCTACACAATGCTACACATTGCTACACAATGCTAGACAGTGCTACACAATGCTACATAGTGCTACACAATGCTACACACTGCTGCAGAATGCTACACAATGCTAAACAGTGCTACACAATGCTAGACAATGCTAGACAATGCTACACAAGGCTACACAGTGCTACATAATGCTACACAGTGCTACACAGTGCTACACAATGCTACACAGTGCTGCACAATGCTACACAATGCTAGGCAGTGTGACACAATGCTTGACAGTGCTACACAGTGCTACACAATGCTAGACAGTGCTACACAATGCTAGACAGTGCTACCTAATGCTACACAGTGCTGCACAATGCTACACAAAGCTACACAGTGCTACATAATGCTACACAGTGCTACACAATGCTACACAGTGCTACACAATGCTACACAGTGCTGCACAATGCTACACAATGCTAGACAGTGCTACACAATGCTACACAATGCTACACAAAGCTACACAGTGTTACATAATGCTACACAGTGCTACACAGTGCTGCACAATGCTACACAATGCTAGACAGTGCTACACAAAGCTACACAGTGTTCCACAATGCTACACAAAGCTACACAGTGCTACACAATGCAACATAATGCTAGTATTTCAAGAAGTCACTTGATTAAAACATGACAATTCACGGCCTAACCATCATCTACTACACAACAGATGATGACTAGATATTGTATATTTTAATTCAAGACTCTGATAGGTCGTTGTCGTTGTATTTCATCTGATCATATCTTACCAATAGCAACTAGTTCCTGGCTTGGATCAATACGGTAGTTATTTTGTCGGGCTGAAAACAAAAATTTACAAAAGTATTTGATCACATTAAGTAGCTCATATGACTCTATATTACAATAACAGTAACATTAGTGTTTCTATTGAAATTAAATTAAACGCTTTGTTTTATTGAATAAAATAATGTTTCATAATACTGTAAACTACATTCATAATGAACACGCTTATAACGAACTGACAGATATAACAAATTTATTTTTTGGTCCCGGCTATTTGCTGTATATAAGCTGTATATATGCTTATAATGAACTACAGTTAAAACAAACTAAAATTAGTGGTCCCTTTGAGTTCGTTTTAACCGTAGTTTACTGTAGATCAAAACTTTTATGAGTTTTAGATCCATGCAAAATTCTTAATTAGAACAATTCTAAAATTTCTTACCAAAAGCCTTCCCTATGGCAATTGTCTCCACCAAACCAATCAAAGGGACAATACCAAACCCAGCACCTATAGACTAGGTAACAATAAAACACCATGGCATTATTAATTACAAAAAGACTTATCTGAATATAATGCTCATTATCATGTTGTGTGTAAACATATATGTAAACATATAACTGGAAGTATATTTCTTCACACCTAACCTGGTTCAGGGTTGGTCTGGTTGTTTAGGACACTGCAGTTCATTGTGCAGAGTTGCATCCCTTAGATGTGGCAGAAACCTATAATTGGGGGATCAAAGCCCAAATTTTGCACTGATTATGTGCTGAGGTTTGGCAGAACCATATCTGTGCTTGCAGGTTTCACGAAAGTGGTAATTGTCAAAGACCTGCATCACTTCGGACTTTCCTCACACATGAAGCTGACATGCCGTGATATAACTGAAATACTGTTGAAAATGGTGCTAAACCAAACTCACTTGCTCGCTCACTCACTCACTCTCATAAGATTAAATCATTATAAAAAAATATCAAAGTATATATTGATAGAATTTAAACTGATATTTACTAACTTAGTCACAGCAAATAATACCTTTACAGTTAAAATGCATTCCTAAAATTATCATAGAATAAACAACACAGTGTCAGTGACAATAAATACCGCTGATAAAACCACTCGCTACTTACACTAAAGATGTCGCTAGCAGAGTATGTATGTGTGCCATTACTGACAGAGAAGGAGGGTGGTTTAAAGGGAGGTAACCCCTCCTTCAAGTGGCCGGTGATGGTCAATTTTCCTGTGATATTTTGGCTAAGTAGTGATGCTGCAATGCCAGCTGCAGATATCACTATGATGGCATTGGCGCCTGGAAAAGATATAGGAATAGATACATTGCTATTTATTACACGGTTAGGAGATAAACGTTGTTTGATTTCTGATTTTATGAAACATTATATGCTTTATTGAGTATTTAATATTTGATACGAGAAATTATATGGTTATTAATCTACATGTTCAAATTTCTGATTCACTGTATCGATATATCATAAATCTACATCTGACAATATGATACAATACAATACCGGTATACCAATTCATGTTTTAAGTCTGCATCGATTTTCAAAAAGTAAGCTTTATTTGCCTTTCATGAAACATAATGCTGAGTTTGAATTTGCAAAACACTATCTGAACAAGACTAAATTCCTTGCAAATTAAATACAAACTGACAGTGAAAAACATGGAACAGGGAGAATTTCACACAAAATACCGCCAAATGTTTCATTGCCTGAAGTAGGTGTATCCAGACACCTCTGATATTTCACAACATTGATTACAATGGATTTCATTTAATTTTTTTTAACTTTCCTTTTTTTATCCCATGATCCAAATCTGAGTCCTGTTTCAGTATTATCACTGTTCACACTTTTAACAAGATGTCAAGAGTGACTGGACAAGCAGACAATAGGGATTCCACACTTCAATACTTGTGACATTAAACTCAGAAAGTGATTCCAGCCAACCAGTTATGAGTTTGTTGTGACCTTTACTATAAATGGAATCAAGATGGCAACAAGGTAAAAGTTGTTATTGATTTGCTGACACACGTACCAGTCCCGATGAGCCAGATAAACTTCCTGGCCACAGTCTGGGTCCTGGGGATGTCCTCCTCTCCCTCATCACCCCATTTCAATGTCCGTAATTTCTGAAATGTCAGAATGCAATATACTACTCAAAAGAAGTTAAAGAACACCTGATTTTTTGCATATGACTATAGTTAATTGACTATAATTTATCTGTCATGACTGGCGGTTATTTCAACACAGAGCCTTTCGATTGTGGGTGTTATTTATCTTGTCTTGAGTTGTATATATTCAAGATTATTGCATTTACATAGCGACATGTGTGGGGGGCTTGTGTTAGCCTGGACCAATGTTAACTTTACAATGCTAGCCCACTGAGATACCATGCAACAGTTTTACATGACTACCCCATTCAGACACAGTATTCTGACTCTGAGCCGACCAGTCCTTGTTTTGGCACCTTAATGCTGAGCACCAGACAGGATAACCACAAGAACCATCTTTTAATGTCTTTTGATATGACACGGCCAGGATCGAACCCCGAACCTTCCGCTCTACGGGCGGATGCTCTACCTCTAGACAATGGAGGCGTTACCCCACCATTGACATGTACATATCAGTAGCGGTGCAACGATGTACTGAACATTCCCTGCATCACGATACACTGTGCCATGATACATTCCCTGCATCACGATACGCTGTGCCATGATACATTCCCTGCATCACGATACACTGTGCCATGATACATTCCCTGCATCACGATACGCTGTGCCATGATACATTCCCTGCATCACGATACGCTGTGACATGATACATTCCCTGCATCACGATACACTGTGCCATGATACATTCCCTGCATCACGATACGCTGTGCCATGATACATTCCCTGCATCACGATACACTGTGCCATGATACATTCCCTGCATCACGATACGCTGTGCCATGATACATTCCCTGCATCACGATACACTGTGCCATGATACATTCCCTGTATCACGATACACTGTGCCATGATACATTCCCTGCATCACGATACACTGTGCCACGATACATTCCCTGTATCAGGATACGCTGTGCCATGATACATTCCCTGCATCACGATACGCTGTGCCATGATACATTCCCTGCATCACGATACGCTGTGCCATGATACATTCCCTGCATCACGATACACTGTGCCATGATACATTCCCTGTATCACGATACACTGTGCCATGATACATTCTCTGCATCAGGATACGCTGTGCCATGATACAATCCCTGTATCATGATACACTGTGCCACGATACATTCCCTGTTTCACGATACGCTGTGCCATGAAACATTCCCTGCATCATGATATGTTTTGCCATGATACATTCCCTGCATCACGACACGCTGTGCCACGATACATTCCCTGCATCACGATACACTGTGCCACGATACATTCCCTGCATCACGATGCTGTGCCACGATACAATCCCTGCATCACGATACGCTGTGCCACGATACATTCCCTGTATCATGATACGCTGTGCCACGATACGCTGTGCCACGATACAAGTATCATATATGACTAACATATACAGGAATAATTTTTTGTCCCTGCTCTAATTTCATTCATTTTCTACTGTTGCATAGGAAATAAATAATGATATTATTCTTTAAATACAAATAATTTACTTACTTTCAAAAGGAATAATAATACCAAACAACAAATTCCTAGTAACAGGTCCCATGGACTGAAATGTAAGGAAGAAAACATCTTGATAAATATTGATGTGAAATATTAAGTTATTTGGATTTTTACATTTGAGTGACCTGAATCAACCAGGTTACCACATTTCTGGCAACCAGGGTTGACAAGATTCAACCTGAGTCAACCAGTATTAACCATGCATAACTTAAGGCAGTATCCGAAATAACTACATAAACCTTAGATATAATTCAAAATGGTAGCCAGGAGAAGGGGAAACATAACAGCCCTGGGTTTTGCTAAAACACACAAGTATTCGATGTTAATAAGTGTGTCATTGCCAACCATCATGAGTTATTGATTCAAAAGCATTTATATCAACAACTGAAATTTCCTGATGCGTATCTGAAGACATATGTACTATCAATACCTAGTTAATAATATACATTAAAATGCAGTTATTCATGACTGAATCAATAAATGAAATTGAATTAGCTTTAACGGTGACATCATTCCGAGACTGCTAACCAGACCAGAGTTCAGTAGGTGTTTTCAGCTTAGGTCAACCCAAACATGACATAAATCAGCTAACATGTGCTAACATTGGTCAGCCAGGGTTAACTGGGGTAATACCTTAGTCAACATGGGTTCACATGGGTCAGCCAGGCTTTTGAAATCAGATGCTAGCACTGTTGTTTACAACTCTGAAGGCCATGATTGATCATTGTAGGATGAACAATCAGCTTCAACTCAATATGTTCCATCAACAACTAATTGATTAGTTGATTAATTGTTTTTCTGCACCAAAGTGCCTGGCAGCTTGTGGCAATATATTTACATATCAATTAAGTATGTAATTTATTAGGGTAAAAATATCATTATATTTAACCTGACTCATACTAAAGCTTATCCCATCTCATTCCTAAAAGGTAGTGGAAACTCCTGTGCTGTGTTCCCAAGAACAGAGAAAAACATCTCACTCGAACACACCCATCAGCTGCACAGCCGCACCTGAAGCATGTGACCAACCTGACCTTCGGCCAAACACGTATACTAGAAGCGGGGATCCTTGGGTGGGCGCTATAGAGTTTGAGTCAGGATAAGAGTAAATTATATTTTTACCCTAAAATATACATATTTTACCTTATCTCATACTAACTGCTTAAATGCCACAGTTGGTGGTGGGATCAACCGTGATTCAGATTGTTTTGGTTTAGCAATATTCCAGCTATATGACGGCGGTCTGTAAATATTCGAGTCTGGACCAGCCAATCCAGTGATCGATATCATGAGCATCCATCTGCGTAATTGGGATCGATGACATGCATCAACAAAGTCAACAGGCCTGACCACCCGATCCCATTAGTCGCCTCTTACGACAAGCATAGTCGCCTTTTATGGAAAGCATGGGTTGCTGAAGACCTATTCCACCCGGGATCTTCATGGGTCTATTCAATTAACCAGGGAACCTCTCCTTAATCTTCTTGGACATCAATCTATAGAGGGGCACCACCACCTCCGTACTTGTGAGAGTAGGATAAAATAAAAAGATTTCGTGGAGTTTGTAAATGCGCATAGAATTATATTCCAGTTTATTTAGAATGATTCTCATGTAAAGAAAAGATCATAATCTTGACACAAGCATTATCACTCATGTTCTGAATTATGTGGTAAAACAGGGGAGCATTGACTCACAGTGAGTGGTTATGAATCAGTAACCTGACTTCTATGAGTCTGTCTGATTTTGGTATCTGCCATTATAAATACTGTCAAGTGTTGAGCGACCACTAAGGGTCCGAATTGGTGAATCCCAGCAATATCTTCTGTGGCAAGTCTCAAAGGTAGTGACTCGAAAAAACTGTGTCAGATTTCCAGAAATATCCTTCTAATATTGTTAAAATAGAGCAGTTGCCATGTAGCACAAACACGGAAGTGAGAGCTCTGACCTCAGGCCTGAACTCCTGTCTTCTGGAGTTCATTCTTCGTAAAAAAATATGTCAGGCTCTGACTGGACACAGTGACAAATCTTCTGTATCCTCTGAACCAATTATGGATGATAGAGGTGGGATGTGAAACTGTCTGTCTGTCTGTCTGACAAGGTAGTTGATTACTGGTGATAAAATCCCATCGCAGGTTGAGATGGGCTGCTGCATTTTCACTGCTGTCAAATCAAGTACATGAGAAATTGATTGCAGGTATCTCAGACATTCTAGCTGCCGTAGCTAGGCCAGTAGAAATAATGTGTTCTGAGTTAGATGTTCAATGTCAGCTTGTTGTAATGATCCATACACATCACTTGTGAGGTGATTAAGCACCACATTCAGATACCTAGCCAAATTTCTTCTGTTGATCTTCAAGCCTATACCATCTTAGTAAGGCTATCAACTCTGGAACTTTGGTGAGTTTGATTCCATTATGCATTGTTAGAATGGAGCTGATCGCTGCAAGATATGTGTCTAATGTTGAACCAAAGAGATTCCTTGGAGAGCGTAAGCAAACTCTGTTACTTGTGGTAAAGTAGCTTTGGCTGCTATAAATCCTTTATGGTAAAAACTCTTCCATTTATCGTCATATGATTCCTGATGGATCTGCAAAGGAGACTCTCTTGTCTGCTCCGTCTGAATATCCTCTTCTAGTGAGGTTGAACGTAATATGTTCTATACTTAGAGTGTGTAAGGTCTGGCCTTTGATGAACATGTTTGGAGTGATGATGGAGTAGAAGGTTTGGCCAGTTTGGGAGCTGTAGTGTTGGTTTTTCTACTAATGCGATGAGCTCTGGAAAGCAGTTTCTTCCCTGTTGTCTGTGTGCAAGCAGGTTCCTGCAAGCAGGCTTCCCGTGCGAACACCTGAGCCTCTGGACTGAAAGCCTGCATCTGTGAGCAAATTGGTTGCTTCATGAACGTCGTCTGCGTGCAGGATGGTTGCTGTATGAACCCTTGGGGCTGCAGGAAGGTCCGAGGTTGTGCAAAGGTTTGCCGCTGCATGAACGTCTTGTGCTGCAAGAAGGTCTGGGCTGGGTGAAGGCCTGGTCATGCATGCAGGTCTGCATGCATGAAACCTGTGAAAGGTTCACGAGCGACGGGAGCTGTGTAGAGGCCAACTTTAAAAGCGTTAAGTGACTATAAAAGTCCAGTTTCCACCCTTCATAAACTAGGCTGTTCATTTATCAGGAGGTAAAATGTTTAATCCTGACCAATCCACCAACGATTTACTTAAATTATGTTTTAGAGAGAGTGAGTAGGGTTTAATGCAGCTTTGAACAGTATTCCAGACATGTGTCATGGCATGTCAGTTTAATTTGGGAGGAGAGCCCAAAGTGGTGCAGGTCTCAGACATTTACAACGAGCACGGGTATGGTGCTGACAAACTTAGAAACATCGCCGAGAACCGGGATTCAAACCCACAGACTTCTGGCGTGCCCAAGGGGCGCAACTCTGCACAGTGAATTGCAGTGGATTATATGACTTACTTTTTAAAAAAAGGGGACAGTGATTCACATGAAAATCTAAATAATTTTGTTGTTGACTATGGAATATTTATATTATAATGAGTTATTCATTAATTTGTTACCATGGTTACATACTGCTTCAAAGTAAATTGTGAAAATACAGCCTATGAAGTATAAACAATGTAAGACAGTGAAGAACAGACTTACTTTGTCTTTCCTATATTTTTAAATGTTGCATATACCATGGGGCCAAATGATCTCGGTATATTATGAAGGCCCAGCAGACTCTGAAATGGAAGAACATCTGATCAATGATGGAAGGTCAAAACAAATAAAAGAAGCAAGGTTTTAGGTCATTGCCTTGTTATGTATTTTGTATAAGAGTTTATTAGTTTATTAAACATGTTCCTTGTATGTGCCTAAATGCAGCAGAGCAATCCATTTTATTGTTGTTGGGATGACTCTTAAAACTTGATTTACGATTTGACCAACTCCCCAAAATTGAAATGTGAAAACAATTGAAACAAATGAAAATCAGTGGTTGTTTGTTTTTTTCACCGTCTTGAAACGTGTAAAATGTTAAAAATATAAATTCATTTATCATGTTTATCGTCATTATTTATAAAACTGAATTATTTAAAAGACTATAGTTAAAACCTGTCAAAATTTACAACACAAGATTTAAAACACAATGACTTATGACACATTTTCTTTTGAGAGACAATAAAAACATATATTCAAAATTGGAATTAAAGAAAAACAATTCCATCTGCAGACCTGAATTTTTTGACAAAAAATTCCCTAAATAATAGAAAAAGGTATGGCCTTTTTATTTCCCTTTGATACTGTAAGTTATGAAATTAGTGCGAGCATAAAATAGATGTGACCAGCGTAAGTGTCCTTTGCTCACATTGATAAAGTGATGCATTATTCTGGATATACTGGAGTTTGTTGTCAAATCAGGTTCACTGCCTATTGCGGAATAAATGGTAGGCATATCAGTATAATATAATAAAGTTCTCAATTAACAATGTAAGTGAGTTCTAGAGTAGTGCTCCCCACCAAGTACTATGTCAAGTATAGGTCACTGTTTGTTTACACAAGTTGTTCAAACACTATACATTTACAAACAAAGTTGACTTGCAAACTGTTGTGAACATGTTCAGTACAGTAACAGCAGTCATGATGAACACCTAACACTGCTCCCTTACATTGCAAGGGTTAACTCATGTCACAACACTTGGAACCTTTACAAGCTTGAAAGGTTGAACATGCCATAATTGGATTTTTTCTCGACTGATTTCATAGCAGTTAGATTACATTTCAAAAGGCAGATGCTACGTTTGTGATGAAAGCAAATGATACCATTTGATCAAAAACTGCTGATACCCGAAACTACATCACAAAATCAGTGATGTGAATGGATATTTTCTTTTTCAGCTGAAACTTCTTTTTTAAATGGAGTGTGGTCAGATCTTTACAAATTTGTGGTCACTAAAACTCACAGACATTCACGGATCCATGGAAGATTCTCATCCCTGCAGAATGCATATCTGTCAACTCTCATGAATTTGGCGTGAGACTCACTCTTTTTCAACAAAACTCACTCTCTCATGCATTGCCACTGTAACCTCACATCTATTCATCCAAACAATTTTTAAAAACATTGCGCTTTAGTTTTGTGCTGAATTGCCTTGTTTCTCATTGCAACTGTCATAGCGCTTGTGTCATTATTTCTACATCTCTCTGTTATGACTATTTACACACACAAAAAAAATCAACCAGAGGGCTCCAAAATACTGAGCAGAGTGGTTAAAAGCATTAAAGTTGCGCAAACCAAAGCTTCGCCGAAGACCCGACCTGAGCCTGCGGCCCCTGGACACTAGCTATGATCTCACCCAAAAATAAAATACCAGCTTCTGATTGGTTAAGATGCAAGCAATTATTTTCCATGTAGCCTGCTCATGTACCCTGCTTGAATACACCTTAGGTAAATTTCTTATCTCATATAAGAATTGGTGAGCTGAAATGAACTGATGTTTATCTCATGCATTGAGAAAAGGGAAGTAACTCAATTCATTTGTGTCATCTTCTAGCGTCAAATTGGCTGAATCAAAGTGTTTTACTCAGTGAAATGTTTGGTCATATATTCTGGGTCCACATGCATAAATGTTGGTGTGATAAATTTGTTGTCAACTGATCCCTCGGGGCCAGTTTACCCCAATTATGTTTCGAGGTTTGTCAGCGCAATGCTCGTGAGTTTCACAAAGTGGTAAATGTATGAGACCTGCATTTATTTGGTCTTTCCTCCCACATTAAGCTGACATGACGTGATATAACTGCAGTACAGTTCAAAGTGGTATTAAATCACATAACATACATGACATGTATGACATATTAATTAGTGATTACATTATTGGGATAAGACCAGAGGACTATGAAATGTCTCTCAGAGATGACATCCCAAGTTCTCCATCTCTTCTTGGTCGTCATACCGATGACACATATTGGTTCACATTAATTGGGTGCTCTCACTTTTTATATAGCTAGATTATTGAAAAGTGCACTCTCACCGTGCTTGTTGTCACGAACATTTCTGATATCAATACAATGTGCACAATGTCATCATCCAAATATGTGACCTTGGGTTATCTCCCTTTCATTCCTGTCATTTCTATACAAAGTAGACTGGTGTCAAGGCAAAGTGATGATAACAAGTGTTATCCATACTTGATATCATCTACTGATATCCATCCCTTAATACATGTATACAGAGACTCACTTTTCTTGTCACCCTATTTAATCGACTGACCTATATCTTCTCACTGGCTAGATTTCACATATCTGTTTAAGTCAGCAAGTAAGCTTTGAATCAAGGAATAAATATTTTATCAAATTTCCAAATCTTGCCAATTATATTTTTTTTTAATTTTTATTAATACATTTATTACATCTAACATCATATTTTAAATCTCAATGTCATACATAAAGTGTGCATGGAGTAGCTGTTACATATAGCATAATTATCATAAATCATAGTTAATACAGGGTTCCTAAACAATAAAAGTAAAGAAGACAAGAAGGCATGGAACCTTGTAAGTGACAGTTTGTTTTACCGAGACCCCAAATTACCACCTGGCAAGCACAGTATGAGAGTGCATCACTAAGTGTAACTAGCAGCCCCATCCCGCCATTTCCTGAATGTCCCCAAACATATCATTGGAAAATTGACCTCACACATCACTTCCAATTCGTGAAAACACATGCAATACAACTGTGAAAGAGAAAGCCTCATGCCTGTAGCTACCTTATAAACAAAGTCAAAAGCACTTATGGTTAAATGACCTTGACCTTCAATCTCAGCCATGAGCTCCCTAGAGATCACGTAATTGACATTTTATCAAATGCCAATTCATAAATACCCCAGTTATTGTGTACACATACTGAGTGACCTTCACCTTCAACAGTGGGCTGCTAAAAGGCAAGTAAATTTGTCAACATAGCAACTTTGCAGATTTGAATACTTTAGGGCATACTTTATCACAAACACTTGACCAAAATTAATTTGAAAATGGAAATTACATAAAACAGACAATAAAAAATGACAGTCGAAATCATCTCCAAAATGAAAAATAGAGGGAGTCCCCTTACTGGGGTTAAAAAGGGTTCGCTGTGTTTGACACACTGTGCAATTACAACAATCATGCTTGTTTCTTACTTACTTACTTATATTGGTTATTTTATTTGCGTTTTTCGACTGCAAGCGGATGTCGCACACAAGCCCGCCAGGCCATTTAATGTGTTTCCGAAAGGGGGAAAAGGAAGGGGTGGTGCAACCCAGGAGGGGGGTTTAAGGGTTGCTTATATAGTAATTTTGAGATTTTGAGATTTGGAATGAATGCCAAGAGTGGGTAGGGGGCGAACTAAGGGAGCTGTGTGAGGTGGGTGGTTTGTTAGTTTACGTGATATTGGTTTTATTAATTTATTTGGGGTTTAAATGCGACTAATTAGTCCTGTTTTAATTAAGTTTATGCCTAAGGCTTTGAATTTTTCTAATTTATTTTGTGGATTTTGGATTGATTCTAGAGTAAGTGCAGTATGCCTGTTTCTGCCTCGGATTGTTTAATACAATATACATCTTTTTTTTCTGTCTGCTCATCCATTTGATTACTGAGTCCACAACTTATGTCCCCTGAGTCACAACACTGAAGATGCCTTCAGTTGTTTACTCAAGGGGATTAATCCCTGACATATGTTTCTAGGTATGCCCAGAGTAAGAAATTGGCAACACTGGAAGCGCTTGTTAAATCATCATCATCATCATCATCATCATCATCATGAGGAACACATAACATTTCGGAGTATATATACTGACTCCTTCATCAAGATGATGTGTGCGAAATACGCATCAGGCGGAAAGCGCACCTTAAATCTCCAAAGTAAGTAAGTCAAGATGATGTCTATCACTTCTGAATGCCATTCAAAGGCTTGAGTAAATACTTTCTACGCATATTATCACTTTTTCTCTCTCGGAAATTGACTAAATGTATCTAGGAAAAGATCTTCGCAACAAAATTGCAAATTTTTTTTCAATTTACCAGTACGTGTCCTTTAAAGACAGGCATGAAGGTGAGTCACTGAATACCGTATGTGAGTTATCATCTGTATCACAATTAACTGATAACATATCCGTTGATAAACTGCAGAATCTGAACAGCATCAAGCATGATTGTCCTGCTATGTCGCAAGATCAAATAGCATACATGTATTAGATTTAAAGGTAGAACTCAAGTGCTCATTCCAACCTGCTTAATGTCAAAACACTTCCACCATCATGTTTAGCATTGTGGATGTTGTTTACCCATAAGCCCTTGTGTTTCAATATACGCTTACTCAAAATGTTGTTGAGGTAATTATAACACTGTTATTAAAAGGGACTACTAATTTGACATATTTATGTCACATGTTACTTTAGCTCTTCCAGCCTTAAGGTGCTGCTCAATGGCTTCCTTTAAATGGAATTATTGACAGGCATCCTCTTCATCAGTAAAACACCAGCAGTTTATTTCTAATTCAAGACTAAAAAGAAATTCTAAAATGAAAATCAACATTTTTTATCACACTTATAAACAAACATAATTGTCTCTTGTTGAATATGTTATTTTCTTAAGTCCTCGAAAAGATTACTGTAATATTATATACATCTACATGTTTCAGACAAACTTGAGCGACTTACAGGTATTTGTTTTCAGCTTCATAATGTGAAACAATAAATTGACACTAAAAGAGGGCTCTAATTGTAATTTAGGCCTTCAGTTTGATGAGTGACTGATTGTACTACTGGGCCCCCAACTGCAGACACAGCTGAGGAAACTGCAAGCTGTTCATGACATCTACAGAATAAATCATCACTGATCCAATCCTTGACTCGACATTCCCTTACCTTGACCTGGCCAAATGCTATTGTGATGGCAGCAGCAGATGTGAAAGAGTTGATGACTGGATAGGAAATAAAATTAACAAGGATTCCTGAAATAAAGAAAATATGTGGATTTATCTTTTCTTCATGTGATGCTGATTAAAAGACAGCAAAAGATCTTGATCAAAATAACTGATTAAGAAATAAGAACTATTATTCATTGATCTGATAAAGTATTACATTATTCATGATTCTATTTAAAATAATATGTTTTTTCAATGCCAGAACAATTTAGTTTCTTTTTCGTAAATGGGTCCATGGTACATGCTCTAAAATATGCAAAAACAAAAATTAAAGAAACTAAAAAACAAGCCTGTTTTGGTTTTTTTAACAAAATTTATCCCTAAATCAATCATCACAATGTTTTACTGTTTACTGCATTCAGTATCTTACAGAGAAGAAATTGGTGTGGCCTTAAATTTGAAAGAAATGTATCCTACCTAAATTGAGAATTCCCATTACAAACTGTACTAGTCCGCACATGAGACTGAGAACAACGGCATACGTGCCATCGTTTTTGATTGGAGATGTTGCGAAGGCCCCTGTCATGAGGGACATGATGGCCGTGGGCCCCAGGGTGATGTCCTTGGATGTCCCCAGGAGACAGTAGATGAAGCACCCCATGAAGGAGGAGTACAGCCCATACTGGAATACAAGCACAGACATGCAGCATACAGCTCAACTCTTGGTACCAAACAGTCACAGGTCTTTAGCTCACTGGGCTGTGTTAGATTTGTGCCGTCTTATCGCAACAACAGGAGGACTTGGAGAGTGGGGATAGACCTTAGACCTACCTGAGGAGGTAGACCAACAAGTTAAGCATAGGCGAGATTTGGAGTGTGGGGTTAGACCTTAGACCTACTTGAGGAGGTAGACCAGCAAGTTTAGCATAGGCAAGATTCGGAGTATGGGGTTAGACCTTAGACCTACATGAGGAGGTAGACCAGCAAGTTTAGCAGAGGCAAGATTTGGAGCTAGAGATTTGACCTACCTGGGGAGGTAGGCTGGCAAGTTTAGCATCGGCAAGATTTGGAGTGTTGGGTTAGACCTTAGACCTACCTGAGGAGGTAGACCAACAAGTTTAGCGTAGGCGAGATTTGGAGTGTGGGGTTAGACCTTAGGCCTACTTGATGAGGTAGACCGGCAAGTTTAGCATTGGCAAGATTTGCAGGGTGGGGTTAGACCTTAGACCTACTTGAGGAGGTAGACCGGCAAGTTTAGCACAGGCAAGATTTGGAACTGAAGGTTTGACCTACCTGAGGAGGTAGTCCGGCAAGTTTGGCATAGGCTAGACCCTGTGGAATGACAGTCAGCCCCACTGTGAGACCAGCGATGAGGTCACACTGCAGATCACGAACACTGGGAAATAAAACATCAACATACAAGGTCAGCAGTTCACCAGGACACACAAGGCAACCGTAGTCTTCACACATCTTGTTAAACTGTTTCAGGTGTCTTTCCATCAGCACACTAAAAGTATTTAAGCATGCACAAGTGGTGTGGAAATAGTGCAATATAATGGCATAGTTGTTGTTGTTGTTGTTGTTGTTATCAGATTAAAACAAATAAATGCAGCAGAGAGTTTGAGTGATCCTGGCACAGTCAGGCTGGTAAGGCTTATCATGAGCTCAGAGTCCATGCCCCCTCTACACACAGCCCAGACAGCGAATGGGACTTCTCCCAGGATGCGTTGCTTAGTCAAATCCACCAACAACTTTTCAGAGTCCCCAAAACTGCAGCCTTCTGTATTACCCAGATTGTCAGAAGGGCTGTATTCCTGACAGCAAACCCACATACTCTCCCAATGTCAGTCAACAGATTGGGAGGTACCAAACCTAAGGCACCAAGAACAATGGGGAGTCGGACAACTTGGTACTTGGGATGCAAGCATGACATTTCGAAAGCAGGGTCCGCATATTTGCCATGTTTTTCCTGAATCTTGTCAAACACATTAGTTTCAACAGGGACAGAAAATTCAATGATACAAATTATTTCATTGGATTCATCAAAAAGGACAAGATCAGGTTAGTTGGCATGGACATGTGCAGGCCTATTCCAAAGAATTTTGTAGTTATCATTTTCCATGGCGCCCTCTACATATTCTGGGTCGTACCATAGATGGACCTCTTGTCAAAACCACAAACATGGCGAAGACGTAATAAAATGATGGCGCTACTCCATCATGTAGCTTTTATGCTGTGACTGTGCCCAAGCTGGGCATCCACTGACAGTCTCATTAAATTCATTTCATAATCTACATTTCATATTTACTTATTGATGCAAAATCACACATTGACGGTTTCGAGTGGGAGGTGTCTGGTCTTGCGCAGCAAACAGAAAGCCTTCTGTTTCACTTTTCAGGCCAGCCAACTTCATCCAAGTGAAAGACTCTGCAGGGTTGCTTATCTTCTCAACACTGCACATAAATGTGATACAGTGGTCGTTCAGATAGCCTCTCCCTGAGTCCGGGCTGATTTGATGCTTTCCAACATTAAGGAACCATCAACAAAATCAACAATGACACTGAGATTATGTCCCACATCCCTGACTTGTAAAAGAAAACTGTGGCATGCCTTGTTTTTATCATGAGTTTAATATGCTTCACAAGAGGATCATAAGACAAATAAGTGTGTGCAAAAGTGCACAATACAATTCTATCATGAAGAGCCTCCACGTTATTCAAACCACGCTTTCCATGGTAAATATAAGCAATTGAGGGAAGAGCAAGGGTGGTGGGATCTATTGTCTGACATGATTCTTCGTGTGAGGGTGTCAATACCTTGAATTTCTTGTTTCGTCTAATCAACAACAACAAAAGAATACGAAAGGACGGGCACAGCATAAGTATTTGTGGCTTTGACTTTATTGCTAGCGTTCAGCTCTGCATGAAGTCCAGATTTTCTTGAGTCTACATTTTTACTCTGCCCGAAGTTTTTTCTTTGATATGGGCATTCTGGAGTTTGTCAGTAACCTGCATCCCTAATAACGTATAGGCCTGACCATCAATGTTGCATTTGTCGCATCCAAAGGACATGCCCATGTCATTAGAAAGGGACTTGACAATGAGAATCTGTTTTTTTAGTGTGGATCCATTGGCAATAAGTTCAAGGTCATCCATGTAAAAGAGGTGCGTAAGGGGTGATGGGGATCTGTGCTGAGGAGGTATAGGATGATAACCTTCCTGTTTGCTAAGCAAAAAGCTTAAACAAATTAGTGAAATACAGAAAACCAAAGGACTAAAAGATTCGCCCTGAAATATTCCTCTTCTAATAGAAATGTGTTCCGAAGTTACCACCTGCCCCTGCGAATGCATTTCAAGTTGAATTGACCAGAAAATCATTAAAGACGTGACTAAAACAAATAGCCGCTTGGGGAGGTCAACACATTCCAGTGACTTCAAAATCCATTCGTGAGGTACAGAATCATAAGCTTTTCTGTAGTCTATCCAACACATTGAGAGGTTACGGTGGTAAGTTTTAGCCTCTTCAAGGACCATTTTCTGAACTAGCAATTGATCCTTACAACATGTACAACCCAAACATCCCTTTCTGGCCCCTTTCTGCTCCTTGTAAATAATGTCATTGGAAGTGCAGTATGATGACACAAGATGTGTAAGACACCCTGTGAATATTTTGTATTGTGTATTCAGACAAGTATTAGGGCGGAAGTTTTTAGGGTCAGTCTATTATTATTATTATTATTTTTATTATTATTATTATTTAACATAACTTTAAAAGTCCTGTATGTTTTTAACTTTCTGACAAATATTTCCTCATGGTATTTCAGCTTTTATTTGGACAGTCAACCACAGATACTAAAATGTGTTAATCTGCATATAGTCATGAATTTCAACAATGTACCAGAATAACTATCATGAATAATCAATGAAACCACTGCATGAAACATGAACGTTAATCAATACCAATAATAAAGATTATAAAACTAGTTGTCATGGTGACAGCATCTCCTCATTTCAAATAAATAATCATTTGTGCTGTGTGTATACGTTTGTGCAATTCTAATACAATGAGGTTATTTGAATGTGGTGACTGGCTTTCAAAGTCATTTTTTTTTTTTTGCCTCAATAGACAAGCATGGGTTGCTGGGGGCCTTATCAACAAGGAAGGTCCCTGTTTTTCTTTCTCAACTGAAATTTAACAAGTAAAGTCAGGTGAACCATTATAGCTTTTTGAGCTATGGTAATCACTAAAACACTAATCATTTACAGCATATTATTTGATCTTCTCTGACTAGTCGGCATCATGGTTGCATTTTGTAACCATGGAAAAACAGAAATACTGATATACTGATATACTGATATACGTATACGAATATCCTGAACAACTATTTTTAAAAATAGACATAAGAAGGTAAGATGCACAGATTTTAATGTGTGGTAAACCTTTCCTTAGCCTAAAGCATCTACATTTGAATAGGTCTAAACCAGAGCTGTGTGGGACCGATAGTATAGTACGGAAAAGGGAGATTTTAGCAGGATTGTGTCCCTTGCAGTCACAATTGGAGAGCGTGAATGAGTTTGATTTAAAGCCACTTCAGGACAGGTCAAAAGGCGAATGTAAAAGTATTGTCACCATGGTTACACAAGTGAGCTCAACACAGTTATAGTAACACCCAAAAATAAACAGCAGCATATTGATGAGAACAGCATACCTAATGTGTGTGTGGGTTGTGTGAAATTACGATGTGCAGAAATGCCTAATATTTGCATATACTCCTAATACTCTGTTAAATGTCAGTTGTAGGGCAACTTGAGTTCGGAATCCAGAGTAAAGGCGGACTTCATTGAACAGATTTTAATATGATGATAAAAAAACTTAATCAATTTGTGACCGTAAATTTGGTCAGATATTTCGTCAGATCCAGAACAGTCATGCTTCCAGTTTTGACAGATTCAAGTGTAAATTGTACAAATTCTAGATTTCATTCTGTTCCAGCAATCCCAGATGTGATTTCGTACAAAGTGTGATATATTAACTATATTAACATAAATATTAACAATGTTAAAATTACTTATATATTTTTAATAAACTGAAAATATAGAAACATGCTATGACAATGCATATTTCATGCTTTAATCAACATGTTCATGCTGCATGAAGTATTCACTAATAAAATTTGAAAATGAACAAAAGAATGAGAACTAAAAATGTTGACAGTTTCTATAGGCAGTTGTTAATAAATAAATATTAAAGCAAAAATTTTGTTGTGTGTCTGGGGTTATTGTGACCAATACCAACTGGGGTCATGTGACCAATACCAGCTGGGGTCATGTGACCAATATCAACTGAAGTCATGAGACCAATATCAACTGAAGTCATGAGACCAATATCAACTGGGGCAATTTGACCAATATTGAATGGCTTCACATTACTAATACCAACCAGGGTCATGTGACCAATACTAACTGAAGTCATGAGACCAATACCAACTGGGGTCATGTGACCAATATCAACTGAAGTCATGAGACCAATATCAACTGGGGTCATGTGACCAATACCAACAGGGATCATTTGACCAATATTGAATGGTATTATGTGACCAACACTAACCAGGGTCATGTGACCATTACTAACTGAAGTCATGAGACCAATACCAACTGGGATCATTCGACCAATACCAACCAGGGTCATGTGACCAATACGAAATAGAGTCTCATTTCAGAAAGCAGTCTTAGTCCTATGACAAGAGTAAGTCTGTGTTATAATATTGAACCAACAGTTGTAGTAGTAAAATCTCTGTGGAGTGCTGTCCTGGGCCCATTCAAAGAAGCTATGTTAGCACTAAGACAATTTTTGCTCCCATACTTACATCAATGTACATTAAACTTAGCACTAAGATCTGTCCATGGAACAGAATCCTGGTATGCTTGGTAACAATGTTTGCGAGCAGTTGCCCTGGGTCCTTGTTCCACAAAGTGATCTAAGTGTATGACAATCATAAATCAATGCTAAGTATGGGAGTAATTAATGACTGTCTTAGCGCTAAGGTCACTTTGTGGAACTGGGCCCTGATCAAGCCTGATACCACATTACCTGTATTTCGGTATCCACTTGAGACTGGGGACCTTCTTCTTGAGGGTGTTGAGGGTGCAGATGCCAGCTCCACACTCCTTAATCTTGGCACTGAGCTGAATGTTGACCATGTCGGGATCCTCGTCCACAAAGCCAAGCTTTGGCTGCTCCATGTTAATGGCCCCGTCGGGATCCGGAGACTGAAACAAGTAGAATATGCCTGCTGCAAGGGGTGACATATCTGGTAAGGAAAGGTACTTTGTTCACCCAGCAGTGAGTGGGTACCTGGTAGGATGTGAAGGTAATATGTCTGCCGCAAGGGGTGACATATCTGGTAAGGAAAGGGACTCTGTTCACCCAGCAGTGAGTGGGTACCTGGTAGGATGTGAAGGGAATATGTCTGCCGCAAGGGGTGACATATCTGGTAAGGAAAGGGACTCTGTTCACCCAGCAGTGAGTGGGTACCTGGTAGGATGTGAAGGGAATATGTCTGCTGCAAGGGGTGACATATCTGGTAAGGAAAGGGACTCTGTTCACCCAGCACTGGGTGGGTACCTGGTAGGATGTGAAGATTATATGTCTGCCGCAAGGGGTGACAATGTCTGGTAAGGAGAGGGACTCTGTTCACCCAGCAGTGAGTGGGTACCTGGTAGGAAGACATCTGATATGGGAACAACAATATAATGGATGGGCATTGTTTTTTGGCAGAAGGAAGTTCACGATTATATTTATTTTCAAGATAAAGAAATAAGATATGCTCGTCTGAATGCTTCGCCCACTTGTACCAAGAAGTTTGAAGCTTTGACACTGATTGGCTGATCAGACAGTTCACCTGACATGGCCTCCAACAGACAGATCTTCACACAGGTATCAAAAGTAAGAGATCTGATGTTAATGAGATTGCAAGCCTGCCTCTATCAGGTGACCGTTCACTCCACGTCAGTGGTTACATAATCACCTTTGCAATGACTTGTTTTTTTGACAAGGCACCCTTCATGTTAAACTGAAGATTTATTATAATGCTGTGTTGAACTAACAATCTGTATTTCGTCCTTTTCCTTCTATTTCAAGAGCATTTGATTTTAGCAAACTACCCTCAAATAAATCCTGACAAATTTCAATATTGTTTCATTCTGGTTCCCGACTCTTAGCATATTGACCAAAGAAAAATCAATTAATTCATTTATCTCTTAAACAATTAAGTAGTCTGACCTTAGCATCATGTGATTGTTAATAGGGATAAATCCTAAAGCACTGGGAAAGTGTGGAAGAACAGATACAATAGGATGTGAGGAAGTCAAAGAACACATAACTCCTAATTCATAACTCGTAACACAAAGACGGCCTCCGTGGTCTTGTGGTAGAGCGTCCGCCCGGAGAGCGGAAGGTCCAGGGTTCGATCCCGGGCCGCGTCATACAAAAAGACGTTAAAAGATTGTACTTGTTGTTACCCTGTCTGGCGCTCGGCATTAAGGGGCTAAAACAAGGACTGGTCGGCTCGGAGTCAGTATACTGTGTCTGAGTGGGGTATTCATGTTAAACTGCGGCATGGTATCTCAGTGAGCTAGCACTATAAATCGGCATCAGTCCGGACTAGTACAGCAGCCACACAAACACACACACGTACATGCACGTCGCTATATAAGTGCAATAATCTTGGACGCGACGTTAAACCCAATTTCACCTCACCTCACCGTAACACAAAAGGGGGTTCTGCAGATATCATGAATCACATTAACATCATTCAGGCCACAAAGTCTTGTTTTCATCATTTATTGAAACAACAACTGTAATGGAAATCAAATGTAATTTTGATTTTGATTATGATTTCCCAACCTCTCAAACCCCAATTCCACCAAAACAGCCTTCAAAAGATTCCAGGGTTGCATGGGTGGCCAAGTCGTCTAATGCGCCGCGATTTCCTGTGCAGAGTTGCGGCCCTTGGGCACGCCAGAAACCTATGATTGTTTGTTTGAATCCCGGTTCGCCCCGATTATGTTTCTAGGTTTGTCAGCACCATACCCGTGCTCGTGGGTTTCACTGAAGTGGTAAACGTCTGAGACCTGCATCACTCCGGGCTTCCCTCCCACATTAAGCTGACACACCGAGATATGACTGGAATACTGTTAAAAGCGGCATTAAACCCAACTCACTCACTCACTCACTCACTCACTCACTCACTCACTCAAAAGATTCCAAACCTCCCAGTCTTTCCTTATTCGCAAAAATATATTATACACCTTTAATAAGGGTTGAGACAATAATTAGGACTGGACTGGACTGGTGAGAAACAAGAACAGTATTTCATGCTGCCTGAAGTATGGGTGTTGTCGTTACACACATAATGCTCAGATCACTTTGTAGTATGATATCACATCCTGGCCGGGTCATGTGGCTATGACAATACTAATATTACAGCTATAACACTCGGGTTACATTGTCCACAGGATACTTAACATATTTCCCTTTGTGGTTGAAATCATCATGAGAGGAAGTTTAATAGCAACATGGTAACAACAAAGAAATAAATGTTTCCGATCCGATTTTGATGCTTACAATTCAGCCTGTGATCTGAAAAAACATTAAATGTATCTAGATTTTAGTATGAAGTTGACATATACAACCACAGTAATACATGCATCCATATAGGCTGTTTTGATATAGCTGGAAACTGAACTATTGCTGTGGCCAATGGTGGCATGAACAAAATACAATCACATTGAAATAAGATCTATTACTCTGATATGATATCTCAAGAGCTGAAGATCTGTTGACACCTATAGGCGGCCGCATCAGGTGAACTAGTAAGCCAATCAGTGTGGAGGCTTCTAAGTTCTTGGTGTAACAGCGGTACTCTGGTCCTCTCAAAGATAAGAGAGTACTTGTTGGGTTCAAGGGATTTATTTTCAATGGGCGTAGAGAACTACACGGTAGTCCGGATTTGCCCTAAAACATACATAATTTGATATAAATATCATGGGTATCATTATAAAGGCACTATATAACAACAATACTAATTATACATTTAAATCTATAATTCCTTACTTTTGGCATATATATATATTAACAAATCCTTCCAGATAAAACAAATTACACTCTCTCTATATATATATAGTTAATCATACATAATTAATAAAACATAAATAGCATACCTCGTCTCAGGGACGCAGGCTGGAAACTCTCTTATATAGAGATGTGCAGTGAAATAGCCCTGCACAAATAAGTATACTACATATAAGTATACTACATATAAATATATCACATAGCCACAGTTACACTTGCATGTATGGAATACAAGCATTATAAATTCTACAAAATACTATACATATATACATAATACATATACATATATCACTTCTAACCAGTTTAAGTCTATTTAATTAAATGTACATTTGGCTATTATCTCAGTAAAATACACAGTTAAGTTGAATTAAGAATACATTAAAATGTCATAATACAATGCTAGCCAAAATACTATATCCAACAACAATGATTAAAATACATAACCTAAGCTTCCAGATAAATAAAGTAATAATTAAATGAACTTACCCTATATGATTCAGTGCAGAGAACGTGTTGAGAACGTGTTAAGAAAGTATGTCCTGACTGCTCAGTAGAAGTGTGATCAGTGTCCCCACATAATTGCAGAGAACATGCAACAAAGCTAGATCACAAAGAGCACCTAATCACAGGCCAAGCCTGTGACCAACCCATTGACAATAGCCAAGAAAGAAATGGCTGAACTACCCAAGCTATATACAGAACTAGCTTACCTGTGAATTAGTAGTTTTTGTGCAAGTGTTGAAGTTAACACAAGTATTTAGTAAAATAAATGTTAAATATTTAGGTTAGCTTATTAATTTAATTCATGTTTGGTTACTATGATCATACTTTAAAATCTAACAATATTCTATTTACAAGCATACTGCTACATTCTCCCCTGCCACAGAAAATGGCGTCCCGAAATATATTCTATGTTACAGCAGAACCAGTTATCAGAAATAACATAGCCTTGTAGGCGTCTTCTGGGAGGTCCTGCAAAAGTCTGCCTTCAGCTAGAGTCTTAAGAAATGATGCTCTTGTTTTCCAATCTGTCAACAATGTTGGTGCTTGACTCATACAAAACTCTCCTCTTCCCATCCAGGCTGGCGGCTGACGCTGTCTTGTAGATCGCCTAGGTGGTAGAGTTGGTAGAACTCTCCTAGGCACCCTAATAGGTTCTGGATCTGGTTCTGGTTCTGGTTCTGGTTCCTGTTCTGGCTCTGGCCCTGGTTCTGGTTCTGGTTCTGGTTCCTGTTCCGGTTCCTGTTCTGGCTCTGGCTCCTGTTCCGACTTTGCCACTCCTTCTTCCTCAGCTTCCAGTTGAGGACTATCACCAGCTGTGGAATTACCTCCTTCTTCCCCCTCTTGAACCATTGCAGCAGTGGAATCTTCTAATTCCACATCTACATAGGTTTCATGTCCATCTGCTTCAGCTTGTGGGGCAGCATTTGACGGAATGCTAACCACTGAAGACACATCAGTGAGGTCCACAGGTTGTGACTCAACCAGTACTATGGGATCATCGTCAGACTCGCTGTCTGATAGTGATTGGGTTGACTCTTGTTCCTTCACTATTGGTCCCAGGTACTTCGTTCTTGGCTTTGGAACGGGAACAGTCCTAGTCATGTCAGTGTCGATCTCTAGTGAACCCACTGGCAGCAACAAGTTTCGATGAAGTGTCCTTAGTCGTCCATCTCCATCTTCCTTTTGTACACAGTACACTGGGATTTCTGGGTTGGGCTGGTCCCTCACAACATAGATGCTTTCTTCCCACTTGTCTGCCAGTTTGTGCTTTCCATCAAATGCCAGCTGCTTTACTAAGACTCTGTCTCCAATGTTGAGAATAGCTCCTCTGACCTTGATGTCATACCTACTCTTCTGTCTCTCCCGGGCTCTATGTGCAGCAGCTGTTGCAAACTTGTAGGAGTCAGCAAGCCGTTGGCGCAGATCTTTGATGTAGGTGGTCTTAGATTGTCTACCTTGTGGAGAGCCTATTCCAAATGCAATGTCAACAGGTAAACGTGGCTGTCTACCAAACATAAGAAAAAAAGGACTTTCTCCGGTCGATTCATGTCGTGTGGCATTGTAAGCATGAACAAGTGGTGCTACATATGACTTCCAGTTGGTCTTCTGGGATGGTTGCAAAGAACCTAACATA